TGCTCTAAAATGAAAGATATTAGTCTTAGGAAGCCATTTTTAGCATTTTAAGACAGTTTTTGAACAGTTCAAAAAGTGGTCAAAATTGACCAAAATGGTAAGGGGTAAGACTTACCGTTTTGGCCAATTTTGACCACTTTTTGATCGTTCCAAAAACCAACCAAATGCTCTAAAATGAAAGATATTAGTCTTAGGAAGCCATTTTTAAGACAGTTTTTGAACAGTTCAAAAAGTGGTCAAAATTGACCAAATGGTAAGGGGTAAGACTTACCGTTTTGGCCAATTTTGACCACTTTTTGATCGTTCCAAAAAAACCAAATGTGCTCTAAAATGAAAGATATTAGTCTTAGGAAGCCATTTTTAGCATTTTAAGACAGTTTTTGAACAGTTCAAAAAGTGGTCAAAATTGACCAAAATGGTAAGGGGTAAGACTTACCGTTTTGGCCAATTTTGACCACTTTTTGAGTGTTCCAAAAACCAACCAAATACGCTCTAAAATGAAAGATATTAGTCTTAGGAAGCCATTTTTAGCATTTTAAGACGGTTTTTGAACAGTTCAAAAAGCGGTCAAAATTGACCAAAATGGTAAGGGGTAAGACTTACTGTTTTGGCCAATTTTGACCACTTTTTGAGTGTTCCAAAAACCAACCAAATACGCTCTAAAATGAAAGATATTATCTTAGGAAGCCATTTTTAGCATTTTAAGACGGTTTTTGAACAGTTCAAAAAGCGGTCAAAATTGACCAAAATGGTAAGGGGTAAGACTTACCATTTTGGCCAGTTTTGACCACTTTTTGAGTGTTCCAAAAACCGACCAAATGTGCTCTAAAATGAAAGATATTTGTCTTAGAAAGCCATTTTTAGCATTTTAAGACAGTTTTTGAACAGTTCAAAAAGTGGTCAAAATTGACCAAAATGGTAAGGGGTAAGACTTACCGTTTTGGCCAATTTTGACCACTTTTTGATCGTTCCTAAAACCAACCAAATACGCTCTAAAATGAAAGATATTAGTCTTAGGAAGCCATTTTTAGCATTTCAAGACAGTTTTTGAACAGTTCAAAAAGTGGTCAAAATTGACCAAAATGGTAAGGGGTAAGACTTACCATTTTGGCCAATTTTGACCACTTTTTGGTCGTTCCTAAAACCAACCAAATACGCTCTAAAATGAAAGATATTAGTCTTAGGAAGCCATTTTTAGCATTTCAAGACAGTTTTTGAACAGTTCAAAAAGTGGTCAAAATTGACCAAAATGGTAAGGGGTAAGACTTACCGTTTTGGCCAATTTTGACCACTTTTTGAGCATTCCAGAAACCGACCAAATGTGCTCTAAAATGAAAGATAGTAGTCTTAGGAAGCCATTTTTAGCATTTCAAGACAGTTTTTGAAAAGTTCAAAAAGTGGTCAAAATTGACCAAAATGGAAAGGGGTAAGACTTACCATTTTGGCCAGTTTTGACCACTTTTTGAGTGTTCCAAAAACCGACCAAATGTGCTCTAAAATGAAAGATATTTGTCTTAGAAAGCCATTTTTAGCATTTTAAGACAGTTTTTGAACAGTTCAAAAAGTGGTCAAAATTGACCAAAATGGTAAGGGGTAAGACTTACCGTTTTGGCCAATTTTGACCACTTTTTGATCGTTCCTAAAAACCAACCAAATACGCTCTAAAATGAAAGATATTAGTCTTAGGAAGCCATTTTTAGCATTTCAAGACAGTTTTTGAACAGTTCAAAAAGTGGTCAAAATTGACCAAAATGGTAAGGGGTAAGGACTTACCATTTTGGCCAATTTTGACCACTTTTTGGTCGTTCCTAAAACCAACCAAATACGCTCTAAAATGAAAGATATTAGTCTTAGGAAGCCATTTTTAGCATTTCAAGACAGTTTTTGAACAGTTCAAAAAGTGGTCAAAATTGACCAAAATGGTAAGGGGTAAGACTTACCGTTTTGGCCAATTTTGACCACTTTTTGAGCATTCCAGAAACCGACCAAATGTGCTCTAAAATGAAAGATAGTAGTCTTAGGAAGCCATTTTTAGCATTTCAAGACAGTTTTTGAAAAGTTCAAAAAGTGGTCAAAATTGACCAAAATGGAAAGGGGTAAGACTTACCGTTTTGGCCAATTTTGACCACTTTTTGAGCATTCCAGAAACCGACCAAATGTGCTCTAAAATGAAAGATAGTAGTCTTAGGAAGCCATTTTTAGCATTTTAAGACAGTTTTTAAACAGTTCAAAAAGTGGTCAAAATTGACCAAAATGGTAAGGGGTAAGACTTACCGTTTTGGCCAATTTTGACCACTTTTTGATCGTTCCAGAAACCGACCAAATGTGCTCTAAAATGAAAGATATTAGTCTTAGAAAGCCATTTTTAGAACAGTTCAAAAAGTTGTCAAAATTGACCAAAATGGTAAGCCTTACCCCTTAGGAACACTCCAAGATGCAAAACCAACACTCACCTGTGAGAGACAATGCTGCATGACAAAAGACCAACATGACAAAATAGGAAATATATCACCTGAAATAAAATATGGAATAAAAGTTTTATCAATTCTACAGCTAGTGTAATATCAAAGTTTGCCTTGAAATTGTGCAGGACCCAATTAATGTAAATGCTATTTTGTACGTAATCAGTCAAAAATAGGAAATAATGTAGGAATTGATTGTATAAGAATTTAGCATGCACATTTCAAACTAATTGGCCAAATTTATCATAAGTTTTAGTTTATCAATTATCTTGGTTTTTTCAAAAACACTCAAGCATGCAATAATATATTTCAGGCATGTCAAGAGTTTAAATAACTTTTTAAGGCATATTCGAAAAGAATGCAATGAAAACTAGCTGCCAAAATTGCGAAAACATACTTAAAATAAAAAAGTACTTAAGATAACGTACCTTGAGAAAAAACATTCTCTTCACACAACAACACAACAACACTAAAGATACACATTAGAAGGTATTCGTAAATAAAAGGCACAAAAAACCATTCCTTATGTCCACCTTATTATGCATGAGTTTTATAAACACAAGTTTTCAGCACCTCTACATTTGGGAGAATTAAACGGGGGACATTTGAAACAATCAATAAAAAATAGTCAAAGTCATCTTCAGACAGAATGAAATACAATACTTTACAATGCATATACTACATTATAGATACAACATAGAGAGTGCGCATATTCAATCCAGCATTTGGGCGGAAGGCTAGTTAATCCAAGCTGAATTTGTTTTTTACTCTACTTTTTTAAATTGTTGGCTGGTCATCGTTTTTGGTCAATCAATATTCAATAGACGTTTCTTATAGAAATAGGCAGCAGATTTCCATTTCATTACAGGCTGCCTTTATCATGAACGTTTAGTTTTACTGCTAGTAGTGGGGGAATTAAATTTAATATAAAAGGTCGTAAAAATCTAAAAACGCAAATAGATTAAATCCAAATTCAAAATGAGGCAACGTGAAGGCGATTCTAAACATTCTTAGTAAAAATGTTGAGGAATTTCTGAAGGAATCAATCGAAATCGTGCAGGAAAAAATTCAAATTCAAATTTACCTTTGTATAAATATATGCAAAAAATAATATCACATTTTTAAACCTGAAATGAATATCCGTCCAGAATGTTGACTGAAATACAGCTCAGTGGATTGCAGTTGTCATAGAAACGTTTTAATCTGGATGATAAATATGGAAGTCAACTGGAGTGAGGGGATCAGAATAATTTTTTTTACTTACTTTCAATCTCACTATAATTAAAGAATAACAGATTGAAATAATAATAGAACTAAATCAGGTCATTTAGTCTTATCTGTGTTTTATTTCACCGTAGAATACCATAGCCCACTTTTAGCCTGCTAAGATTAAAACAATAAAACAAGTCTAATACACCTTATGCATGACATAACAAGCTGTGACACCTGCACGGAATTCTGGTCCTAGTAGTCACAGCAATCTCAAATGAATTTTTGCCGTGACTACTAAAACCAGAATTCCCTGCAGGCATCAAAGCCTGATACATCATTATGCATAAGGTCTACTGATCATCACTCAGCCGAGTTCGCAATTGCTTGGACTGAGTTAACCATAAAGTTGCATTCGTGGATTTTGCACACATTATCTACAGCGGTAAATTGAATTGAACAAAATTGATGTCAACTGACCTTTATTCTACCTTTGAAAACCTTTAATAGAAATAAAGGTTTCCTTGCTCAATATCAGCCATATCTTTTAACAAAAAACAACAATTCTGAATTTTCCTCTGTTCATTACTATATCATACAATTTGGAAAAATATATAGCATGGTTTACAGATTTTCTTAAATAACAATAGTGCATCAAAGTCTAGACTTCGTAAAATTGTTCTGTTTCTTATATAACCACATTAATCTCTTCTTTTTCACTCATCGTCAGCTTCCAATTCATATTTGTGCTTGATGTGCTTCCATAGTTTCTACAAATATGAATATAAACAAAATCAAATATTTAATACACCAAACATCTATATTAAAATATATCTCTAGCAAATATGCACACCAACTCGCACTATTTCAGGCCAGAATAGTGCAGTATTGGTCTGATTTTATCCATAAAGGATATAGTTTTTATAGTATTAGGTTATATTCAAAAGGGTTTTTACTTTATAAGAGATTCTTCGCTCTACTTAAATCTTTATCAAGGAAACGACATACCCCATGATTAACTCTTTCATAATAATTATCTAACCCTTGATCAAACACTCGTTCGAAGAGAACAGCACCAACGACAATAGTTAAAGCAAATGTAGAAGTTCTCCGAAACAAAGCATTATAAATATGTCTACCAAAAGCCATGAAAACAAATCGATTTTCAAAATTTTTAAAATCACTTTTTCCAAGATGGCGAACGAAAGTGAAGATCTTCCACTTCGCAAAAAAAAAACTTCCCAGCTTGATTTTTGAAAAATGAAAGTCAACCACAGTCACTAAATCATCTTCAACGCACCATTCATGCAATTAATTTGTATTTTTAATATTTACTAAAATATTGATGCATTCAATGAGATACTGTCTTTATTATTATATACAGTATGTACAACTGCTGATAATTTTAATATAAATTGGAGAATTGGACACTCTTCATCTATCTTGAATGACACTAGCAGAGACCGATGATTTTTTTCCTTCAGGTAGAAATTTCTATTTTAGGTCTCGCTTTGCACATGGCATCATTGCTTCGACTCATTGTCAGCAACAAATTATCTCTCATCTTCAATTTCCTCACGTGCACCCCATTGAAACCCACCAGGTCGGTCTTCCGGCATTGGTTCGTAATTTGGATCCGCAGGCTGACCGTCAAATATTGTTTTCCTGAATATAGAATTTAGCAAGTGTTGAACAGCTTGCAACTACATTGTGATACTGGTACCAAGTAAATACTTACAGAATTGATGGTGTTTTTAACATTTTGAATCCACCTGGCTGTTCTGGGAAAACATCTTCCAGAAAATAATAGACATGACCAACAGCAATACCTACATAAAATTAAAACTTGTTTGAAAATAACACAGAGTATGGCTAACATTTTGAATTTTTTTAATAAAAAGCAATTCATCTCACCCATTAAGTCAACAATGACAGCATTTCCTAACATCAATGAGAAGCCAAGTAACACCCATGGCAAATACGGTGCCTGAAAGTTCAGCAGACCAAAGAAATTCATTCTGATATAAGGGTTTCTTCTGCTCCAAACGTAAACCAACATTATGGTAAACGCCTGGCCTAAAAAAACTATATTTATACCCAATGAAATTAGCTAACAAATAAGTCAAGGAAGTTTATATATATTCATTTGTTTACACAAAGGTGCCTTCACTTAGACTCCAATAGTAAATACTGGACTGAAATGAGTTATAAAGGATACGGTCATGACAAACGCACCAAACAAAAACATGAACACAAAATCTGCAGTTCTTCCACGAAATGATCCTTCCTCTAGCATCCTGCAATAACGATATCTCCACAGAATTAAGGTAAATCTATTTTGAAAATAAAACCATGCATCTTACAGAGGTCAGATCTGCAAGGTACTAATAATTGTATCACTACATGGGAACCCCAAAAAGCCAAATGTATTAAACCAAATTCCTTTTCATTGTAAAGGATACGTGAATATCATATTAAATAAAAAATTAAAACCGATCGTTCCAAAAAAGAGAAAGTTTGTAAACAGTCGCCACAGCTGAAAGAGAAATTATTCCATTTTAGCTCATAATTTGTTTCTTCTCATATAACTCATATTTTACACATATCAAAGAATCTTCCAATCAAAACTACCTGGTATTGCTTGAATATCAACTCTGGATTGAAATACAGTTGAAACGGTGTAATTATGTCCAATTGCTAAAGAAATAAACAAACGAATATGAGTGACCAGTTACAAAAAACGCCGTCAAAAACTACACATAAAATTGTACTTGTGCACATATTCGACAGATCAAAAAGCGTGATTTAGAAGTTCAACAAATGCTATTTACCACAGCTAACGTCGTAAAGACACAGGCAGTCGTATAAGCCCGTGTTACAGTGGGCATTTGCATGTATTCTGCTTGGAAGGATTGGTACGCCATCTTGTTTTATGTTTTCAAGAAGAACCACTGATGTAAATGACGTCATAAATGGAACTGATCTTACGTGGCACTCGAAATATGGTGGTACTGTGGATCATTTCCATATGATTGATAAAGAGTAATTAAAACGCTTCAGCAACTCACATTACCATGTTCTTCCTAGAAGTCCAGTAAGAATCATCTTTTATTGATCCAGTGTTACTACAGGAGGAAATCTAAACAAAACTAACTTTATTTATACTGGATAGTTCTATCAGTTCTAAACTGTTCTTCCTAGAGGTCCAGCAAGGATCATCTCTTATTGATCCAGTGTTACTACAGGAGAAAACCTAAACTAAACTAACTTTATAGTTTATACTTACTGGATACCACAACCAGTCCTTCCAACAGGTCCAAAAAGGATCATCTCTCACAAATGTTTTATTAATAATGTACAACTTTAAAAATATTTACAATTTTAATATTGGTTTTAATTTGATTTAAACCAGGCACGAAAATCCCAGGAAAACGTGGACAGGAACAGATGAATTGTTTTCCTAACTAATGGATGTTTGCACTAATCACATTAATCTTCAGTTATTTCAATTGACAAGCTAGGTCGTGTTTTTTTGTCAAAACGATGCTTCCTATTTTTCAATTTCTGCCGCAAGTCTGAAACATCAGAGTTCCTCCCTCCTCTGATGTTACTTTTCGATAGTTCTTCATCCATTTTAGCAGAATTAGGGAGATCATTCATATGTTTTTTTCTTAAAACACTATCGGAGGGTTTACTCAGTCGTGATCTTATACTAGTATGCCTTTGTTGGTCTGCATAAAGATTTCCATCCGGAGTACTTCCTCTGGACATACCTTCAGATATGAGCACTTTAACTGGAGGTTCATCAATGTCCATTTCATCCTCAAACCTCCCCATACTGTCATCGGAATCTTGATTAAAAATTTCCACTTCTGGGCCTTGGTCGAGTTCTGTCTTAATGCGATTTTGATCCGCATTAATTTTACGTCTCCTATGGGTGAACATATAAGAGTTCAGTTTCTTGTAAATGGGAACTTGAACTCTTGTTTCAAGTTCTGTTTTCAATCATGATATACACTACAACTAGAAAAATACTTTTTAAAACATTTTTACCTTGAAGAGCTGACTAGACCTCTTCTGCTCGCTAAAAGGAAGAAATTTTATTCTATATAAGTCTTTATTGAAAGGAATTATAAATTTCCAATTTAACTTCATATGACCTTTTACAAATGTCTCCATTCAACACTATTCACCTTTTCGTTTTTGGCTTTCCGGATGTCCGTGGATAAGATAATAAAGACTCCGCGAGCCAGCACCTTTTATCTTCTTGTCAGCTGTAGTTGCATATCGCATCAACAGTTGTTTTGACTTTGGGTGTTTCACTCCAATTCTCCAAATATTCTCCAGTTGCTCATCTTCACCTGGATATGAATGGAATATAGGTTTGGTTTGGTTTCAATTCTCTACATTACACACAATGGATTACAGAAAGAAATAAAGATTAATGGATGCACTATTTCCAGTTTTACTAAAAGAAAAGAGAGTATAAGAACATACACATTCTACTGTCCTCAGCTGGGGTAAATTTGGTTCCTAAATTTGCAAATGCTCTTTTGGTTGAGTTTTCATCCTCCCACACAACAACACCTAGATAATGATAAATAACTTTGTTCAATCCTATTGAGGTAAACAACATTTTAGAAAATATATAGAAGCTTCAGTTTAAAAAATGTCCTAGTGACAATGAGCACAGTGGTTAGACATACATGATATATCATCAATCCATTCTATGGAGCCAGGCATGTAACCTTGAAAATATTCAAACACATCCTTTGTGCTCATTTCATTCACACCAAATAACAGAATTGCATCCGATCTGATCTTCGCATCTGGAAAAAGAAATATCTATGAGAAATACTCATGAGTAGTTCTCTGGTTACACAGGTGACATTGCTATTTTACTTTGTTAATTGTTACATGCAAAATATGAAGCTTCAAGAAACAGCAATGTGACATGCGTAACCTGACAATATTCGCCCTGACACATAAACATCACTATCACTCATTGATGAGATTTCACAGTCCCAGAACTATAGTACCATAAAAAAATCTTTCACCTTGATTATTACTTGGAAGATTTTGAACAGAGCTATAAATAAGTTAAAAAGCAGAATGTAAGGTTTCATATCATTATTGGTGAAGTTGGTCTTGGTTAGTATAACTTTATGAATTCTTTTACCTGGGTAATGCTTCAATCTCAGTAGCATTTTCTGCCTTCTCTTTCACAGAAATACCAAATCTTTGTGCTCTTTGTAACCTCTTCTCTTCCGCTTCCTAGAAATGATAGTAGTGTTCAGAAAGTATCAATAGGAAAATCATAATGAACTGGTTCAATGCCATTTTTTATAGCTAAAAGTCTAGTAACCATATGACATTTTTTTTTAAATAATATCCTTTAAACATGATCAATAAGTGATCATTAATTCTGCCTAAATCTGACAGTCAGGTTTAGTGGAAATACTTGAGTGGGAATTCTGCAATAATACCTTAGAGGTGACATCAAATCCTGTGATGAAATTACTACCATCCTCATTCTGGTATTTCTTTACCTTTATGAAAAAAGTATCAAATTCAATTATTTCTGAAACAACCACTTGAGTCTAGCAATTATACAATTTTGAAACTCGTCTACTGTGTACATCAAATTAACCGTGATTTAACTTACAGGGACATCGTTTAATCTAGCCTCGTCGTCTTCGTCCAAAGGAACTTCAACTTTTAAATCTTCGAACTCCATTTTTCTTTCAATTTAAAATTTCTTCCATATTCGAAAATTTGATAAGCAACAAGAGCCCGTGATTCATTTTTCATGTAATAAGAATTATAGTGGATGCAAGGGGCTATGACGTCACACAAGCGGTGGGTGGGGTTGGTGGGTTCCGGGCACGGGGACACGCAAGTGAAGCAACCCAAATCCAATAAATTGTTCAAAAACTTAGACTCATGATGGGGTAAGACTCCTTGGGATGCAGGTGTTCTAAGAATGGTCAAAATTCTTAATACTTTCATGACACATGATGATGTATTGTCATTAATTATGAAATTATTAGGCAAAATGAAAAATACATCCAATACAAGATTTACTTAGAACTACAAGGATCACAATACAAAAGTTTACAACAGTCAAACATAGTTCAAAGTCATTGCAATGCTCTGACAGCTAGAAATGAAAGCTGAAGCTATTGTTTTAAAAGGGCTCTAAAATGTCCAGAATACATACAGTGGCTCAGTTATTCTACTCATTGCCTAGAATACACTCTATGCTGCCGGAAATTAGCTGTCCTAACACAGCTGGAGGTGAAGATATTTCGTGGTGCCTTGTTCTTGTCTTTAATAATTTACATTGCATTCCTTGCTGAGAACTAGTACGGAGCATCTCTTCTATCACGTCTTCTGTCTTGCCTGTCAAAAAAAGAAAGAAATGCAATTTAGCTATTAGACTTGGATCTTGAATTTCGTCAATTATAAACAAGAAATTTCATGTAGCATCAAATCAGAGAATTGTAGTTATTAAGCCTTCACTGTTGTTCAGGGTACCATTTCTCATCATCTTTGAAGTCAAGAATAAACAATAAAAAGTCTTGTGTAAATCTCAAAACTTTGGGTTGTTATTACTGTATCATCTTATGCCTCATATCATATGGATGTACTTACGCGCCATCTCTCCCCCCTCCATATCCACCCCCACGTCCTCCTCTTGATCCTCCACGACCACGACCACCGTATCCTCCACCATAACCTAGAAGTGAAGATTTAACAACATCAACTCTGAATGCATATCACTATTCACTAGCAAACCTCACTCTGCCTTAGTTTACCCATATCCTTACCCTTAGTTTACCCTTCAGTTATCAAGTCTAGAGCAGGCAAGGATGACTTTGTTTGAAATAAAATATTGGGCGAGAAGGTTGACTCAAGAGAATCTAAAACAGCTTCTATTGCTCTTACCTCCTCCCCCACCACTTCCTCCGTCATCTGGTTTGGGCGTATTACATCTGTTACATGATGTCCTTCGTGCAAAGTTCATATTACTACATCTACGATAAGAAAATACAAGAGCAATTAATGAGAGGTACAAGATTGTATACAGCAATAATCCCAAAAATATCAGAATTCTGCCAAGGGCGGAACAAGATGAAACTTACGATGGACAATCCCAGTCTCCACCACCACGATCACCCCCACCTCCTCGGCCACCACGAAAACCTCCACCACGGCCACCACGAGATCCTCCTACAATTGGTTATAAAAGGAGTCTTCATATCTAGGTCACAGGATAAGCTGGCCCACTTTGTGTTTTAAAATTTCAGCAGGTATTTCAGAAGCTACCAGAGTTATTCCCCTCTCCTTCATACCTCGCCCTCCTCCTCCACCGCCGCCTCGTTCTCGCATCTTCTTTGGCACAAACTTCTCTGCAAGTTCCACTTTGATATTCGCACCCATGAAATCTTTACCTGCAAGACAAATAAACATTTCGTAAGTATTCCTTGTGATAAACTTCTCTTCTTTTTATCACCACCCCAGTCCTACACCTCTGCCTTATGCAACCCTCAGAACTCAAGCAATGATTACTTACCATTGAACCACTCAATTGCAGCACTTGCTGTTGGTGGGTCATCATAGGTAACAGTAGCTTCACCCTAGTGAACACAACACCATCAATTACATACAACCAAACATTTTCACATTCACCACCAAAATCTGACTGACCTTAGACTCTCCTGTGGGCGTTCGATACAACCATATTTTTTTCCCTTGTGTCTTTTTATCAATCTATAAAACAAAATCATTATTGTGATGGTTCAAGATGGTTCAAATTGGATATCAAGATGGTTCAAAATAATACAACATGCATATAGCGAATGCTTGTTGTTCAAGACCATTAAATATTAAATACCTTGATGATGCCAATGGATCCAAACATGTTCCCAATCTCTTCAACAGTCACATGTGGAGGTATACCAGAGATGAAGATGGTGTCATCTTGATATTCTTTAGGAGCACCTGAAATGACAAGATCAAGCAATTAATACTTGGCTCTTCTTTGCCCTAATAATTGAAACAGAATATTTGACAAGTAAACTCTTTTATGCATACCTGATCCTTGATCTGAGTGGCCCCCTCCTGAAACATAATAAAAGCCAGTTAGAATATGTGTCACAAACTAACCATATTCCAGTTTTAAAAAAAAAATGAACAATCTGTAAAGCATATAAATCTGTCTTTTGAGACCTATGTGTAAATGTGCCCCCCCCTAGATTCAATGGAATCAAATGGAATCCATCAATTGGCAAGTTCACAAAATCTAGACCAAAGATTTCAGAACACCAAAACTGCGTTCATCAAAAACAGTACCAAGTTTTGTAAAAAAATAATAGCAACCCAACCGATGACACAGTAAATTGGTTTAACACGAAGTTGTACAACCGCAATCATTTGCCGAAACACTACTTTAAAAACACCAACATATATTACAGTTAGTGACCAGCTTTAAACAGTTTATAATACAAGCTGTGATACAACCAACCACATAGAAGTTCATTTGATGCTTGTTAAAATGCACCAGTAAAACAAGACCGCAAATACTGTAGTGATTACAGTGCATTTAAGATTTAACATCACAGAATAACCGAATAATATTTACAGGAAAGAAGAGGATTAAAGTTTGACTTTAATTTACCTGACTAAATGTAGTCAACGGCTGCAAATATATCTGCATATGTAGTGCACACAAGTGACCACTTTTTAACCCTGCAGATAATGTGACCATAATTTCAAACCACAAGCTGTACTTCAGCAGTTTTATCACAGAGAATATGGACATTTACCCATGAAATTTCTACCAGTACAATTCGAACCACGTCTAACCCGAATAGTTGACCATTAAACGCATTTTAACTCGCAATTTACAGGGCGATAATCATACCATTCGCCAAAACCGCAAATACCATGTCATTTGTTAGACAAACTGCCCAAGCGTGGTGGTTTAAAAAGGTGGTAAAGATCTTGCCTGTTGTTTTGACTTACCCGACCCATAACCTCCAGTGTTTCCACCATCAGATCTGTTACCACCTCTACCTCTGTTAGACCAATATTAAATATGCAAATGACGTCACATGAGGACATAAATTATACAGTCAGTGGCAGACACTTTGAAATGGGCCTCAAACTTCAGTTGCGCTCACACCTTTTTGTTTCCCCAAATATAATAACTATAGATTGAGTATGGTCTGACTTATAAAAAATGCATCTCGCCGGACACAAAACCGGCGATTTTCAAAGTTTTTTCTCTGCCCGAATGCCTGCCACTGACTACAATAGACTCTTTTTGTTAACCGACCTTGTTAAAACGTGATTATAGGACCTTTCACAAGTATGCCAATAATGTAAAACATTGCTCTTTGGTTTTATTTCATGCCATAGATTTAAGTGGTGGTCAACTTGAGTAACTGGAGGCAGAGTTCTTCACTGTACATGTTGGCTTTGTGCTTAGTTGCAAGTGCAGTATAATATTCGAAACGTTTCTGGTTGACCACCACCCAAATCACAGATCACAATGCCAAATGAAACCCATTATTTGATGTATAGAAACATAGGGACTCCAATTATAACGAAATAAGGGTGATAGTTAACTTTAAATATAACAAGAACTTTGATATTTCAAACAAATCTCGAATTTTTGAAACAGACTATTTCAAAAATTATTGCTATGAACAATGTATGTTTAAACCAAAAAATCACAAAAACAGTTATACCTTTGCAGCACAGCAACTATTTGATGACTTCTTTATACTGATGATGAGACAGGATCATAATTCAATTTCCACAACTTTGTTTGTGTGAAATATTTTTATAGCAAATTATTTATGCTCTCAAACTGTTGAAACGTTGCACAGATTTGTGGACAGCGAAAAAAATTTCACACAAAACAAATATCCAGAGTTGATGACAGTTATTCTACCCTTTTTAACCGATGGTTATGATTATAGTTCTCCATATTCGGCATCAGAGTTTTTCACCATTTTTAAAGTGACAAAGAAACCATTACAAAGAACCGCAAAATTTAGAACCGCTGAAAATCCACTTGTAGAAGTAAAACGACAGATTGTTATACACCCATTTTTCACCAAAAACATGGATTTAAAAGAAAATGGTGCACACATTACCAAATTCATTTTAACCAATCCATTTGCACAGTAAAAATTCCGAACTAGACAAAGTGATTAAGTAATGTCCTACTAAGAAAATTATAAAATACATACCCTCCTCCATAGCCACCCTTATCGCCATATCCCCTATCTGAACCACCATAACTACGGTCACCACGATTGTTACGACCATATCCGCCACCACTGCTACCATAACGATCATCACCACCTCTATTGTAACTTCCCCGGTCACCACCTCGATCACCATATCCTTTATCTTGGTTTCCGCCACCATAACCAGTATCCCTTTGGTCAGACCTTCCACCATATTGCTGGTCACCACTAGACTTATATCCACCACCACTTGAGCCACCATACCCTCCAGATTGGCCACCATAACTCTGACCATAACCAGTTGTCGGAGCAGAAGTTGAAGGTGGGTTACCACTGTTACCATACCCTTGATAACCACCCTGTTGGTAGCCACTCTGCTGGCTACTACCACCATACTGTCCAGAGGATGATTGTTGATATGAGCTAGTTTGCTGACCACTGGAATATGGTGGTTGTTGACTGTATCCTGATTGAGTGTAACCACCACCCTGTTGGTACGAGCCAGAACCTTCGGTTGATGGTGCTTGCGTAGTAGAAGAACCATATCCCCCAGCTTGGTACGAGGTTGTTGTCGCCCCATGTTGGGAGTATCCCCCATATGATTGCTGAGAACCCCCGCCATAGCTAAAAATTTTAATACATTGTTAGCATTACTGACATGCTACCTAGATTTTGTCCAATAATACCAACCATGCAAAATATTCCTTTGAGTTAAGCCCCTCAAAGAAGGTAATAAGTAATAATATTACCTTTGAGATCCATAACTTTGCTGTCCACCAGGTGGTGGCTGCTGGTTGTATGAATCTAAAATGGCCATGGAAATTATTTCAGTCAGTTTCAGACCAGAAGCATATATATGTTATTTAAAATGCCACATTTACCTGCATTTTACATAAACTTAGGTTCCTTAGGAGTTTAAATCATAGATTGAAACCCCAATTTAAAATCTATGCTGCAGATCTCATAGATTAAGCCTATAAAATCGAGGTTTTTACTATTTTTTTTCCAAATCAATCAACTACGAAATAAGTAACACGAATTAAGTGTACTTCGAGACTATGTTTGATGCCTTTATTGCATATCTAACAAGATGTTGATAATCTCACGAGGAAGGATAGATAATATTGTCACACAAAAGCGCGCTTGTGAGTATAAATTCAACGGAAACACTAGCAAATGTTCCCTGCAAACAAACATCAAAATCATGAACAGGTCCACCGCAAATATACGTGCTCGCTAAATTACACAAGACACAACAATTTCAATACTAAAGTGGACATGATTTATCTATTTAAACACCCAGGATATAAAACATTCAACTTACATGATTGATCAGTCATTTTTCACCAAGAAAATACACTTTTTATGACAAAATTTCTCCAAAAAATCCAAGCACGAGGTCACGAGCTTCGCGTCACTGCGTCAGTTGAAAATTGTAACTTCACGACGCAGTTCACGATACGATACTTTCCGACATTTTCCGATACTCGTTGCGTGCTCACGAATAATGCGGAATTTTCAGAGAATTTCGGATGCGGATTGCGGACGAGGGACTCAGATTGACAAAAAAATAATTTTTTTATATTTTACTTCAATTTTTTCATCTGAGTTCACTTTATCTATTACTATTTCCTTCCTTCGATGAAGGAAGATCCTTTTATCGTTTTGCTTTCTTGGCATCAACTATGCGCGCATATTTATTTAGTCAAATCTTGTTATCAAAATTTTATATACTGAAGAATCAAATTACAAAATACATATATTACATAATTTTACAACTCACTAAAATCAATATCATTATTCCAAACAATTACCATCTCTTCTCTAAAGCTTTTTGAACAAATATCTAACTGGTCTATGTAATTTATTTTTCTAGGATTTTATACTGAATTAGAGTTAAATATTAGTCAGTGTTACTAAACAATATTTTGCTAGTTAGCTATAGGTTAGTGTTAATTGAAAAATACAATCGAATGTAATGAACAATCAAATATTGATTGGATTATAAGTAATTTTTTTTCGTTGAATATTGGTGTCCGTCGTTAACGTTTCAAGACGAACCCTTGGAACGAACTTGGTGTTATAAAAATGTAACAAAGGAAAGTCACTTGGGGGGCTTCTGAAGGGGTACACCTCTTTCGCAAGAGCTTGTTTGCTTGGAGCGTCGGGCCAAAAGGTCAATATTCTCAATTTGACATTCTAAAGGAAGTTCTCTCTTTCAAAAATTCCAGGAGGTCCTAAGTTCATCATCCATGATCGGGGGGTACCTTTGTCTCCCGGGCCACCCCCCTCCCCCCTGATTAAGGAACCTTATGCAAAGATTTGAATTAAATAGTGATATGATGTAGACCTATTATCCTCTTGGGAACGTTAACACTCAGACAGGAAGAAGAAAACTAAACTACCTTAATTCTACACAGTCAAAAATACGTCTGAATACTACGCGCAAGTCAAAGTTAGATATCGTTTTTGACATCCACTGCATATTTCGTAAAAATACTAAGTAAATACGTAGGATTCGTGCATGAATAGAGAATTGTTCATTTTCTAATTCTAGGATTCAAAACTGTTGACTCGTACGGACACACGTGTGCTCTGAAAGTGTAAGGTATTGGGTCCAAGTTGTCTAACCACCTTTCTTGGGCTCAGTACTTTACAGTCACCCACATTCGCACCAAGCCACCAACCGACAACCACCACCACTCCACTCTCTGGAGATACCGGTAATTCACGAACCTCTTTACATATTCATTGAGTACATATGAGTGTTCGCTGCCGTGTATGCCTGAGTAACGACGTTCTCGTCGCGGGCTGCGACAGGGTTGTATCGGGTCATTTGTTGCGGGTAGGGTCCGGGTCTATGTACACGATGGTACCCACGCTGGGGCCCTGGGGATTGATTTGCTGTGGGATAGTTGAGCGAGTTCACCACGCGATGTATCATGGGATAATTTGGCGACGAAGGATGTGGCGTACAAGATCGATTGAATTCATTTTGAACTGGAAAAAAAGTTGAAAACAAATTAGTAATCCCTCATAACAGTTCCCAAATTCTAGAGGTAAGGATCATCTCTTATTGATCCAGTGTTACTACAGGAGGAAACCTAAACTAAACTAACTTTATTTATACTAGATAGCTCTATCAGTTCTAAACTGTTCTTCCTGGAGGTCCAGTAAGGATCATCTCTTATTGATCCAGTGTTACTACAGGAAGAAACCTAAACTAAACTAACTTTATTTATACTGGATAGTTCTATCAGTCCTAGACTGTTCTTCCTAGAGGTCCAGTAAGGATCATCTCTTATTAATCCAGTATTACTACAGAAGGAAACCTAAACTAAACTAACTTTATTTATACTGGATAGTTCTATCAGTTCTAGACTGCTCTTCCTGGAGGTCCAGTAAGGATCATCTCTTATTTATCTAGTGTTACTACAGGAGGAAACCTGAACTAAACTAATGTATTTATACTGGATAGCTCTATCTGCTCTAAACTGTTCTTCCTAGAGATCCAGTAAGGATCACCTCTTATTGATCCAGTGTTACTACAGAAGGAAACCTAAACTAAACTAACTTTATTTACACTGGATACTAAAGTCTAGAAAAGATAATGTCTTATCACGACAGCAAAATACGAGATAACGTCATTTACCAGTGTTTGTATCATTCATTGTCATAGCAACTGTCGTGGTAAGTGCGCCAGAGCATTGAGGTCGTGAGACTGGTTCAGGTGACTGATGCGGAATGTTAGATGGTAACCGAGATCGCGATGGTTGATGTGATACATTGTTGTCCATTTGTTTCATGACTTCAACTACATTACTAAAAAAATAATAGCACATTGAGGAAAACGAAAAAATGTGCGATAGTTTTATCAGTTCTAAACTGTTCTTCCTAGAGGTCCAGTAAGGATCATCTCTTATTGATCCAGTGTTACTACAGGAGGAAACCTAAACTAAACTAGCTTTATTTATATTGGATAGCTCTATCAGTTTTAAACTGTTCTTCACGAATAGACATTCACTAAAATCCATTCCCTGTTCGTTTGATTTGAATGAGGAATGCAAGAATGATTAGTCTTATTAAGGCGTTAAAGGTTGAATTAATAATTCCCCCCAAGGTCAAAGTGAACGCTTATTAAAATTTGCTTGAATGACAGAATATAATAATACAATTATAAATATTTGCGGTTTTACGTCCCTCAGGCTGGCCATATATGGGAGCATGGGGTTTCATTTTTTAAAACAAAAATAACCAAAAATATACATTCATTCACACTGAATTTATGCCTGTCATTAAATACTGTTTGTTTAGTTTAGGTTTCTTGATCAATACGAGATGATCCTTACTGAACCTCTATGAAGAACAGTTTAGAACTGATAGAGTTATTAAGAGTTATCCAGTATAAATAAAGTTAGTATAGTTTAGGTTTCCTCCTGTAGTAACACTGGATCAATAAGAGATGATCCTTACTGGACCTCTAGGAAGAACAGTTTGGAACTGATAGAGTTATCCAGTATAAATAAAGTTAGTTTTGTTTAGATTTCCTCCTGTAGTAACACTGGATCAATAAGAGATGATTCTTACTGGATCTCTAGGAAGAACAGTTTAGAACTGATAGAGCTATCCAGTATAAATAAAGTGAGTTTAGTTTAGGTTTCCTCCTGTAGTAGCACTGGATCAATAAGAGATGATCCTTACTGGACTTCTAAGAAGAAAGCTTAGAACTCATAGAGCTTTATTCAGTATACATAAGAGGTGGGATCAATAAGAGATAATCCTTTTGCACATGGAGTGGCTGCTACCTGAGGTCCTTCCAACAGGTATCACATGGACAACCCAACAAATCAAACCCGCCCTCCATTCAGCGGTAACATCCGGCCATGAAAGAGGCGAGTATTTAAAAACATAGCAAGCGGTTGACGGGAAATTTGACGCCATCTTTTAACATGGCTTTTACAAAATGATCATGCATGTGTGTTCATCAATGATGACCTTCGACCACACGATCGGAAAAGAATCGCACTTGGAGGAGCTAAGATGTTACCAGTTGGTTAAGGTTACACCCTGGTCACAAAGATGAAAAAGAAGAAATATAACAAGCTGTAATTCTTGCGATGAATAATATGAAAGAGAATATCCAAATCTAGGACGATTTTTATCTCAAATAGCGCAAGAAATCTCTGTTTCTAGACGGACTTTCTTCTTGGACTAAACTCCTGAATATTTCGAAACTTTTGTTTAAGTTGTTGTATGTTTTTCCTTAAGATGATCTCAATCAACTCAAGCAGCCATTGATGGATAAACAGTGTGAATTGATGTATATTTTTCAATTAACTGATAACAAACGTGCGAGTGTGTTTACCTTTCGTTTTCGCGTGATAAACACGTCGCGTGAACACGAAGCAGATGTGACGTTAAGCCAGAAAGCTGGCTAGCGCCCCGTCTGCTGTGTTTGATAACGTCATGCCGACAAATGAGTACCGTGATTGATTAATGGTCTAGCGAAACGCTAGCTTTCGAAGTCGAAGTGCCTTTCGTTCCCCACTTGAACGGCGAAACGGTGGAAATATTTAGAAAGGACATTTGTTAGGACATGTTCTTTCACCTTTGTGACCGAAGGCCTCCAGAAATGATAGAGCTTTTTTCAGGCTGAACGAAGTTAGTTTATGTTTAGGTTTCCTCCTGTAGCAAAACTGGATTAACAAGGGATTATCCAGTTGAATGAATCTGATGCAATAGAAAGAGCTAGTGTAGATGAAGTTGTACGGTTTGAAAATTACGTAGCGTGCCAAATTCGCATGGAGCAGCAATTAATTAAGGGTTATAATTAGCTGCTAGTAATTCACAGGATTTCAGACGCGATAATTGATGATTTTGATATCATTTCAAACGTCAAAAAGAATAATGTTCAAACGAAATCCACAGGAAGGATAGTTGTCAGATAGTCAAAGTGTTGGAGAAATTATTTTTGTATAGACTATAAACCTTCACTTCATTTTCCCGAGTATTAATGGAATGTTGTGGGAATGGTGCTGTCAGTAAAATAGTAATCGTTGATCGAATTTTTGGTGCACTTTCCAAGGGCACAGACTGGATCAGTTCATAGTAGACTAGTTAAACTCTTGAAGAAGATCATTTTCAAAACGCAAATATTGCTTACCAATCATCGGGATCACAATCTCGAAATCCTTTTGCAAATGGATTACTGGCGATCTTGAGCTGAGTGATCTAATAAGGAATAATCTTATCATCAATTGGTGTTGGAGAGTATGGAATAGCATGCTTAGTATATTATAGTATGCCGGGCTTTTGATATGAAAATATATCGTGTAGCATTGCTTGGCATGATGCAATGTAGCATGGTACATATCTAGACGTTAATAGGGTTTAATGGTCTATGATTTGGTCTATGATGATGGTACAAATCCAAACTTTGGTAGGGTATTATGGTCTATGATTTAGTCTATGATGACGGTACAACTCTAGACTTTGGTAGGGTATTATGGTCTATGACGATGGTACAACTCTAGACTTTGGTAGGGTATTATGGTCTATGATGATGGTACAACTCTAGACTTTGGTAGGTTATTATGGTCTATGATGATGGTACAACTCTAGACTTTGGTAGGGTATTATGGTCTATGATGACGGTACAACTCTAGACTTTGGTAGGTTATTATGGTCTATGATGATGGTACAACTCTAGACTTTGGTAGGGTATTATGGTCTATGATTTGGTCTATGATCGATGATGGTACAAATCTAGACATTGATAGGGTATTATGGTCAATGATTTGGTCTATGATGATGGTAAAAATCTAGACATTGATAGGGTATTATGGTCTATGATTTCATCTATGACATGGTACAGATCTAAACATTGGTAGGGTATTATGGTCTATGATTTGAAAAGGGGAAAAGTTTTGAAAAATGGTGTAGTATGGTGTTTTAAATTAGGTTTGGTAGCTTTTATACGACTTTATGTCGTGTGGTTTGGTATAAGGTGCGGCACAAGCCTAGTATGGTAACATATTCTGTTGACTTATTATTACAATTTAATTGCTTTAATGGTTATAATCTAATTTGCTATATGTTTTTTCTTCATTCTAACGCAGTTCAATACATGACCCAAACTCGACATCTGACATACCTCAGCAGTCAATGTGCATAGCGGAGTAACAAAGGTCAGATATTATCAATGACCTCCTGCAGTGATGAAGGCTTAGCACGTCGTATATTGCAATTTAATTAATAAGATCGTCTTTACTGTCAGATAATTGCTAGTTTGATGGGCGTTTAAATACACTGCAATATTAACAATCATCTCCCCCATCGAGATGTTGAATTTATACAATATGAAGCAATGAACATCGATCCCACAGTAAAGCAACTTAAAACCCAATTAATCTAAGATATTCTCAACTTGGGCAGCACGCACATTCCCAGCATGCCTCAGTGGAACATCGATAACACATCTACGAAACAAATCATTGCGGATAACTTAGGTCGATGTCAAAACACAGTATTTGTTATATCTTCATCCCATCAAACGGTCTTTGGTATTTTTTAGGGTAAACGCCAGAGTAATTATGCCCAGAGGTCATATGTTTAACTTGTCGCTCACAATAATCTCTTACTTACCATGTGGTTCTGATAAGCAGTCACGGCCATAAACTGCGTTTCTGGAAAGACAAAAGTCCTCATATTTTCCCTGATAACATCGGGACTGATGTCTTCCACTTGGTGACCCTGTAGTTCCAGATCTGGTTCGATCAAAATAACATGAAAACGAGGCTGGTATTTGTGCATCGAATTCAGGATTATCTAAAATCAAAAACAATTCAGGATTATCTTAAAACAATTCAGGATTATCTACAATCAAAAACAATTCAGGATTATCTAAAATCAAAAACAGTTCAGGAGTATGTATCTTAGAACAATTCAGGATTATCTACAATCAGAAACAATTCAAGATTATCTACAATTAGAAACAATTCAGGATTATCTAAAATCAAAAAAACAACCCAGGATTATCTAAGATCAAAATGAGAAATGAGTTCATTTATCCTAAATCAACCCGTCATATCCTCCATTATCTTGTCTATTATCTCTTCTTATCCTATCGGATATAAAAAACAATCCTATCTTTTCAAAATCACATTTTGCCCAACAGCACTTTACTACGTATATATGCCACTATACTGTGGTTCTGAATTATTCTCAAAGTCATTCTATTCAATTCCAATTACTTCATCTGATTCAATTCCATCTGATTCCATTCAACTCCAGACCATTTCATTAGATTCCATCCAAATTTACCCACCAGTTAACAAACATCACTTCATGAAAATCTAAATATATCCAAGATATTATTATCACTTACGTGTCCGTTGTCATCCATTAAATTATTCGTCAACTTGAGTTTATCAAACGAAACAATTTGTTTCATCCATTGCGTCCCAGTACAGGGCGAATCCGGATGAACGTGCACACGACCAGGGACACTAGGATCAGCTTTGCCTGCAACCAACCATTTTGAGCTATGGAAAGCGTAGCGATACCGTTTATCGTCGACAGAAACAAAGTCCATCATCAGCATGTACTTTGTGTTCTGCTCCATGCCGTAAAGACGAACTTGGAAAGTCGGGAACATTCGCCTGAAACACAACAAACAAATTATTTTAATTATTTATAAAATATCTTAGTGCCTTAGTCTGTGTCTTATCATCGCTGACATCAAATATATTTTGATTCATTTTACTGTTAAGATTGCTCGACTGCACTTAAACAAAACGTTTCATAACAATAAAAATATTTAGGGAACTTTATATTTGCCACAGCTACGAAGTACTTTATCAAATATCCGCTTCTAAAAGCGTTGTGGATGGGGGCGACTGTTGTGATGGAACTGAATGTGGTATGGTGTGGAAATTGAAGGACGATAATAACACTATTTTTGAGATGAATTCTTCATCATAAAAACCCTCGTGGGCATGCTAGATTTTGTAGCTTAACTTGAGCTTTCTAAGTACATTATAGTAAAGGAATAGGCTGTCAGTCAACATTAATCAGAGGAAAGAACAGAGTCCCATATCGCACGACTGAAATTGCATGCACAGCGTTGGCAAAACCACAAAAAAAACTCGCTAAAAAAACTTTTGATTGAAAAGCAGGAATTGAAATTCAATGCCTTTTTAACTTAATATATATATGGCACTCAGCCCTTGTCCAATAACTTCCTATTATTGCGATAAATCACAAGGTCAACAATGAATATAAACAAAGAGTGTAAAGTCTGAAGGTTCTAGAGGTACGCCCATTTTGGAGTGGATCAAACGAGAATGGTAGCAACTCGCACAGCACAATAGTACGCATGACGTTCGTGACGCAATGCGGTGATATCCCAAATACGCTGACAGAAGTATAACGCGATTTTAAGCAATAGGTATTATTATCAAGCTCTGGTCTATTTTTGTCTGACATTGGGTGCTTTTCAGATGGTGGTCAACCTTCCGTCACCAAAAATGATTTAAATTTAGACCTTAAAGTTTAGTGTGCAATAAATATAGATCACCGACGAATGCTCCGTAATTCAATTGTTGCGATATTTTTCATCGCAATTTTCAACCTTGGAAGAATTGACTGATATTTTAGCACGAAGCAACGTAAATAAAACAGGTGTTCGTTAGTTAGGAAACTACAGTCATTTTACAGACCTACATTTCTTACAAGAATTTTCGCACGTCCTTGGAGAAAAAGCTCGTTTATCCTAATACTTTACAACAATTCAGGTTCGAAATCATGTATAGTACGCGCGTAAACGGGTAAACGCACGCATGTCGTCAAAAAATGGTGTGTTTTTATTCCCTGTCATATTTAAAACGTGCAAAAACTCAGCGCGTCTATAGCTTGCGTGAGCGAACACGCCAAGCGGTTTGTTGCAAAACAATTCAGTTATTTTCAAGTTTGACAGTTTTGTTGGATATTATGAAAGCTTGTTGAAGGGTTGTTTTAATTAAATATTTTCTCTTACAAAAAACAGACAATTAAATTGAACAGGAATTATGCAATGTCACGAGATTAATGCTCAGGAAAACCTCGACAGCTCTCGACGTCCCGAAGAATTTCAATGAATCTTCGCAACTCTTTTATAAGCCAGCGACACGCTTTCCACGCAAAGTTACGCATGGCGTATTTGTGTGACTTGAGAAATATTTCTATAGCAACTCCTCTGCTTTGTCACGACAAGAACTCAAGTATACATTTATTGAGATGTTGACCATGTGGAATAGATCATGTCAAATGTAAATAGCTTAGGATTTAGACCTGACCTTAAATGTCCTGGTCAGAAGAGCCAAGGAATGCGGAGTTTGTTTCTCATGCTTTTAAAATGTTTTTGCATGCCAATGCTTAACGACTTGCATCATCTTTTACAAAGTAACTTGTGAGCGTAAACAGGATAAATTAGATAAAGAATTTTGAAAGGGATCTCGCAGTTCATGCACTCAAGAGGTTTTTGTCAAAATGATAAAAAGACGATATGAAATGATTGATATCGCTTGTGTGAAACAAGCTTCACTGGCACATCTGTAAAAACACTAGAAAATTGTTACATACGATGTGTTTCACCTGTGACTCTCTATGAGAATATCGACCACAGCCTTTCGCGATTATTCCTGTGGGATTAACATGACTTATAACACTTCTCATCACGAAACATAATCTATTTCCGCGCGTATTATGCTAATACGCATTTAATTCGCCACGCACAATCGCTTGTGTTTTTAAACATTCCATATGATCTTGGTATAAATACGCAGCCAAGTTTGAGCTAAAATTTTGAAAACTAAAACTAAAAATCTCAACTACTCAAAATTACAATGACTCATTGTACTGAATGACACGTGTTTTGTTATTTTTTCAAAGACTTTTCTCACAAAAATGTCCTTTTGACGTAGAAAGAAATTATAGGACATCAATCATATCAAATTTCTCTCAATTTTGACGATTTTTGGCGAGACAATCTTAACCAGTAAACCCAGGTTGAGCTTTGCAAAGATTGCGGACCGCCTGAAGTATTTGAGATATTCCCACGTCAGTTGATCAATATATTAATTTACAATCGAATTAAACGCAACTTAAAACAAAGTAAATGAATTTTGTGCGAGATTTAATCACTTTCCAAAACACCCTGTGAAAAACACCGATGTAAACAAAAGGTTTTCATGACAATGAAAGCGCATGTCAGACGAACAAACAAAAATGTTTTTGCACGTCAACTTGGCATGAAAAAAAACAACAGAAAGTGTCGCCGTGCGCTGATTAGGAACAGTAAATATTGATGTGGTTTGTGAAAATAAAGTGCATAATTTAGATGTTAAACAGTGGCGTGAAATCTACATGGATTTTCATATAATATTAATTGCATAAGGGGTTGAAAGGAAAATCTGCATACCAAGTAACAACACATTACTATTGTCAGTCTATTAAAAGCCTGCGTGAAAAAAAATATATTATGTACACAATTTGCTTTTACACACTTGATCTAAAGTTCCTTCTTCATCATGCACGCAAAATGTATGGTGAATTAAAAAAATAAGCCAATAACACACAAGAGCCGACAGGCCAAATGTGTTGGTAAAATGCCAGAGTCTTAACAGCTAAGTGTCTAAGAGGTCTTTATCGTGCTGGAATAGCAACGTGGTATAAAAAAATTAAGTGGAAAAATAGTTTAATTAAGCCTCTTTGTATTAATGGCATTAATACACTAAATGGTAGCAATACTTCGCCCTGTAAATATCGAGAATAAAATTTCACTCAAAGCCAATGACCTGGCCTCGATTTCAAACATATTCCCTGCTATTTAATCGATTGACGTTTCATTAATCTTGTCTCGCCAAATTCAACGACTAATTAAGTAAATCCTATGTCAAAAGGCTGGTATATAAGTGAATTAACGATAAAAAATCTTTGATTGTTTTTTTTCTAAGTCCTTTCCTAAGACCAAAACGATGTTTTTCTTCACAAGTATAGCCAGACAGTATACATGAACAATAATTTGATGGTCAATGTTTTAGTAATTCAGAGCCATTTGTAAACGATCTTGCCAACTGAGTTTTGTGCAGGAGATAACTAGATAGACAAGCCCATATGCATATGTGTTTAATTTCATATAATTTCTCGACTTGATAAGATTGCATTTAGTGGCAAAATATTGTTCAGCAATTAATAAATCGTGTGTACCAGATGACATTATGTCATTTAGGCTACATTTTGACCGTGAGAAGGTAGAAATTTAGATGAAGCCAGCGATAAAACACGATAAAACGTTCACATAAAAAATCCTCCTTCCGGTAGATAGTTTGGGAAATATAAAGTGAATCTTTTTCTCACGCAAAAGAATGTACAGTACTTAATCAAATTTGGCTGCTTGTGGGAGTGTGTCTATAGGGTTTAAACCATGAGGACACAGACTTTGCCTAACAAAAAAGGGATAAGGAACACGAGCCTAACTGCTGCAAATATCTTAACCGCAAGACATGAGATAATCTCGTAAAACGCTTCTTGTTTTCTTTATCCTAAACTCAGAGATCGAATCACTGCGAGAATGTAACTTTTCAGTAGGAGAAGCAGACAAATATACATCAGGAAATTACCAGCCGGCATCACACCGACATATCGTGGAAATAATAGTTGAAATAAAGCGATCAGGATGCCTATTTATGGCCATTTATCGCAAAACAAATGAGCAATAATTCTTTACGAAAGGAAGTGAAAGCCAAAATAGAAAGAATGGTTATAACCATATATGTTAATATACATAATTCATTTGATGTTAATAATAGTTTTGGCTTCAATGCGTGCAATTTATTTTCCATTAACATGTCACATCTGATAGGATCACGCGAGCTGTCACAGATGGTAACTTCACTACAAACGCGCCGTTCCGATAGCGAATTCATTTTCGCAATAAAATGAAAACATTTCTTTTTGTTTCGATTCCTAACGAACACTCCATCCTCCTGCCTGCCTAATCATCAGAATTCTAGAGCGGTTTTCCGGTGCGAGAATGTCTGTGTAAATATGTCTGGGAATCAGTGAATGATGTTTGTCTACTGGTTAGCGCAGAGCATCTATACGATTAGAAATATCTCGAGTGAAGAAGTACACGGTGGGCCTGGATTAAACTGTAATATTTGAAAGAATCTTTCGTCGGATAACTTCCGATCATTTTAGGCTTTAGTCAGCAAGTCCTATGGCGCATGCTTTATTTGCGCAAACAATAGAGACTTAGAGAGCTTAAACATTTGACCACACGTTCAAACACGAGGACGTGCGCGCTTACACTCTGAACGCCGCAACGTCGTTCTTGCGCAAACACGCGGCAAGTTTCGCAACGTAATGGTACACAAGAGTTGCAGCCAAATACTGCAAATATTTACATAAATGGCGTCAAGATAAAAAGGTAAGTACTGCAGCATAATCGCGCACAATCTCGCCATATACAGAAGCTTAGGGTACCGCTATAAACAAAAGCGCAAAACACGTCTCATTTGCATACAACACGTCAAGGAAATATCGAAGGATTAGAAGCGATATTTCACTATTATTTGTTTCGGGGAAACACAAGCTGCTGTGCGCGTATGTACGTCTCTACTGTTCCAAGGCTGCGTTGTACACCGCGCGCGCTAGTGTTAACAGCGGCATAGCATGCAATAATATTGGTTCAAGACCGTGTAAAGAAAAACAGACATATCCGCCTAGAATCATGCTATCAATCAACAGAGCGCTATAAGATCCATTAAATAGCAAAACGACAGGACAATAACAGCATCTTAAGTAATGAAAACGAAGCCAAGTGTACATAAAATTTTGTTTAGATTAGATCGATCTTACACCCTGATAACAATATACTGCAGAGCTAAGCTTTGATGTGTGGGTTTTAGACTAGTTCACTTAGTTTTCAGCCATTCTTCCTAGACGTGCAATAAATTAAGATTATCCCTTCTTATTGATGCAGTGTTACTAAGGAGGAAACCTGAACTGACTTTATTTATACTAAATAGCTGTATCATTTTTGAACTGTTCTTCCTAGAGGTCCATCTCTTATTGATCGAGTGTTACTATCACAAGAAATCTAAACTAAACTAACTTTATTTATACTGGATAAAGCTCCATCAGTTCTAAACTGTTCTTCCTAGAGTTCCAGTAAGGATCATCTCTTATTGACCAGTTTACTACACAAGGAAACTAAATAAACTAACTTATTTATACTGGATAGCTTCATCAGTTCTAAACTGTTCCTCCTAGAGGTCCAGTAAGGATCATCTCTTATTGACCCAGTGTTACTACAGGAGGAAACCTAAACTAAACTAACTTTATTTATACTGGATAGCTCTATCAGTTCTAAAATGTTTTTCCTAGAGGTCCAGTAAGGATCACCTCTTATTGATCCAGTGTTACTACAGGAGGAAACCTAAACTAAACTAACTTTATTTATACTGGATAGTTCTATCAGTTCTAAACTGTTTTTCCTAGAGGTCCAGTAAGGATCATCTCTTATTGATCCAGTGTTACCAGTTCCAAACTGTCCTTAGAGGTCAAGTAAGTGCTACTGATTAATTTTTAGTTTTACTTTTGGAGATGAATTTGAAAAATGAAAGAGTCTCACCGCCTTTGAGGTGTTTTCAATGAAAAAAAGAGTAGGAATATCATAATTACTAAAAAATTAATCGCTCGATAGAAATGTACACACAGTTTTATTTAGATTATCAGAACGCATGCAAAGAAAAAGGTGTAGCGACATGGACATGACACAGTCGACAGACGTTTTAATAATTGTGGTATTGTACGGCTTCCTAGGTTATTTCACTATGATGCAGGGGAGTAATTCTATCTTATGTTTATTAAGAATATATTCAGGAAATTTGAAAGCAAGCTGTGACAATGAACCTCTGTTGGTTGAGCATAGTTATTACGCTGCTATATCCAGCGTCGTTACCCTGTTGTACTGAGTTTAAACCACGCTGCCCGGTGTTTATAGGATGCCATTATATTCCCTAATAATTCTAAAACTACCGTAGAATGATATGGAAATAAAACGATCGCCTGTTTGACGATTAAGCCCTGAAGGCTGAGACCGTTGGTTATATCATATACCTATATACGCGCGTTCGTCATGAAGTCAAATCTTCATGAAGATTTCAAAATTATTTCATATATCATTGGAAGAATTGACGCAAATTTTCCGTTCCAATGGCTGGAACCACGCGACAATGCGGATTCAAAACTTGAGTATATTTCAACTAAGTAAATACTGCTGGCATATTGAATGAGAAAGCCTACCTTCCCGCTTTGGTAACGATCATTTCAGTGCCCAAGGAATGAAACTCTTCCCATAAACTTTTCATTTCCAATTCCACTCTGATGTGCGCCAAACTGCGACCAGCGTTGCTGGTAGATTTTGGTGGAAAACTTCCAACCGTTGGTGAAATGGTTGGTGAAGGTCGTTCATCATCGCTGCTCGTTGATCTCTTAGGAGCCTTCTTCCCTGTTCCTGCGTTTTGAAGGCATTCTATGCAAAATAAAAGAAGAAACTTGTGTTAGAAGACATATCAAGTAACAATCGCTGTAAATGGAAACGATTTCTTTCTGAGTAGAACAGACACCAATATTTCGACTGTTGGAATATTCGGGTTCAACGAATGTTTGACTATATTATTATAAACGTTCAGAGCAGCGATAATGAATGTTTTATATTGATTAGGATCCGGTCTACGAATGTCGTATTTTATTATTTCCGAAATAGTTCTTGATCAGGAGCAAGCACGTCTTCGTATTCAACTATATATTAATCCAAATAAAGCTATAAAAACTATGAAACAAATAACTGAGATAGCAAAGAAGGAAACTACGACCTTTGATAGTAAAGTTAGATATTCTCAGGTCACGACAGACGCAACACACAACAGATTGCAGGGTTTGTATATTATGTAGTTATGATTGGTCAAATTGAGTGATTCTAACCGCTGATATTGTTTTGAAAAGTTTCGCACAATTTAGGTCCGTTCTGTTTCCTAATACAAGAACCATAGACTGCAGTAAAGTGGTTTGATTTGTAAAGAGGTTATAGACGCAGCTTAGAAACAGGAATTAGTCTGATTTACACTGGTGTGTGTCTTTCAATACTTTTACGACCAATACACAGGGTAGGACACGAGCAGGCACGAGACTCTATATGGCTCAGTTCCTCGAACGAGTTGGCTTTGCGATCGACTAAATTCGCACAGCGAGTTTTCAAGATTTGGCATTTCCTATCGGTACAAAGGAATCTCATATGGTGTTTTGCTAAACGACGTCTCAAAATACCTAGAAGTTCACTGTGACGCTTATTCACAGCTAGTAACTTATCTTTCAACCAAATGACGAATGGATCAACTACCTTCCATCTCTTTTGTCAACAGTTGAGAAGACCAATTAAACAAGTCGTTCATCCTCATGCAAGCACCGTCTTGTATGCATTGAGAAGCGTCGATAAGATGGGCAATTGAGAATGCATTAGCCTTCGGTGATAGGAACCCAGATGCATCCATACCACAAGCGAGTGAGTAAGATGACTCCACCTTTGCGCATTTATTAAAACCTTGCGGTAATGTTGTCCTATACTCACGCACACACAACTGTATACAGCTTAGAGTAGAAATATTCAAATAAAAAAAACTCTCACAAGTCCTCGTGTGGCGTGCTTTGAAACTGCTACCAGATTACTGCATGAAATTTGATGATTAGAAGTGATGTCAGACAGGCACGGAACCGAGATTTGGCTCACAGGAGAACTTGTTTACCACCAGATTTTATTAACACTTGTGTACGCGATACCTCCTTCGCAGAGTTTCAAAAATATCAAGCGCTCTCATATAACTCCGAGACCGGATTAGTCTAGGAATTTGTAAACCCGTTTCGTCGTTAGACAAGACACTTCGCACGATTACGAACACATTCGTTGTTTCTCGCGAGGGATTCGCAAAATTTTACTGCGATATTACTGTTCTATGAGCACTGGTTGTGATGGAATCCTCAGAGAAATGGTAGCCGTCGATCGAGATGAGTTCGACTGTTAATACCCGCAGATTATGCAGAACATCAACAGGACGCTATAAAACTAAACGTACGAGATTCGCTGTCCAGTTGTCGCGCTTCTATAGTCCACAATTTCTAGCGTGACATGAATGTGTTCTGCTTGCTCTTGGAGTGTCGTGTGAATTCAAATGGATTTCGTTATCGCACGATAGGAACTAATTAAGCTGTGACATCATTCATCATACTCATTACTTTAAGCATAAGATGTCATGTCGTTCCTTTACGCTTCCGATGAAAACCTATGACGCGCATTTTGACAAGCAAGTTACTAAACTCTGCAGACATGTGGCTTGCATTAATAGCCCGAGAATCCAACAAAGTTTCGCTGGGCAAAAACCTTTGCCAAAGCAATTTTGGCAAAATCTTGCAACACTCTGCGTGCTCGTTCGTGTTTGTTTAAAGCGAAATTTGATAGTAGTCCTACCCTTGGTGACACGCATCTTATGGATCTAGAATTGCACCAAATTTGGCCGAACACCTCTAGCGAAACAGAACAACATAGGGTTTTAAACCTTGTTGTTTATTCTGGCGATTGTATTGTCGCGTAAGAACATGAATATGGTGTTGAATATTTTCAAGATGAAAACTAAAAAAAAATTTCCCAAAAAAAACATTTTATTGCAACATCAATACCATTGTTTGTTTTCAACCAAAGCTATTGTCCTTGAATCATTAAAGTGAATCGGATTATACTCGTTCTTCAATCACCCACTGCTTCGAGAGTGGTTGGACGGAACTCGTTAATAAAATGATTCAAGCCAAAAATTTATAAAGTAATTTTTTTGTGAATGATTTGTGCTCAATATATGTGGTTGTGAATGTTCACAAATGAGTCTTTTCAAGATTGATAACTTTTAGTTTGATTGTTAAATAAATATTTTATTATTAAACCTGAGAATAATGAACGTGTATCTTATTTCAATTCTTTTGGCCCTAACTTGGGAGTTTTGATTGTCTTGCACATGATCATTTTTTTTATCAAGCAGTTGCACAATGAGATGTGAAATATAAAACTATGACGTTTGCCGTTTGGATCTAAACCAGTTCACCTTTCACGAGTGAAGGAAACGTCTGGTTGTATCTAGGGATATCTAAATTAGTGCGCATGTTTTTGAGAAAAAAAGAGAAACACGGCCAGGCAAATTCTGGCTAATTTTAAGGGCAAATTGATGTTTAAGACTTTATAATTTCTTCTATCAGCATGACCGACGCGCTATTATTATCCGTCACGACAGCAAATCTTTGGTGCGCAAAATATGCAGAAGTGAATAGTTAAGACGAAATTGCCTTCGGCTAAATATCCTAATTGATGTTTTCGTTAACTTGTGGATTCACATAGAAATTGCATCTTGCCAGGTTGATAATAATGCTGCGGTGTGATTGGAATAAGTTTACATTGGACGAAACCTGATGGAAATCAGCACAAGAACATAAAATTGAAATGCTGCGGAAATTGCTCACATGCATGCATGCACGGTTAAGTTAAATGCACAGAACTTGAAAAGGAAAGTTTAAAATCGTATTGCACACCGCGCACAAATCTTGACGCAATCAAAGCCATTCAATCTGCATGCACGCACTTGCTGCGTGCGCTATAAAAACCAGCGTTTTGAATATTTTGCGTCGACGTTCATATAGCTCTGCGCGTTCAAGACGCGGTCTCACGACTTTGTGTTTTTGCAGACAAGCCTCGCCCGGAAAAGCAATATTTTTGTGTCACGTAAATAAACGTTTCTAAACAAACAATCAAGTGTCAACAATTTCGTTAACTATTTGTCATAAAGTAAACAAACTTGGCGAACTATGAGCTCATCGAAAGGTATTCGGATTAGGGTCACAATATTACAAGCTATCGTTCAACAAGTAAATTCGTACGATGATCTTCCAAGATCTTTAGTGCAGGGGGTCAATTGGAAAGATACAAACTCAATGAATAAGCTTCGTGGAGCTCTATACTACGAGTGCGAATGTGTGATGTGACAGCCTAAATTTTAACCGAGAGTTTTTATGGTTTAAACACAACTTAAAGTCTCTCGTCTGTTTTGCCTCATCTACTATATGAGATACTGTCATGAATGTTTGTGTCTGAAGGAGATATACGTTGAAAATTCAATAAAAATCCCGGGATCATTTCAAAAGGGAAATAGAGTGATTGAAGCGAGCTTGTTCTAGACAGCTTAACTTTCTCACTTTAGTTAATAATAGCACCATCTGCTAGCCGCAAGGTAAGTTGAAATTCCAGTTGACTTGTGTTTGAGGTTTGTCTCGGCCTGTGGTGGGAACGATAAGCGATACTTTCAACAAACACACGCTATTCAACACGTTCCCTATCTTGAAATTTAATTCACATCATGTATTTGTATTGAAAATCTGACGAAGGCATTATCTCAAGCAAGATATAATCCATGAATGATTGGTAACCCTGCATGGCGACTATTGGCCATTATTCAATGACATTCTCTTATCTGTAAACATGTCAAATTCGAGGTCAAAAGGCCGCGGAGATGAATAACCTGTCTGTTAATTGCACGCACTCCTTGTAAACGAATAAACTTAATGTTTAAACAGTACAAATAATTCGTTAAACAGTAAACACGCGGTGAATGTAACTCTCAAGAGGATGATTGGTAAATTCGTATGCATACGAGCAGCTTCTTTGGCAATTACGCAAATCATGCGAATTATGACCTAAGGAGACGCACGTTCAAATATTTTCCCCAAATTTGGCCAGAAATCTACAATAGAACACCACATGACAGTAATGTAGATACTGTCTGCTTCGAAATCACTTCTGCGGTTTAAGATTTTCCTGGCTTTTTTTTATTCGCGCAAATCAGCCACGGATAAGACGGGATGACTGGCATATTGCGACTTTTATATCTCCATGTTTTCATCAAAATTGAGGGTTGCGTTTCCATCAAGCGCACAGCGAGAGAGCAGCAATTATATGTTGAAATACCTAATGCGCTGATTCGAGTCTACAATAAAGTAAGCGATGATAGAATACGTTGATCAAATGCTACAAACTTTGTTTAAACACGCTGTTCAACTTAATTAAGTTGTCCTTCACAAGGGTCGTAGACTGCATTACAGAAGTTCTTCATTACGCAAAGCTCGACATTTCTGTTTAGTTTTTTGAGCTGACAGATGAAAAAACTTCAGGAAAGTTCTAATACAGGCATTGAACGGGTTTTAGCTAGTGTTTGGTAGAAGAGAATTGTGACACTTATCAATATGTATTTAATGAAATCCATGCAAACATGCTAAGATCTAGGACTAAGTTACATCACATCCTCTACAATGCAATGTGCTATAGTCAATCCAAAGCTAGCATTCGTTTGAATTTAAAATGCTAAAATGTTTTTTAATTTAGTTCTACCTTATCTAAGTGGTAATTAGCTTGATATCAAAACCAAGACCCAAGGGTTATGACCCACAAGCCTTGCCACTTTGGCAAAGCTTATTCCTATATTTATTTGTCAAAATTGAGAATTCTTATCATTCTTGTATCAACCAGGAATGTTTTTCCTTTCTGCACATGACCAATCAGTAAACCATGGTTCTAAATAGGCATATTTCATGTTATATGCAATAGTATCCAAACAGGCCTGGCCCTACCAGGAGGGGAGATGTGTAGAGTGTTTTGACACCATGGTTAACACCCCCAGCCAATAAACCTTTTTCCTTTTAGCTTTCAAGTGTGCAATGGGTGATGGTCGTTGATTATCAAGCAACTTTGAGTTGCGATATACAAGCGATTTTGTAAGAAAAGTTTGCCGATTCTTTTTGCTTCTTTGTTAAACTAAATCACTCCTGAACATGGCAAAATCACAACTCAAATTGACCTTGATAATCAACTACTGTCACACATTGCGAGAAAGTTAAAAGGGGAAAGGTCTAGTTAGCAAAAATTTAGGTTGACAAGATGGTCAACCAGGTTTATTATAGGAGATTCCCAACCAATAATTCCAGTTTTTCAGCAAGAACTAGCTAAGGTTTTAGTGCATGACTGGAAATGATTTTGTCCCATTCAAGAAAAACAAGTAACTTCAAAAATCATAATCCATTCACTTTACCGTTACAAAGACTTTATATATACGTATCACACACCTGAATTAAACTGCTTTCTCTCGCATGGATGTCATATTTCTACATGCAGTAGCTATAAAGAGCTTAGAGCTTTAAAAATATAAAATTACTTACATTTAAATACGAATTTATCAACTTCTTTCCTTGTCATCTCTGTGAAATCAGAACACACACTGGAGAGAAAGATTATGAATGTGATGTTTGTGAGAAAAGGTTTTGTACTTTTGCTCAATTGACTTTACCAAACAAACGAACCAAAACAAAAATGGTGGGAGAATTGCGCTCCAGATCTCCACAGACATTTTAGATCAGAGGAGTTGCGTGTACTATGCTAATTTCTGCGAATTCGAATCTGTTTATTTGAACCAATCAGATTCATTTCTTTTTTGCTGTGGCGAATCAGAGACAGCGAAAAAATCACACACTTGAACAACATATTTTATTTTTTTAAATCTATATTTAAATCACCAGTCACTATTACATATTGCAAGATACTTAAGAAAGATACCCTAGTTACATAAATTATTGGTTATATTGATTATATTGATGAGGGAAACCGGGGATGCCCCGGAGGAAAACCCTCAAAAACAGGGGAGTAGCATGAAAAGGGGCAGGGGGGGGGTGCATGCAAAGTTTGTTGCTGATTTCATACCAGCATTGGTAAACTTTTCTGACCAAATAGTTATGTGCTTTCTCTGGATGCACAAGTACCACATGTTTTCATTGATAAAATTTTGGTGTTACACCTCGCCAATTGCAATGGTCACACTACTCCCCTGTTACAATGGTTACATATATTATACCAGGTCATGTTGTGCATACATTTAAGAAAGGGTGCAAGGGTGCCCTCCTAGGTTATATTTAAAGTTGTGGGTAGAGTACACTACTGAAGTTGATAATGACAACACCCAACTATAATAAAACATGCCCATATTGCTAGCAAACCCTAAACTCCCAAGTATAATTTGCTTGCTACAATTCCAAGTATAATGTGCTTGCTATAATCCCAAGTATAATGTGCTTGCGTGCTTGCTACAATCCCAAGTATATAATGTGCTTGCTACAATCCCAAGCATAATGTGCTTGCTACAACCTTGAATACATAGGTTATTATATATTGACCGAAGCAGGTTATATATCGTAAATTAAATTCTAAAGTGAGTTATACAATCACACACATGTAACCTAAACTCAATGGTCTATTACTCTCGAAACGTCGAAGTTCTTCAAATCTTACCTGAGGATATGTGCAATTGTATCACCCATACTCTACATCACATCTACAACTAAAGTACAAGTTTATGTGTTTATGAAGTGTTTATTACTACCCAATTTTTTTATCCCAAATGAAAGGCATTTCCTAGTCATCAGGTCTTTAATTCTGGCAAATTTTTCCAATCAATTCTTTCATATCGATTTTCATGCTGGAATACTTGTGGACTGCAGGATGTTTGACAAGCTGTGCTGCCGTAGGGCGATTGCTTGGATCCTCCTGCAAAGAAAATTGTTTTAGAACTAGAAGACATAATTTAATGTGGTTGGATTTATTTTAATACTTTAGATGTATACTTCAAGGATATATCTGATGCAAGAGAGTATATTTATGAAATTAAATATGTACTTTCTAAACTATTATGCTTAATTTAGTCTCAGAATACAGAATGTGAAATATTGCATGACACCTACCTCCAAACACTGTTGAATAACTTCTGCAAGACCACCATCCATTTGTCTCAAATACGGAAGCTTTTCCTAAATATGATGCATGAAGATTACTTATGTATGTTCTAGATAGCATTTTTCAGAAATTAGGCATTAGAAATTTCATTTTTGACAAGTATTTGTAAAAAAATGGGATATTCACTTACAGCTAAGAATTTCTTGACCAACCGCTCAGCGTTGTAGTTGAATAGAGACCTGTTAATGCCCTTCAAAAGCAACAAGTCTTTGATGTCACTTTGCATCTTGGTGAATTCAACAGGGAATAACAGTTGAAAAAGGAACATTGCCATATTCCATATGTCAGAAGGCCGGCCATGTGGCTCCAGCCGCAAGACCTGCAAACATGAGAGAAAATCTTGTCAAATTTCTTCTGACAACCTTAACCTGTCACTCAAAAGTGTCTTCCTATTTGCTAATGTACTTTGTTTTATTTTACTTTATTCCAGACCACACAACCAGAATACATAGTCAGTTACTAAACATGAACTTAGGTAATCACCTCTGGTGAAATAAGCCCATGTGTACCCTTGACGGGCAAACCAGGTGGGGTGAAACTGTGGTGCAATCTTTTCACTGTGTCATAATCACCAAGTTTAACCCTCAGCAGGTTGTCATGGATGGAGAGCAGCACATTCTCAGCCTTGATATCTTTATGCAGCAAAGGGATACGTGTAAAATGGTGGAGATGTTTGAGAGCATCCAGAGTTTGAGACCAGTAGAACATAGCCTCATATAATTCCAGTGTTTTTCCTTTGTTACACAGCTCCTTCAGGTAGTCTTTGAGCGAACGTTCTATAAATCGTGAAAAATATATACCTACTTAGGATGTATTTTTAGTGCTAGTGAGTATTTTATTGATCAGATCACATAAAATAGTTCTTTATGACAACAACGATGAAAAACCAATACTACGCACCACACTTCTCCATGAAGATGAGACATTCTGACTTTGGATGAACCTTTTGCACAACAAAGTGCGTCTTGACAAAATTTGGATGTTTCCAAGTTTGCTCAAAAGCAGCTTTCTCATCCTCCCCCACTTGATCAGCCTGGAATAAAAAAATATTCTGTAAATATGAATTAGGTGCTTACAACTACACCATTAAAACTTCATTTTCAGTATGTACCTTCTTAACCACAAACTCTCCACACGATGAACCAAAAACAGACTGCTTGACTTGATCAAGTATTTCCACATTGTACAAAGCGCCATGTCCTCCTTTATCAAAGCTATCTTTGGCCATCAAATAGTGGACATCTTCTTTGAAGTGAGTGACATTTTCAATGCTTTCACTTTTCCAAACAATCCTTTCATGATCTAGACTTGGTGAACTCTGTTGAACATTTATAGTGGAATGTTGAACATTTGTTGCTGCTGTCCGCTGAACATTTACTGCAGTTGTTTGTGCTGTCCGCTGAACATTTACTGCAGTTGTTTGTGCTGTCCGCTGAGCATTTATTGTAGTTGTTGGTTTCACAGGAATTGCAGCTTGTTTTGGTAAAGTCTGCAGATTCACTCTAAAAGGAAAAGAATCAACACATGAGGGAATGTAATTATTGAATCTTAGAAGTTAGATTTAAAAGTTTTAGTCTAAAAATGATCAGGAAGCAATAATTTGATATACCTCTCACAGACTTTACATTCTGCAAACTTGCAGATCTTTTTGTGATAATGAAGAACATTTAACCACAAAAGGCATTTTCGACATTTGCACATGCCTTTTTGTTCTTCGAAATGGTGTTGGATCAGCGTCGTTTCAACCTTTGGAGAACAAATTTAGAAAACATTATGGCATTGGTTATGAAACTGCAGTATGTCTCAATCAATTATTCATTCTACCTATTTTTTTGTGTAATCTTTATCAAATTATTTTGCCATTACAAATGATGAAATATATTTAATGGTTACAATATGATCTTCATGCACAGCAAGCATTCAATATTACAAGGGAAGGCTTACCCTGCTGCATTTCATACAAGGTCTCTTGCTGCAAAAGTTGTAGTGGTTCAGACTGACATTCATTACCACTATAAGTTGTTTGGTGGGGTTAACACCTTGCGCTTGTTGTTCAGGTTGTCCGACATTTTGCCGCGGCTCATTTACAACTGAGACCATCTAAAAAGCAAAATCACTTATCACTCACCAAGAATAAGTTAGCCCAGCACAAAAACATTGTTTTGTGTAAATTGATACAGTAAAAAATTTAGGTCACTGTGAACGTAAGACTGATTGGGTATCTATGAGATTTAAAAAGACATGTAAGACTGAGTGAGTATCTAGTGAAGACATCAGTTTCATCAATGAGTCCATTGGACCATTTGGATCAAAATAATCAAATTTATTATTTAAACCATGTTCAACATGAACAGCTCACCTCTTGGTCTTTTGATTCACCCAAAGGGCTGGCCACACCTATCCTCTGAGAACTAGTCGCTGTTTGTTGCTGCCGACAATAGCTGCAAGGTTCATGATCATGCAACTTCCTAGCATGCCTCCCTCCACCTTCATCATCACCATCATCACCATCATCACCAGCACCGTTACCACCACCAACTGCACCTCCTTTTGATGTTTGATAATGTGTACAACAAACATTTCCATTTGTTCTTGTACTTGGAGCTGGTTTTTTAGTGATGCAACCACCTTTTGCACCTGTGTTATGATTCCCCTGACCTGTAGTATATTTATTATGGTGGGTACAAAGGTTGCTATTGACAACCATGCTCGCACCAGCAAAGTCAAATGGTTTTTCATCTTCATTTTTTAAATCACTGTTTGTTAATGTTTCTGAAGCGGAAACCATATGAATGTCTGATCGATATTTTTTATGGCTTGATCGTTTGTTGCCATGTTTTTTTTTCTTCCGCTTTTTTCCTTTCCCACTGGACTTCCATGATTTTGAAACTCCTTTTGTTGTTGTCATGTGGGTTAAACAATCCGGTTGAAGCGGAAACACCGAATCATCATCAACCCCACAAAGGCTATCGTTTGTGGTTTGTGGAAAAACATACTGAAAATCACCTCCTAAAAAGAGCAATATAATGGAATGAATGACTTTACAAAAAAGAAAATTCATATTTTTCTATTGCACATGATTTCAATTTCACAAAATAGCAAATCGCAATCTAAACGCGTAGATGACAAAAAAAGATTTGCCGACTTGCGAAAATACATACGTTACGTTGGGGTAAAAATGTACAATGAAAAAGATTTAAAATCCTAGAATTGCATATTTGATAATAATTTTCATTTAGGGTTTAGCAGTATTTCCAAATAACACGTATATACAGTTATCAGTAAAAAGTTAATAATTAACTAATACATGTTTCCACCACATGTATATATACAAGAAAATAGGAAACCTGTCATATTTCTAGAAATCTATCATATTTACAATTTGAACCATCACTAATATTGGTATACTCATATTCGATCTAATAGTTTGTTACAGTTGTGCATTCTAATGAGAATAGAACTGTTCAACGAAACACCATTACATCAGAAATATTCGTAAAACGAAAGTAAAAAAAACTTGCAAAAATTGTACAATTCTCAAAACTGTACAATACAAAAAACACGAATTCGGCAACTTTGGAACCTATTTATTCACTTTGGTATTCAAATTCCTAAAAATATGAACGATATCATTGAATTCTTTCGAATCAAAACATGAAGGTGCGCCAGTCGCCGCCAATGACGTCGTTTTAAATTCAAGCAAAATCGTTCACATTTAACGAGAAAGAAAGGTTAAAATAAGTCTATTAGACCAATATTCTCTTCTAAATAGTACAATATAAGAGCCGTTGGCCATAAAAGCTAAAATTTCTCAAAACTTTAGAGCAAAAAACGGTTTAAAAAAACCGAAGTTTGGAAAGTGTTTACATTTTACAATGGCGGAATGGCTTCTTCCTCTCCAGACTTATAGCAAAATTAAAACGCAGATAAACGGAAAAATGCTGGTAAAAAGTCTTAACATAACATAGTTTACCTTCTGCCAAGTACGACTCAGGAATATCCATCTCCATTTTCGATGTTTCGCCGTTATCGTCGTCATTTTCCTTGGTCGCACTAGCGAGGCATTTTGCTGTGCGATAAACAGCAGTAAAATTCACGCTCTTTACTCGCTGCAAAGGCCTGCTTACGGTGACTGCCGAATCTAAGTCATCAATGCGACTTATTGGTTCCTTTCCAAGGCCTTCAAATGGTTTGTTTTCGCCAGTTGGAGCCATTTTTACAAGAAGTGAAAATTAACTCCTTAGACGTTTCTTCTCTCTCCTTCACTGCCTTCACTAATCTCGCGCCCTTCGTCCGCGCTCAGAGCCCCCCTGTCAAATTCCACAATTTTTTCAAACGCATATCTCAAAGGCGGAAATAGGTTCGTCGTTCGTTCCGAGACATTCCCTTTTAAAATTTTCTAACGGTTCCATTTCTCAGTTTTATCATAGTTTTAAACACAAAATCATGAACAGGATGGTTAAATTTTGTGCAGTAAAACCATTGCTTTGAATAATCTGCGAAAACCAGTGGCGGCGCCAAGGGGGGGCAAGGGGGGGCAAATGCCCCCCCATATTTTTTTCTGCCCCCCCATTTTGCCCCCCCTTTCTCAAATGTCTGCGGAAATTATTGCCGTAAAAGATAATATTTAATAGTAATAAATTGAAATACAAAATAGCTACAGGATAAAATGGGCGTGACTGTCAATTGTTGACACATCGTAATCTATTACACACCGGTTTATGGATTTCTGTTTGAAGGATTTTGCCCCCCCAAAATATTAATTTGCCCCTCAAATGCCCCCCCAAATTTTCAGACCTGGCGCCGCCACTGGCGAAAACGGGGCATATTTTAGTCACAGTTTGGAAAACAAACTCTTCCGGTCATTTCCGAATGCAAAGGCATACTACTTTTCGATGTATTGAAATTAGAATTTCACATTTTTACGGGTGAGGCAATGCAACATGTTTGAAACGTAATTTGTCATGTGATATAAGACCACCTAATGGCATGTCATCATGTGATGAATTTTTTAAAAAATGATTACGAGTGAAAAACTGATGTGTCTGTATTTACTAATTTCTCACTTTTCTCTCATACTCCTAAACCCAATTCGTCATTTATGGACTTGTCAACTGCGTACATTGGTTAATTACAAAATTTTCTAATAGAGTTGTAGGTTCACCTCAAAACACTTCCGGCCGGAGAGTCGCTTCTACGAATGCAAATTACATATAAATCCTATCTTGCAACGAAATGTGTTGACAGTGTTTTTCACTGTCTGCAATGGGTTATTCACAGCTCAATATTCTTCATTCTTGGTAACTGTCATCTTCTGTCTTCGTCTTTCCTTTTCGTTTCGAACTCTTAATCATCTCTCTAAAAGCAAAACGAGAAAGTCAGATTCACTGTATCCTCACGATATAGCCGGCTTCCTTCCTGCTGATTAGAAAAGAATTACTTCAAGTTTTTCTCTCCTGTATGTATAAACTTTCTTCTTTCTCTTGAATCATACGCTATGTCACTTTCCCTTGAACTGATTCAAACTCGTTTAGGGACAGGCTGTCAACATACCTTCTCTTTTTCGCTTTGTTCAAATCGTATTTTGTCACAGTCTTAATGCTGGATCGCTTCACCGGAACTTTCGAAAGCTTCTGCTTCGATTTTCTAAAACAGTCCAGATATTGATAGCTGGTTAGTTGGACGAGTTCAAAAATGATGAAACCCTGAAATGTTCATCTTCTCATACCTTGGTGCCTTCTTGATCTGCAACATCCAGTCAGGAACCTCCCCGCCAGACGATTTGATAACATTTGCTATGCTAGAAAGAAAAATATTGTGGTCATGGTTGGTACTAATCTAGGAGAATTAATCCACAAGGATCACAATTTAACCACACTACCTTCTCAAGTTCACAACATCGTCTTCGGTAAAGAAGGTCACAGCTTTTCCCGTTCTCCCAGCTCGCCCAGTTCGACCTAAACATTGAGTTACAACCAAGACGTGAGGTGCTTATGATCTCGACTGCCAACAACAACGAATTTATGCAAGACAGAATCATGTACAGAAAGAAAAATCTTGCCTTCTAAATCTAAAACCAGGATTCTCAACGCATGTGTGCTAACTTTTATCTAAATCAATCGGCGTGTCTAGCAATCCTAGCCTAAGCAGTTTAGGGAGAGGATAAGCCCCAAGTTCAAGTTCACAAAACACACCAAAGTTTATTTACCAATTCTGTGAATGTATGCAACACTGGACGTTGGAAAATCATAATTGATGACTAGATTCACTCCCTTAAAGTCGATACCACGGCCCATGAGTTCTGTACATATCAAAACCCAGATCTAAATGGAGAAGGAGAGATGTCTAATGCTATCAACAAATCAATTATGGAAAGCAAAATTTAGATGAAGCAAACCTTTCCAGTTCTAAAACATTTCACTATGTTGTCTCTCTGAAAAAATAAATGATCATGATATAATTGAAAATGAAAACAACTGATCTCCCCAACACCCACGTTCAAGATTACAATTTAACTTTCATAGAGATTGGTAGGACCAGCCTAGCTATCATCAACTACCATATAGAGGTTTAAAACCTGTGAAAAATTAAGCAATTCCACCTCAAATAACAATGTGAGTGAGTGGGAGGGTATTTCCAGTTTTTCACCTCCAGTAATACAGTGGATTGATAAGACAGGACCTACTGAATATCTTAGAACAGCTCAAAACCTGATCATGATCTAACCTGACTCTGTGTCCTATCTGAGTGTATAACATCCACATTGATCCCATCGTAAATCAATTCATGAAAAAGTTCCTTCGCCCTGTCTTTTGATTGCACAAATACTAACATTGGAGGCTCAAAACCCTGGATAAGAATACGCACATTTAAAGCAGTCGAAAATATAAGAATATTTACAAAATTAGAGAAAATGATTTGAACCTTTTGGATAATATCTCGAATTGCAATAAGTTTCCCAGATTCCTGTCCAACAAACAACAGTTCTTGCTCAACAGTGTCTGTTGCTGAATTCCTAGAAATATGAACAGATATAAGCAACCTTAAACCCAATGACCAATAGTCTAGACACACCTGGAGCTGGTATAGACCTGTTGAGGCACTAACCTTACTCCTATAGTAATTCTCACTGCATTATCCAAGTGTACTCTGGTCCATTCCTCAATACCATTTGACAGAGTTGCACTAAACAATCCCCTCCTGATCTTTGGGTTGGAGCATGCTTGATATATTGTAGCAATCTAACCAAGATGGTAAAACAAGCAACTCTTTTTATTTTCTGTTTCCAATCAAAGGATCATTCTTTAATTGTATTAAACTCACCTGATCTCTAAAGCCATCTTTCCCCTCTTCGAAGAGTTTGTCTGCTTCATCAAAAATCAACCATTCAACGCCTTCAAGATTGACAGCAGGGGGGTCCTGCTGCAGCATGTGCACCAGTCTGTTGGGGGTTGTGACCAAAATATCTAAAGAAAAGTACCAGTTAAATGTCTAAGTTGTTTTCATGAAGAAGGAAACAGTTTAACAGCATAAACTGTTTAAATATTTCACCAAAGCCTCTTAATGTATTTACATGTATGTTTACATATTTCACTATAGGCTCTTACCAAAACGTTTTGAGGATTTTGGTCCAAAGTTATTTGCATTTGCTTTTGCTTTTGTTAGGATATGGATCCTCAAAGCCTTTCCTTTTGACAAGCGACAAAACTCTCGATAGATCTGTGACAATAAGGTGGAATAACAATTCAGTCAGGCAAAAGACTTCATTATGAATGGAGCAGTGCCATCATACCTGTTGTGCTAGTTCTCTTGTGGGTGAAACAACGACACAGCGAAAACCACATTTCCTTGGTTCCTTAAAAGAAATGAGAAACTTGTTTTGAATATTGTAAATAGAACTGAATAAAGAATGAGTAATTTAAAAGCATTGGACGTTGTAACTAAGACATGAACATACTTTCAAGTGATACAAAATTGGCAGAATAAATGCAGCAGTTTTCCCTGATCCAGTTGGAGCACAAGCCAACAGCTCTCGGTTCTAAGAAAACATGAGAAAATTAGTTGAAAAACGGCACAAAAAGTTTAAATATTAACAGCCCCACTGCATGATCTTTTTAGACCGTACAAACCTGTAATAGTAAAGGTATTGCTTGCATTTGAATTGGAGTTGGCTGCGCATAACCCGACTCCAAAACATTGTTGAGAAGATAGTGAGGTAATGCATACCTGGAGGAGAGAGTAATACTATATGATTAGCTTTGGTTAAAATGGAAAGAAATCCTTTAAATTTGAAACCCTTTAAGGTCTCTTCCATGCCAGTAACACTCCAGAACTTCCGGTAACTATTAAAGTGTATGTGAAGATTATTATGATGTCCCAGATTGAACTTACTGTGAATCAAGATCAGTGAAACATTCAATTGGATCAGGAATGTCAGAACCATTTACATAAATGTGATGTTTATTTCTGAAAGCATTCACCTAAAGGATAATGAAATGTCTGTCACGAATGATTACTAATGATTAACTTTATCACATATGATGAGTAAATAAACACAAGAGTTAGTTGATGCCATATTTCACTGCAAACCTTCTCTCTCTGTAACTCAGATAGTTTCTCAATGCTGTGTTTTTCTTTCTTTTTTCTACTTTTCCCTTTGGAGACCAACTCTGAATGATCATTTTCCTCTACAGCTAAGATTAATTTAAGACATCTGATTAGATTAACTCAAAGAGTATGACCATAAATGCAAGTTTTTAAGCCAAAGCTTCAATGCTCTTAACGTTACAGTAATAACATAATATACCTCTCTTTCTCTTTTTAACTCTCTTCTTGTTACCATCTTCACCATGTCCACCATCTTTTACTTTCTTCTTTGTTTTATATTGAGTAATTTCTTGCTCTACAGCAACCTGTTCTGATGCGTTTTCATTCAGGTTTCTATAGCCAAAAAAGTCGACAGCATCAGCAACATTCTGCTTCCCATCCAGCACGTTCTCATCTTCACCCTGAAAGAAATCGGAGAATTAAATCTGGAGTCCATCATCTTTCTTTTTATTTACCCAAACCCCTAGTTCTACTCCTAGGAGTACAAGTGCAGTATTCTACGGTCGATATTAGATCTTTTAATCAGCCATGAACTGAGTTTCGACTACAATCAGTATATCTCTCAGCTCTAAATTTTTTTATTTACAAATATTTTAACACAATACAACCATTCAGGTGAAAAGATTACATAAACTAGACACAAACACAGACCTTAGGACTTACCTCGAGTCTTTTAAAACTATTTTCAACCCTTTTCTTGTCGAATTTTGCTCCAAAACTCAAACGACGAAAAAGATCAAATGCGTCCACCATATTGGATTTTATCAATACTTCATGTAAGCTCCACTTCATTCTCCCAGGCATTCTGGTTATGACGTCTGAATGACGTCACGTAATATGGTCCTGAATAAAACCAAAAGACGCGTTTCGCACGCGTTTTCATGGCGCATACTTCTCGGCATAAATATCTTCTTTTTTGCGTACTATTTTGCTCCATTCTTCTCACTCGTGGTAAGTCAGATATTTCTAAGAATTTAAAGCTTGTCGGTGGGTGAAGCACACAGGGTTTTTCCCCCTAATTTCACCCTCTCTTTGGTGTGCAGTCTACAACTCCAATCAGGGAGAATTCTATTTCTCTTTTAGGCAAAAAAAGCATTCGCTTGGCAGGTTCGATAATACCTCTAGAAGGCCGCGTTGAAGTGTACCATAATGGGGAATGGGGCACGGTTTGCAGCAACGGTTGGAGTTCCCATAGTAACAACAAGGATGTCGTGTGCAGAGAGCTAGGTTTTGCGCAGGGACGCGCGTTTAATCATGAATACCCAGGAACTGGAACCATCTGGTTAGACGGTGTGGCATGCAGTGGTAACGAAGGATCACTGGTTGATTGTACCCATAAGACAATGGGGGATACCAGTTGTGGCCACGATCAGGACGTTACCGTTCAATGTGAGCAATAGTCTTGTACTCATCTCCAGACCCTCTTTCATGCGAGACCACACGTGTTCACGTGCAATGCACATGTTGAAATTGTCTTCTGACTTCCAGGTGAGGTATGCAAGCGACCAATCATATCCTCAGCTGACAAGCTCGTTCAGGATTGGTCATTTAGTTCTTCATCGTATCGAACCAATGACAAACCTCACCACGCACGACTCAAGTCGACAGGGGCCTGGTGTCTGCCGGAGGTCATTAATATGGACTTTACACATTACTTAGAGGTGGAACTGCCACGTCTGTATCTTGTATCAGCGGTCGCTACCCTGGGAGGCGTGAGGAGTTTGGAATATGTGACGTCATATAGGGTGGAATACAGCGTGGATGGTCGTGAATGGAAGAATACCTCAGTGGATGGTACTCAGGTAGGGAACGTTCGGTTCAAGTCGTTTCCCACAGCATAGAACTTCTTGTAATTCCGCCAACTCATCCTACCAAGGAGTCAGAAACTTGGTGTTATCAGGATAACTGTCACACTCTGAGGAAATACAACCAACGTTCTCAGAATCGTAAAGCTGCGACAAAAGTTCTGCTATTTGGCGAGCTCACTAAATCATACACTACAAATGCACGCTTTTTTTTCAGGTAATCAAAGGCAACACTGCCTCTGGAAATGACGACGTTCAAACGAGATTATTAGACAATGCTGTCAGGGCAAAATTCCTGAGATATATTCCTCTGGATTGGGGGAGAGTCGCTTGCATGAGAGTTGATATATGTGGACACCGTAAGTTGATGATTTGCTCGATATGACAGCGTATGAATATAGCAATCTGTCATTTCATTCTTGATCTTTAGAACTGCCACATTATCCCACAGTCATCGCGAAGGAACAGGCATCTTCCGCCATCCTATCCTGGTCAACTCCTGACCCAGGAGACGAGGGAATACAGAAATACTACGTCAGATATTGGAAAACATCGCAAGGAAAGACTTCACAGAAGATCTTTGAGAGTGTGACCAATGCTGAAGTTCTTGTTCCTAATCTCAGACCGTTCACGGAATACAGAGTTGAGATTTCTGGGGTGAGCGAGCTTGGTGAAGGACTAGCCCGAGTGATACAATTCACGACGCTTGAAACAGGTAACAGATCTCAGAATTAACTGAAGTGAAGGGTTGTGTATAGAAATTAACGGAAATTCTTCTTTCTCGTTTATTAAGCACCCTCAGGGTCACCAACGAGTATATCGTTCGAATTCCTGGGAGAAAACGCTGTGAATATTACATGGACTCCCCCAGACGAGGATAAAAGAAATGGTGTTATCATTGCTTACATCATTTGTTTCCCCTTGTCAGCCACGAGCGGAGAGTGTAAGGACACAACAACTCTCCCGGGTTCCAAGACGTGGTATGTCTTGAGTGATAGAGACTTCAGCTCTGAACAGATCGTCAAGATTCGGGCGCAAACAAAAGAAGGACTGGGTCCAATGGGACAAGCTACAAGTGGTATGTCAGCATGACGACTAAAAGGCTTGAAATAAAATGAACTCTTTTTCCTCGGAAGGAAAGTTCCAGGAATCAAATAGTGCAGTTTATAATGTGATCTTTTTCTTTCTGACATATAGGAGTGTTGGAGTACACAGCACCTGAAGGTAAATGTTAAATTGTGATGTGAATAACGAGTAGAAAACGAGGCACACTCAGTTCTTTCTCGTTGATCTTGCTCTCGTCTCATTCCAGGTGTCGCTTTGTCGCTTATCATAGCAATAACATGTGGTGTTATCTTTTTGGCTTTTATCCTTGTCGTAATTCTTGCTGTCAAAGGTGTTATTTTGAAGAACTTTGTCCGGAAACTCAGGTCGGTAATCCACCAGATTCTCGTGATATCAAGGATTGGCTCTCTGAAATGGAAACTGCGTCAAAATAATTCATTGAATTGCTGTTTCTCCGTAGGAAACTGACCAGCTCTCAGTTAACAATGTCAACAAGCGATGGCTACAAGTCTAACAACCCAACCGTTCTTGTACTTCCCGATCAGGAGACGCGAACAGCGGAGACTCTTTACAACTCCACCAACCAACAGATTACGGAGAATCTTTACGATGATCTAGAAAACGTACGAAAACAAACGATTACTTTGACAGAACAAAATATTTATGGCAACTCTGTGAACCTCACGTTCTCCACGCAAGATCAATTTGCGAACTTACCATCAGACCAGATTTACGCAACAAATGGAGAAAACGAGGGAGCCTATGGGACAAATATGATTCATAATGAACACGATCAACAACATGCTGTATATCAATACAATACCTCAAACATCCCGGAAGATCCCTACAGTCTGAATCCTCTACCGATGATCTCAAATGAAATCCACACAACGGATGTTCAAATAGAGAGCGAGGAGACCCAGGGCTACAATGATCCAACGAGCGCGGAACTAGATAATGTTTATATATACGAACGCAATGCGAACATACACGAGTAATGCAAATTGTAATTTCTTCAACGAAATGTAAATCTTTGTCAATTCAATTTTAACCCAATTCTTTCACTGAGATATCAAGCTAACCTTGTTGAGGGTATTCAATTAGTTTCGGATTCTGTCCTCAAGTACAAAAAATTCCGGGCAAAAAAAAGTGAAGAAAAATTAGGCGGCAGAACACGGGGACACCTGGTCACCAGAACTGAACTCTTGTTGGGAGTAAATACAACCGTATTAATTTGCTCAAGCACGTTACATTTGAGAAAGAAAACTGGCTTCAATTAAGATAACAGTGGATGAAAACATTTATGTACAATCTTATAATATACAATTAATTTAAATCACAAGGGGATTTTTATTGGGATCCACGCCCGAGAGATCGGTAAATTAAGCAGTGTCATATTAAGACATTACATATCAATTGCGGAAAGGATATTACTTCTTCAAATCATAACAAAATGATTTGTGTATGTCCAAATCTTTTCGCGTTGTGTACATCTTATCACAACCACCACAGATAAACGTATCAACTTGTTCGTAATTTGTCGTGCTTACATCGTCGCGTGCCGTAGTGTTCGTGTTCGTGTTCGGCGTCCAGGCGTCGAACCTGGCGGCATTTCTTCCACTGTGTGCAAGTTTTGAGCTCAAAGCTCTGGCCTGTCTCTGTTCAAATACTCGATCACGACTCTCCTGTTTTTCTAGTTTTGCGCTCGAGGGTGGACGTGGCTGTCGGTAATTGTCGGACGTTTGTCGGAATGACTCGTTGGTGGACGCCGTACGATGACCGCGACTCTCGGAATCGGACTGGCTCCTAGAAGGATCCAGGTGTGATGGAAATGTTGAAAATCAAAGAGAGATGGTTATATACTAGTAACTACATACGTACCTCGCAAGTGTTGAGCGATTAGGAATACTTGTCTTGTTCTTTCTGTTGTGTCCTGAACCTTCATTTGCGCTCCAGAGCAACACTGGCTCCTCCACCTGGAAGTAGAATGATCATTGTGGTTTGTGTCTGAACTACCTGAAAAAGATATCTCAAACTAGAATAGACCACCCTCCACTGACCTCTCTGAAAGGTTTCACTTCTTCCTGAACATTGCTCAGTTTTTCGATGGAATGTCTCAGTTTCTTGTTCTGCTCTTCCAACATGGCAATGCGAATATTATTCAATGCTATTTGTTTCTCCATTTCCCGAGAGATCGCCAAAGGATTATCCAAAACTATACGGATCAGTCAATAAAGAACAGATTAGATTAGATTAGATTTAGATCAGACAAGCTCGGAAGAGTTCTCCCTATATAGAGGTACTACGAATCAAAGCCCATTCATAGCAGATAACAGGACAGCTTTATTTACTACCCTTCTAAATTGCTTTAGAGCACCTAATTACGCCAGGCTCCTCAAAAGAGAATGTTAAGGTACCATCCACCCCTGTATACCCTAGTTGATGTTGATCATACCAACCTTCACTGTTAAGACCATCACCAGGATACTGCACCATCATCTGTATTTTCTCCTCGTTCAACTCCAGTTCATGTCGTAATCTTTGAACATCTGTTTGCAAACCCTCGATCGTCGTGGACAAATCGTTTCTCTCAGCGTTGATGTGATCAATCTGACCCTGTAATATGGATGCTGTGGTTGTCATTTCTTCAAGAATAACTACACACATCTGTGCGATTATTAGATATTTAGGCAAATACACAGTACTATACATAAGGAAGATATAGTTTGACCAAACTATATTCATATGAAGTACCATGCTTCATGCAGAAGGTTGCAACCTTCATTTTTTACCTGTTTTTCTGTCAACTCTTCTTGGAGTTTCCCACTTTGTATCTTTGTTTCATCTAAGATATCCCTCAGTTCATCTCTCTCACCCTCAATATCCATCACTTTCTCTCTGAGTTCCTCACAGTCCTGGTCCAGTTCATCAATACGTTGAAGTAGAGCATCTTGTTTACTTTGAAGGACCTTAAGAAGCGTATATGCATCAAAAATATGTCTATGAAAAATAAAAGTTTTGAACTAATACCCAAGTTTGTAATACCATCTTGCACCCACTCTGACATGCAAGTCTAGGGGAATGCACATTCTAAGGAAATCCAAAATATCTGGCTCAGAAAAAACACACAAACAACTCACTTGATCATGTTGTGAAAGGGTTTTATTCTTCGCTTGCATCTTGCCAAGTTCCAACGTTGTTTTTTCCAGTCTGCTCTTCAGGTCAACCAAAGTTTGCTTTGTCATTTCCAAATCTTCATTCATTTTCTGCAACTTTATCGTTTCTGACCGTTCTTTTTCAAGACCAGCCTTGAGATGCTCACACTGGGACTCTGAAACAGAAAGAAAAAACTACATCAGCTTGAATCCTGCATAACATATGAAACCAACCTGCCTACAAAATTAAAAAACAACCATTATAATTCTCACCAAGTTTGGACTTGCTTGCAACAGAATCTTTGAGTTCCAGTTCACTTTTTTCAATGCGAATTTCTAAAAGTTCCTTTCCTTTCTTCAAATCTAGTATCTCTTTATCAGTCCTATTCTGCAAACTCTTCATTTCCTGAGTTAGAACTGTCAATTTTTCTGACAACTCTGTAGAAATCCTCTGCGATTCAGCTCGTTCACTTTCCACACTTTCCTCAAGGCTTTTCACCTGTTCTTCAAGAGCTTTCCGTCTTTCACGTGATTTATTCAACTTCTCTTGAAGAGGGTCGATTTGTGCATAGAGGTTGTCAAGATGATCATTAATTCTTGACAGATCTCGGTTCTGTTCGGCGGCCCATCGCGAAATGTCCGCAGCAGCAAGCAAAGACTGCTTAAGCAACCTTTTTTGCTTTGCTAAATTGGAAGGAAGACCCTGAGATTTGCACACTTTCATCACCATTTGTCCAACTGCTATAAGATTCTCTTGCGTTCGACTGCATGCCTCGCAAGGTACAAACGCAGTGTCATAGGTTTGTGTTTGGCCATCTTTACATTTTCCATTTAAATCCACATCACCAACATGAGCAACCAAACTAAAATCATCATCTTGGCTTGAGCTTTCCAGGCTTGTGTCGTCAGTTTGGGAACTTATCTTGGAATAGTCCTTTAATTCATTCCTCACTTGACTGGTGTGAGAAGACGACTTCTTCACAAACCCATGAAGTTCATGTTTCATATCCGCAACAGTGATTTCCAATTTTCTTAACTGCTTATCTTTACTGTCCGACTGTAGAAAAGGAAATTTTGGGAGTCTTAATCTCAACTACATTTAAAGATTTAATTCTATTTGACAACAAATAAATATCCATTCACACCTCAGTCAATTTTCTTTGAACAACATGGTATAGATGTGCCATCTTGTTCCAAAATTTCTTCGCAACTAAACCAACAGACATCGCTGAGCCAACAGACTTTGCAGTACCGGGACGGTTAGTTTCGGTTGCACTTAGAAGATGATTACAAAAAGATGACATTGCTTGCATCAAGAGAACCAACCTGAGTGAAATGGAAGCAATTTCAAACCAATTAAATGTTGGCAACAGGAAAGGAAGCAAATAGTTTGACAAAGAATTCATGCACTGATCCCTGGATGGCAGCTAGACTTGCCCAACTATATGCTGTCTGTTTCTGTTTTAACGGAGACATACGCTACCTGTCAATGAGCAGCTCAAACAAAATAATATGTGACAGCTTCGAGTGGTCTTCATCCTTTGAAAAGCAATATCTCGCTAAAAGTTTGTTTATATCCAAATCACACGATGCCTTGTCCGGATATTTCCAGGACGGGAACTTTACTGGACCAACTCGACCAAAAATATCCGTAATCGTTTCGTGAACATCCACAATATCTATCGCTAAACTCTCAAGACAATTTCGACTTCCAAGCAAGTGAGCCATCTTTGATGAGATATACCTTTAATTTCCCTAAACTTCTCGTGCTGGAAGCTTGACAATAAAAGATTAATAACAACAAAACCTAATGCTACATTTAATCATTCAATTTGGATCTTTTTATCAGCATTTCCAATCGTTTTTGTGAAGAATATTTCATTCACTTCTCTAAAGAACTTGCTTGTTATACATTTTACTATGACGACCACTGATCTCTATTACTTATCAACTGGTGATACAAAAGGGGTGAATGTATGGAGAGTATTTGGAGAGTACAGTTCTCAAAAATGTCTATTATTTTTAGCAAATATTTCTTTGAACTAAGCGAGAGGGTGCTAGACGTAGTGTTTCAATGTAACTAATATTCATTTCTGCAATAGTTTCTCAAGTAATGAAGTTAAACTGGACTATCCTTAGAGATCTAGACGCCAACCTTGGTGGGTGTGAGAGCCCCAGGGTATTCGGTGTATACTTTATACACAAGGTTCTTATTTTTTTAAACTAGTACATGGAAAGAGAAAAGCCATACGAGATTGAGGATTTCAGTAAAAAATATGTCTTATTTGCAGTATCATGCAATATTGGGCAGGTTGCATCTCCATCAATACAACCTCAAGTGGATGTAAGTTTAACTTTCTATTCTAAGTACTTTCTGTCACTTTCGTTCAATTCTGTCATGTCAACCGCTTCATCATCTTCCTGTAGAAAAAGGAATGAATCATTGAGTATTATCCTGTATGAAAACGAAGTGAAAACATGGATGCTTCTTCCTAAAATGTATCTTACCTTCACATCATCTTTACCATAATACATGCGAGCTATCTCTTCGTAACTCTTATTCTTAGTTTCCTTCACAAATTTAAATGTTATTATCGCGCCAATCCCGACCACGGCCAAAAATGGAAGGAACGTGAAAGCTTTAAAGCCAGCCTAAAATAAACAACAACAGCCTATAGGAGTTTAGGTTTACGTTACCCCCTCCCAACAGGAGCGATTCATTGTGACAATCATAAATAATTGATCTGAAACTTCCGCATTGGACGACAGTTGGTCCCTGGTCTGAGTTGGGTTCAAACGGTTCGTATCTTCTGTCAAACGGTTTCAACGTTCCTAATCAAAACGCTTCCTCGTTGCGAAAAAAGAAAAGGTGTTTGTAACGGCAGATTGTAAGGTAGGTTTACTTGATAAGCATTTCTACGATTTTTTCATTTCATAGCAGTTTATCAGACACGTGGTTGCCATGCATATGCGAGGATATGGTCTGATGAAAATTCATGGCAAATCTCTGCGCAGTTCTCATCACACGATACGGCGATAGTACTCTATATCTATGAAATTATATTCTTACATCATTTAGATATATCTCATGTAAGAACAAATTGCATCAAATTTATATACAAATTGCATCATATTCGATATTGCTTTCATACTCTATACGGCCCATCTCTAGCTGTAGTTATCAGTTGCATCATATGCATTGTCAATTGCGTTGTTTGTCAGTTGCATCATTAGACACATCACTTATAGCGGCCCAATTCTGTCTGTTTTTAGTTGTAATCTCTTCGTGAATTCCTCTTTCGTGCAAGCTCGCGCAACCCATATCAAACAGAGGTAAGTATTTCTCTAATAAAGATCAACAAGACGTACACATCTTACTACTGTATATTTGCGTGAGGCCGATAAAATTATTTGAAGAATTGCTTTCAGTCTTACCAACGCATAAGTCTGGCTGTGCATTCAAGCTCAGCTCTCTATTCTCTATTCAGTCAAGCTGAGAAGTTGACAGGATATTGCAACGCATCCGTTAATGCCGGCCAGATTTTCATTTCAAACACAGCCGTAGCGTATGTGATTGTTTTTCCTGGGCATTCGCCTAGAACTGGACACTTGAAGCTTGCGAGTTCCGCTGCGATATGCGATTGAAATGCGTTGAAAGGCTTAAATGTGTTTGTAGGATGATGAAACAAGACGAGTTTGTTGGTCGTGAGTGGCTCTTCGATGATATCGACAGTTGGATAACAAGAGATCTTGAGGCGAACGAATCTCGAGCTTTTGTGATCTGGGGTGCTGCTGGTACTGGGAAGACCTCGTTTGCCAGAGAGTTTGTCCGTCGACACAAGGAAAGGAAGCTGGTGGCGTATCATTTCTTTGAAAAAGACAATCCTCTTACTTATCATGTACAAACCATTGTCTTGGACCTGCAAAAGGTGCTGAAGAAAAATCTTCCTGGCTACGCTGCCTCATTTATCCCGGGCGACAAGCTCCGCACCCAACCGGAGAAACTGTTCAGTACTTTAATAACAGAGCCATTGCAAAAATTGCCTGAAAATGATAAAATGTTTCTATTGGTTGATGCATTGGATGAAAGTGACTCCACAGCTTCTTCTTGTTTCATCAAACTATCAACAAATCTCCCTCAATGGCTTCGCATCTTATTCACTTCGAGACACGATGTCACTGAACTTTCCAACCACTTCCAAGATTCATGTTTCGCCAGTCTAGACGACTTCAAGAGCAGTCCTCAGACCCTCTTGTCTCTGACTGAGGATATCCGTGAATTCGTCGCTACGAAGTATACAAAACTTCAAGGTGAATATCCCAACACCATTCCGCCTTTCTTTGCCAATAATGACCAGGCTGCCAAAGAGAAGGTAGTTGAAGCAAGCCATAATTGCTTTTTGTATGCCAAACTAGTCATGGAGCATATATTTGCCGGCCATGGCGATATTGGTTTGCCTCGGTCGTTGTTTGATCTTTATGATCTGGACTTTGAGCGACGCTTTGCGGATGTCAAATTTTTCCAGAAAAAAATCGCCCCCGTGATTGAGGTAATTCTTGCCATCGTTTCTTGTAGTGTTAAATTGCACGAGGATGGGTTGAGGGATAATATTTTACTCAGTATGATTTCTCCTTCCTTTGACTTTTCATGTTATTCCGAAGATGAAGAACGCCTTGTAAGCGTTGTAAATGAAGGCCATCTTGCGCCCGGGTTCTCCAGACGTGATCTCGACAAAGCTCTTGAGCTGCTGTCTGCGTACCTAATCAAAACAGCCAGCGGTTGTTATCAGTTTACCCACAGTTCTGTGAGTGACTGGTTCAATGCTCAAGAGAAAACGTCGAATTTCTTTTGCGATGTGACCAAAGGTCATTCGATTATGGCCTCATCTATGATGAAAACGTTGAAAAGAAAGCTTCCTCCCGATGACGAGGTAGCTTTCAGAAACAGCGTGGACGTGTATTCTCGACTTCTAGTTGAGAAGTTCTTCTTCATTCGTTATCTTTATCACTCCAGTTTTCTTCCAGAACGCGAAGCTTCACGTGTGAATACTCTGTTGTCTGAGTTGGGTATAAAAGAAATGAATCTTCTCGTTGCTGTCTCAGGGATGCGTATGGGTGGCCCCAGCCCGGCCCCAATATACACGCCCTCCGAGTATTTAACTATGAGAATCCTCGATGAGACAGACGTCTTGTTTTCAATGCATTCACTGCAAATAGAGACGTTTTTCAAACAGGCTATAGAAGCAAACTGCGCTAGTGTTCTTGAAAAATTCTTCAATTTCTCAAGCTGGTTGTTTAGTCCCAAGGTCCTTTCTGCAATATCTGATGCTGGCCCATTCGAACAGCTGGTTGAGTTAATTCTGAAGAATGGATTAGCGCCTCAGCTTTTCTTCTCTTTACTCTGCTGTAAAGATATCGTGTTGGCGTTTTCTTTTCTCGTCAGATTTTGCTGCGATTACGGGGTGACTGCGGACATTTGCGTTCCAACAATTTGTCAGAACACCAAAAAATTGAAACAATCCGTGTGTTGGAATGAAGACGTTCAAGAGTATTTCAGGAGATTGAAAGCTGACGAGAGGAATGTCATTACACTGGAGTCCCTCAAATATATGCCACTGTGTCCAAAGGAAGCCAACGTTGACGGCTTTACGTTGAAGATGATCCGCGATGAACCACTTTCCAAAATCGAAAGCCTCGTGAGAGATGGGAAGTGTTTTATACAGTTTAAGTACGCGTGGCACGAATATTTCAAGAACAATCGAACATCACTCAAAGTGGTTGAGTACCTCTTGAAACACGGAGCAAATGTGAACAACCGTGGCTCGTCTGGGGTGACTGCTTTGATGTACGCATGTCAACAGCAAGACCTGCGTCTTGTTTCGTTCTTCCTGGAAGCTGGAGCTGACGTGAATCAACAGAATTTCTTCGGTTCGACGGCTCTTCATTATGCAGTGAAGAGTGGAGATGATGACTCCAAAGTTGCTCAGGAAGTTATCGAGAAACTACTTCAGCACAAAGCAGATCCTACCCTAAAGAATTTCCTCAATGTATCTGCTGTTGACTTGGCGAAGAAGAAAAAGAAAATGGCGCTTCATAAACTGATGATGGATCAAGCAACGAACCAAGTATGATTTCGACAAAAGAGAACTTTGTATTAGTGCCGGACATAATGATCATTTTCATATGTGGAACTGAGTAACACTGTTTCTATATTTCAAGCCAAATACGACAAATATATAGTGGCCTTTATTAACCTTTTAAACATTTTAATTGCATGTAATGACAAACAAAGCTTATATTGTAATTCTTTGTTATATAAAGATTTTCCCGGACATGTTTATTGACTTTATTCCATGATGTCGTAGCGTAATTTTGTAAACCAGTGTTTAAACTTATAGACGCAAATATAATGATTATGTATTCAACAGATCACTTGGTGTTCAACACCAGCTTTTTTCAGTTTCAAAACTATCTGTCTTCGGTGTTGATTGCATTATTTACTACACAAAATAAACTCCTGCCTTGCCTTGACAACTCACAGACACTTACCAGTATAAAAGGAAACGTTATTCCAACAGCAAAATTTGCAAGCCAATTTAACATTCCGGAGAAACTCATAGCGGCTGCTCTTGGCCCTTGTTTGAACAGTTCTCCGCCGAGAAACAGTGGAATAGGACCTAAAACGTTCGGGGAATTGAACTTGAATTCTTTGCTAGTACAAACAAGTAATTATCTGAGCATATATAACATATATTACTTTATAATTTTAACCGTATATCGTAGTAGAAAAGAATTTAACGATACCTAACCCAATAGCAAACGAGATAACAAAAGTCAAGGTGCAAACAAAACTAAGATACGAAATTCCAGGTGCAACACTCTGAAGAAAAGTGCAAAGAAATTAGATCAGATTGACCTTCGAGGCTGGCTACTTACGGCAGTGACAAAGTCCCAAATGTGCATATATTGTACTCAAACCTTGACATTAAGTCCAACGGTAATAATGGCAGCAGATATTCCCATGCCAATCATTCCGTACAATAACAGTGGTCGCCTGCCTGCCTTTTCCATGAGGTAAACCTGAGGGAGATATAAAGTTGGCTTTGCACATCAAAACGAAACGCTTCGAGCGAATGCGTTGCATTGTATGGTTCTTTAATTAAACGAGCCTAAATATCTTACCGCTGCTACTGTTGTTGCCACATTGATAAAGCCAGTTCCAAGGGTAGCATAACGCACATAATCGTTTGGGATACCAGCTTCCTTGAAAATCCCAGTAGAGTAATAAAACACCTAAAAAAAGACGCAGTGAAAATACTTCAGAATAACTTTATTCAGAAAGGATAAATCAATCAAATCAAGCTTTTATTTGTTGTGAAAGAATGCCCAGGTAGTGACAATCCATTGACGGATGGACCATTACGCTGTTGGGTTTTTGTTTAGCAAAGAACATACACTCAAAACATCTTAAACTTACCACGTTAATTCCTGACAATTGCTGTCCAGCTTGCAGACCACACAACAGTAACAATGGAAAACGAAGTCTTTTTGCTTTCAATAATTGTTTCATAGTCCAGGGGGGTTCATCCTCTAGTTGCCTCTGTTCTTCTCTCATTTCTGCGATATCGTCCCTAACATCGTGGTCTTCTCCTCGATATGATTTCAACGCTGCATTTGAAACCATTTTTAAAAACTCCGTTAGTTCTATACAGTTCTTTGAGTTATTCAGTTAGGGACAATCCACTACACACCTTGTTTAGCTTTCTCTTCATCTTTCTTCATGATCAGGAGGTATCGGGGACTTTCAGGGACAAAAGGAAGAAAGAAGGATACAATGAATCCAGGAACGGCTGAGAAGATTAAAAGAACTGGCCACAACTCATCCCCACCTGCAACGGATCATATTATTTGATGAAAACACAAGCTGTTGTAACTACTGTCTGAACTGCCTGATACAAATCGTTGAAGTTTTCCTACAGTGCGTTTTTTTGTCGTTTGAAGGACCCACCTAAGAGTTCCTCAAGTCCTAGAATTTGTGAAATTAAGATTCCAATGGTCAAGCCAAGTTGATGCAGAACACCAAGCGATCCACGAATGTGTTTAGGAGAGCTTTCTGTCAAGTACATCGGAACAATTCCACTTCCAATGCCTAAGAAACGACGATGAATGACGATGAATGACGATGAATGACGAAGCAAGAGATTAGGAAACAGAAGTTGGAATAACTTACCAGTAGAAAATCCAATTATAACCCGACCAACAATAAGCAATTCAAAATATCCCGTAGGTCGTGATATCCCAAATAAAACTACAGCGAGAAAGGCGAATACATGACTGAACTGCAAGGCTCTTTTCCTGAAAAATGAAAGCAAAAATTGCCATTAAATTTCTACACTTTCCTTCCTCCCCTTCCTTCTTTTATTCAGTCCATGTTTGCATTTACCTTCCAAATTTATCAGCAAAATATCCAGCGGTGAAAATCCCGACCATTCCTCCGGCAAGATAGACTGAGATTGTCAATGCCCACAGAAAATTCAAAAGGGATTTTTGAATTGGTTCTTGGAATCGATAGATATAAGTATCGTTGTAGAATGCCTGGATTGTCTACAACGGAGATAGAAGTTGAAGGTGAACATTTTAAAAATGATAAAGCTAAGAAGATATATCTAAAACTGGACTCCATTTCCCCCCGGAATGGACTATGAATTACAATGTCTGAAGAGATGGTCCTAACAGGAGCTTTAGGAAGAATTAGATAATTTCACTCACAAATTCAGGTGCATTGAGAACCCCGCTGCTGTAGCCGTGGACGATCGAAGAGCCAAACACACAAAGAAAACATGTGAGAATTAACGTCCATGTTAGTCTACCCTAAAAAACAGAGACGTTGCGAGAATTTAGACAGTATGAACGAATGAAGAATGGGAGTTGGTTTGATTAATTGTAAGCCGGCAGGGGATAAACAGTGCTTCTATTCTGTTTAACAGCATGCCTTTAATAACTTCTGCAACTGATTTGATACAATAAGGGGAGATGATGCAGTTGTCGATTGGCCAAAATTTTCGATTTGATTGTATCACCTGTCACTTGAACGTTGGTACACCTATTTTTACCTTCTTCATAACATCATACATTAACCACATATACATGCATGCATGACCATCAGTCAGTGTGCACGTGTCTGTGCGTGTCTGATCATATCTTGCGTGACCTCTGGGAAGCATTTCCTCTTGTAATAATACATCATATATGCATGCGATTAGATACACTGATAGAAAAAAAAACGCGAAGCTGCCAATTGAAATTCTCACGCGCTTTTACAAAATTCTCATGCGCTAACCGGCGGGTAACAAAAATTCCATATCAAAAAATCTTCAGACAATTCTTGTCGGAATAATGTCGCCTCATATAATGCACGTGATTAGCCTCACAGCTCCCGAGATGCGGCATATTTTTTAACGCGTCCAAAAGAATTGAACGGAAAAAGACATTTCTCCTTAAACAAACTTATGATAAAGTATAAATCCTTATTGCAGTTAAAATTATAACGAGGAAATCTTTAAGAACCAGTTATCGTAGACATATACACACTGAACGTCAATCTCCGACCACTGCTTAATTTAGTGTCCCAGAATTAAAACATTTCCAAAAGACCTACCGTTTTTTTGTTATCGTCACCATCTAGTGTGAGTCTGGAACGCTCCATGTCCAAACCTGCTTGATAACTTCTTTTCAACATACTTGAAAGCTTTTCGCCAGCGTTATTTGCTGTCGACGACCGATCCAAATCAAATCAACCCGCAAGACGATAGCTTCAATATATATTTTAAAATTTATTTGTTCAAGAAGGCAACCCCATACTGTTTGCGAAATTTGAAACCTAATTGCTATACATTACTACATAAGCAAAAATTGAATATCGCTTACTTCAAAATTTTCATTTGGTGGGAAAAGTGAAAACTCACCTCGTTGTAAAGAAGATATTAAGGTTAAATTTAATTCAAGCTGCGAAAAATCCAAAATCCAATAGTGGCTAAATACAGACAAAAAAATATTAAAGGAATGTGTTTTTCCTTTGTTTTGCGAGCATCAGCTTTTGTCATTTTAAGTCATAAGATATTGGGATGATCAGGTAACATTGTTTATTGCCTTTTGGCCTACTTTAGTTTCTTAAACAGTCTCATGGGTTGGTCAATACCTCAGCACTCAGCCGGGGATAGGATGGTCGCCATATGCTGGTAACTACGTCACAGAGAGGGTTTTCAAGACGGAGCAGAGTTGATTGAGCACTTGGACGTCAGAGTCAGGAAAGTACCGTGACAAGGGCGTGACAAATAGATAGGCGGATCATTAAAACGTCTTTTCAATATTGATCGGGGTGAACGGATAAAAATCTTAAAAAATAAATCATTATATGCATGTCTTTCACGTGTTACATGCATGCCTTCCACGTGTTTCATACATGCTTCAAAACATCACAAGATCATTTAGTTGTATTGCTATGTCTCAGGCTAAAAGTCTCAGTCAAAGGTAATTTAACTCTGCACCATTAGAGACAGCTGCCTCTCAACCCCCCTCCAGGTAATTTCATGCAAATTGTAGAAAATACTGCAACCGATTCCAATACCTCGGTCATGTTGAACCAAATACAGGTCATGTTGACAACAAAAATCTCCAGTGAAAATTGAAGCCTCTGTTTATATTTAGTGAAATATGCTACTCTGTTATGACTACAAATATTATATGTCAGTTTTTCTTTACGTTTCGCACATGAATAACGTCACATCTTTCTAATATGAAGAGTCTAACTCAACTTTGTTTATCAAGCCACAAAGCTACACAAATCACGCTTTAGCCATTCCATCTTAATCTAATCCTTAGGACTATTAATCTAGATGTTCTTCTTCATAAAATCCATCATACGTTGCAAGCTAAGCTCACATGCTTCTTTATTATAACCTGCCCCACCCTTGTGGGTGAATGCGTGACCTGCTTTGTAGTTGTGTATTTCAAAATTAACCCCACCAGCCTCAAGTTTGGCTTTCAAAGCTTCAACATCTTTCGGTGAAGAAAAGCCAACAAGATCATCTAATTCACCAAAATGACATTGTATTGGGATTTTTATTTTACTGACATCACACAACGCTTCACCTGGGATCCCATAGAATGGTGCTGATGCAGAGATTTGGGAAACCAGTGCAGCTGATGCGAGTGACAAAGCCCCGCCCATACAGAAACCTGTGACACCTACTTTGGTACAGCCTTTGGAGAGAAGATACTTTGCAGCACCTAGAAAACATAAATTTGCAGGTATTACTCCATTAAGCCGCAAGCCATTAATAAGTCCACTAGGCTATTAATGCCTAGTTAGTACAGTGTAACACATGGTACCAATAAACAATTATAAGCACTCATCACATAGATTAGAGTGAATGCCTTCATATTTCCCAACTAAACACAAGACTAAGGCATACATAAAAGAGAATGAGGAATGATTTCTCATGTTCTGATAATTGCAGATTTGCCACAACCATCTGATTTTAAACTGTACCATGGTCACCATTATGATATATATACCTGTAATATCTTGTATTGCACCAGGCCAATCCAAATCATTCATATAATGACCAGCTGTCTCATGATCAGTAGCAACCTTTCCTCGATACAGATCAGGAACTAAAGCCACAAAATCTCCTTTCTCTGCGATCTCTGCAGCTTGATCCTGAATCTGTTGGTTCATTCCCCACCATTCCTGCAAGACTATCAGTCCACGTGAACTGCTGGAGTCTTTTCCTTTTACAAACACAGCTGGACATTCGCCCTTTGCGTTTTCTGAAGCAAAATTCACTTTTTCTACAAGCATTGACATGGTTCTTGTAAAATCAAACGTTTTAAAAGAGCTTTTCACTAAAATTCTCGAGACACGAGCTTTTATACAGAACATGTTACACAACTCTGCAGTGTCGTTAGGAATCCTATAGAATTTTCAGGATTATCCCCCCGGATAAATATCTAATTGTTTCATATTCTATGAGCATTGAGATTTGACGACGGGGGGAGGAAAACATCAAACAGAGAGGAAGGACCGAAGGAATCCGAGGGACTCCGTATTTGACCTGGAAATGGCGTCATTTAGGAGTTGCTTTCGTTCTGAAAATGTTTTATGTTTCTCGAAGAAGAATTGGTTGAATTTTGGAATATTTAGGCCCAAAATATCGCGCTATCGTACAGGTACTGTTTTCCATACAGATCTAGTGTTGATCCAGTATGACTGCACTAAGTGAGGAAACCTGTCCTGAACTAACTTAATTTACACTGGATAGCTCTATCAGCTCTAAACTGTTCTTCCTAGAGGTCCAGTAAGGATCATCTCTTATTGATCTAGTGTTACTACAAAAGGGAAGCATTCAAGTCACTGTCAATTATTCTGTGTTTCAGCACCGATGACATTGTCATACCAGATCTCAACAAGACGCAACATGCAAAGTCTTGCAGTAACAAGCAGTATGAACACTCACATCCCTCTCCTTGGACCTTCAGTTCGACGTCTACTGGACTCCTATGGTCTTGACAAACAGTCAATAAAACCAACTGGTCACAAGGGACAGTTGTTGAAGGGAGATGTCCTGAAATATATCAATGAAAATTCCAAGACAGAAATAAAGTTCATTTCGGAGAGTAAGGTCATCAATTCGCTTATTTATTCACAGGAATGTCTGTTTATTTATCTTATCTTTTTAGGAGAAATTGCCAACAATATCTCTATGGCTCATGATTTAAATCTGGGCTATACAGACCTTAATCTTAGTGGCTCAAGACAGGTGTTTGCAAGACAGTTAGTGGATTCAAAGAACGCCATCCCTCACACGTATCGTACTACGGATTGTGGTGTTGATCTATTGCTTAGTTTATGCAACCAGTTCAATGACACCATATCAATTAATGACTTTGTTATAAAAGCAGCTGCATTAGCGCTTCGTCAAGTACCATATGTGAATGCGTCATGGTCAGACGATGGTCCTGTCTTGTTCAGTGGTATTAATATTGCAGTTACTATGGATTCTCCAAATGGCCAGATTACTCCAGTTTTAACTAATGCAGATCAAATTAATGTAGCTGGCATTTCTAGGACAATTGTGGTTAGTACTTTCAAACCTGATCTCTGAAACAAATACCTTCCTTGTACAGACACCTCTCTAATACAGGCACCTGTAATAATGACCTCACTATAGTAAAGACCTCTCTCTAATATACACCCCTCTCTAATGAAGACCTAATATAAACCTCTCTCTAATGAAGAAGAGCTCTCTGTAATATAGAGACCTTTCTCTATTGTAAACCTCTCTCTAATAAAGACCTATCTCTAATATACACCTCTTTCTCTCTATAGAAGACCTGTCCCTAATACAAACCTCTCTCTAGTATAGACCTCACATCTTCTACAAAATTCTCATGTTTATACTCCATCCAATTTTCATTGCAGGATCTCAAAAATAAAGCAATGACTGGACAACTCAGCCCTGGTGAACTTCAAAACCCTTCATTCACAATTTCCAACCTTTTGGGTGTTAAAAGTTTCACCACAGTCATAAACCCACCTCAATCAGCTGTTCTTACAGTTGGTGACTGTGAAATGACAGTTGGCAAGGATAATAAACTTTCAAAGATCATAAATGTAACATTGTGCTGTGATGGAAGAATGGTTGATGAACAATTAGCCTCAGAATGGTTGACTGTGTTTAAGGATTTGATTGAGAACCCTTTACAAATGGGACTGTAGTTTATGAATAGAAGTTTTATCATCTTTATGCGATGCAAAATGTTTGTAAATCTTTATAAATTATTATAATAAAAAAATGTTCTCTGTTCTAAGATGTTTTTTTCTTGAGGTTAGGTAAGAGCTACCTTGTAAGCCCACTGCTGCCACTTTGAGAATTCAAGATGCTGACAAAATCTTAGTTGATTGTGTGTGGTCCTTTATGGTTACCTTGATTTTGCCTTTAGTTTTATCACTGAGTGATGAGTATGTTTCATATTCAGAGCGATTTGATTCCTCATCCTCAAGAACCACACTAAAGAAAAAACAACTAGGTCAGTGCAAACAGGCAAAATTAACTGTTTTGACAAGGTTTTGCTACGAGCCTTGTAAACAACGCTGTGAGTCTGTGACTGACCTAGTGTTACTACAGGTGGAAACCTAAACTAACTTAACTTCATTTATGCTGGATAGCTCTATCAGTTCTAAACTGTTCTTCCTAGAGGTCCAGTAAGGATCATCCAGTGTTACTATGTCTAAAGAAAGAAACCTAAACTAAACTAACTTTGGCTCTGTAAACTGCCCTTCCTAGGCAAGAGCAAATTATTAATTACCTCATTATCTCAAGTTCTTGCATGTTGTTTGCAAACTTAACCAATTCATACCAAAGTCTTTTGTCTAATTTCTTCAAGTGGAGCCTAGGGTGAATGATTAATAATGACAAATGAAAGATCGCTGATTTATAAAGTGTAGCAACATAACACAAGGTAATTATTTTTACTTGATTCGCTTTAGTTGTTGATTTTCAACAAAAGCTTCCAACCACTTGTAGATGAGGTCACCAACACAAAAGGAAGGCAATGAAATATCTTCTAGTTCACATTCTTCATTCACTATTGCATTAATTAAAGCTGTTATTGCCGCTTCACCAGGAGAAGATTTCTGACGTTCTTCTTGAAACTTTGAAAGATGGGTATATTTAATTAGACTTTCCTGTCTTGAGATTCCTCGTTGTGATTCAATCTAGGCAGATAGATAAGCATTTAATAGGGATATAGGCAAAATGTGTCTATAAGTACTTTAATTTGTATAAAGTGACGGAGGATATGTAAGGAAGAGCATTGTATTAGGGAGGTTTCTGACTTTCTGTATAAGAGTGGTGTTATTATATTAGATATACCTATATAAGAAAAATCAGTGTTTTCCTGATACCTGTTCTTTTTCGATCGATTGATCAGGGTTATTTTCAAGATGCAAGGAAGTTATTCCAGGCAGGTCGTTTAAGAGGTCAGCAATCGCGTGTAGTCCATCATTCGTGGCAAAATGGCCACATGTTAGATCAACCTCTTTAAGACTTAGCATGCTCTTGAACTCATTGCAAACCACCTTTATTGCCTCGGGATAAAGATAAGAGTTACTGAACTTCACGCTTTTTACTTTGCAATTTTTCTTCAGGCATTTGGCGGCAATGATAGACGCTACTTCATTTGATATTTTTATCCCACTGAGGTTAAGTCTTGTAGCTTGAATCCCTCGGACAATCAGAGATAATCCTTGAGCTGCCCCATGACTCATATCTAACGGAAAAACGGTCGGTCCCTTGGCTTTCCTGAATGGTTCGAAACCTTGAAAAAGCTTTAAAATCTTCTCAGAATTCTCCTCTTTCCAAATTTCAGCCACAATGGAAAGGAAAAGATCCATTTTGTTGCAATAAAAGGATTGCTCTAAATATTCTCTGACCGTTTTAAGAAAATTGTCTAAAAACGTATGCAGTAAATCTTTCATGTTTGACAACAAGCCAGCGACGAAGACGAGAACAGATGAATACACGGAATTTTCGGAATCATTCATCATTGTATCAAGTGAATCTTGTGTTTTCTTCGAACTCCAGTTTTCCACAATCCATCTTGCTGCAAAATAATCTCGTATTTTCTCGTGAGCAAATTTGCAGGTCATCTGATCCATTTCGGTGCAAATCAATCCAACTTCAGAATCCATCTACAAACAAGCATGTATTATAATACAATAATTCATTACCTTGTGTGACAGGACGTCCTTTTTAACAAGTAAACATTGAAAACATTGAAAACTCTGATCTTACCTGGAAGTCAGCGAGTTTATCTCGAGTTTTATCCTTCGCAAGCGATGTGCTCTCCTCACCCGTCTTCATTACTTCCGAAAGAGCGAACGATTCATAGCGATTCAAGATGTTTACTATTTCTTCATTTTCTTCACCCATTTTCAAATCGTATAACCGAATAACGACATCAGTATAACTATCAAGTACCTTTGTAAGAGTAAGTGACATATCTTGTGCATCTTTCTTCATCAGTTCACACATAACCAATCTCACAAGAGGTGTCTTTGCTACTTCCATTAAATCCTTATTGTTTTCCAACTGTTCCAGGAGCCTCTTGCATTTTGTTTCGTCCACAAAAAAATTCGACACAAACTCTTTAACAGCATTCTCGTTATAGCTGCTAATGCAATAACGCGCGTTGAAAGTCTTACAAAATTCCAGGAAACCTTTTCTCTGCTCTGGACGAGTTGTCGCGATGAGATAAACGTCTTTGAGATCTTTACCCATCAAAATATTGTTAACAACGGTCATATGTTCTAAATCACCTTCATTCACTCCGTCCAACAGGAAAAGAAACTCGCTGGGATGTTGTTTCATGTAGCTGATGAACTTTTCCTTTTCATCTTCTTCAAGTCGGTTGCAAAATATTTCTTGTTCAAGTATTTCCTTCAGAGTTTTTTCACCTTGCACTTCGCATATCTTCAAAAGAATCACTATTTTGAAGTTGGCAAAAGGTTCGGGAGTTTTACAGTTTACGTCCGCCCAATCGTAGACATATTTTTGACATAACATAGTTTTTCCTATGAAGCAATGACCACAAATAAGGACTCTTCTGGGCGGTCGGCCAACGTTATTGCTTTCAAAGATTCGATACATCAAATCGCGACCACCACCTTCTACACAATGACACGAATCGTCCACAGATCTCAACTCAGGTTTAACAAAAACTTTCTGTATTTGCGTCTGTGCGGGGTTCAATGGATTCCGATTGACTTTCTCGTATTTGCTCAGGTAATCATTCCGAAGAAATTCTGAAACTTTATTGACGACCTCAAGCTCCGATGTTCCTGTAAAGAAAGAAAAATGAATCTTTGTAAAGGGCAAACGGAATGGCGAGGAATGATCCTAAAGGCTTGACAAAGTAGATAAACATCTGGATCTTAGCTCTACCTGGATTTTCAGTTGGACCGTCCGGCTGTGAGGTTTCTGGTGGAGACGGGGGGCGCCGACCACCTGAAATAAAATATACAGTGGTTTGATTTACGTTCTCTGATCAACTAAGAAATTCTCTCCTGACAGACAAAATATTTATGAATCAATGTCGCAATTATGACACAATGACGTCATTACGACACAATGACGTCATTACGACACGATGACGCCATTACGAAACAGTGTGCCGGAGAACCAAGCTACATAAGACACGTTTAACAGCAAACGGCTATCACACTAGACTTAAGAACAACCAAAAAAAAGTTAAAAAAAAGGCACACAAAAGCATCCGGTAAAACCATACGAGAGTCAGTAGAGGAGAATAAGAAATAAATTTTCATGCCTACATTGCTTGTCGTGTTTGGATAGTTTGTCGTGATTTAAGTCGGGTCGTTTCATCTCTCGTGTTTTTATTTAGTATATTAAACCAAGCTTAAGAAGCAGACATATTAATATAGTTGATTCGATCACCACAGGATGCTGACACGCGTTGAAACACACGTTGCCATGTGATGAAACAACATTGTCTTTCATTGCTGCAAAATGGCAGCATTACTCGTGTGAAAACAAGTTTAACCAAATCAAATATTTTATAAATCGTTTACCTGGGCCTGGTGGTGACATAACCAGATGAGCAGTACCAACGATTACCACCCCAGTATTACTGTCAATATTTGTCGTATTTGTCGTATTTGAGTTTGCCATTGACCAGCCTTAATACAAATGACAGGAAATTCAATATTAGCAGGAACAACATAGTATTCGGGCTAAATATCCGAAGACAATTAAATTTTATTAAAAACTTAACACAATTATTTTGTCATTAAATGTTATAAGCTCTCCAACCAGGTCTCTTCCTTTCTTTACACTAAAGTCTAAACAAATGTACGGTCAAGGGAAAACCTTGAACAGACTTAACCGGGCATTACTAAATGTCAACACTAAGTTAAGCAACACATACGTTGTTGAAAATATCAGGTCAGACAACATGTTCGAGATATCTCTTTCAAGCAGTTCAGAGACATCCAAGCTTGCAACAGAATAACATAAAATACTACGGACACTGAACAGGCAATAGAGTCTTCCTTTGGTAGTTTAATTAAGATAAAACATATATCATATTAGTACAGGCCACCCTACGTATTGTCGGTATTGACCATATTCAGTAACCGAGTTAGCTTAGAAGCCCCAGATCGATATTGACCTGGTGAAATTCAATGGTCAATGGTAAAATTTATCATCATGATGTGATTATTGCAATCATAGACACCTTCGTGCAATTCTGCGAACACTGATTTCTTTCGTAAGCCATAAAACATACCTGCGGTTGGATATTTCCCAGTCTTGTCTGGTGCGAAGGTCAGAGTTTTGCTACCGATTATAAACTCACAAATTTGATTAAAGAGACGCAGCCTCGACGATATTAGGGCAAATGATGTCGGAATAAAATCAATTCACTTCCAGATTTGTTGTTTTTGTAGTGATATACAATGTTGCGTATACAACCTAATAATTTATTAAATTATGCAATAAAGTGTGAAGAATTTCCGCCGCTATCACAAGTACAATATTATTTAATATATTTTGTATAAGTACCATTTGAAAGAACAAGTGGCGATTGACGAGGTAAAGTAGAGTAAGATTTTCAACAAGACTATGCAATTAAAGAGGTATGAAATTTTCAACAAAACTGTGATTACTAATTTACTGTGATTACAAAATCATGATTAGGTGTGACTGGGTGTGACCACTACATGACGTCATTGAATAGAACTCAACTTCAACATGACGTCATTGAATAGAACTTAACTACCCCAAACCCCCCCCCCCCCTAGGGGTCTTCTCGTTCCACGGTATATCATTTTTAAGGATTATGTCACAGAGGCTTTAGATAACAAGACATGACTCTACATTCTCCATTGGTGCTTTTCCCGTTCCTGTTGTAAGCTATATCACCTGAAGCGTTATATTCCTAATACATCCAACCAACACAAGACCTGTGTGGGAGATCATTTCCTTGTTCGTTTCTTTCATCATCTCTTTGACGTCCTTCCTACATAACAAAGAAACGCACCTAATTTTCTTGCAAAAAACGCAGGCAGTAGCAGGGAGTTTTGTACACAAAGAATTAACTTCTGATGGATGTTTTATAGTGTGTCGACTTAGAATGTATATTGGCAGCGAATGCACCAAAACCAATGCAGCTTCTTTATCAATAACCGACTACATTCCATACGTGAAAAGTGATCGTGCACACTGAGACCTTGCAAATTTAATCCTTGAGATTAAGTCACTTACTGGATTAAGATAGAATTCGTTTTGGGAATCGGCCTTAGATTAGGGTTTATTAAGAGTTCTAATCCTAACCTAAGCTCATGGATTAGATTCATATATCTAGGATTTACTGAAGGAACGGATTAATCTCGAACCCAGAAGGTAAGGCGGTTATTAGAATAATCAGCGTCGAAGAAGACACGTGACTATACTTCGATCATGTCGCTTCCTGTTTGATCCAACTTTTGTTTTGCCACCACCCTTTGAGCATAAAATGCCGCAGTAAAAGGAAGCGTTCTTGACCATTTTTTTTCAGCAATGGCGAGAGAGTACGACTATCTTTTCAAGCTCTTAATTATCGGAGATAGTGGTGAGTTGTGAGACTTCAGGCGTGGGTTTAAATCATCGCGATTGTTCGTCCAGGAACGAGCGAAATTTAGCACGCTTCAAGTCTCTATTCTAGCAATTTTGCTGTGTTCTTTTGAATCATTGTTTTGCATTTTAAATTCTCCTTTAAACGTCCTTTAAAACTGACTATTGCACGCAAGCTACGCTAGAAGATACACTTCTAAGTATTCCATAGTCGATTATTAATAAATCTTTGTTGTTTTGACAAATAAACAAATGTACATAAAAGTTTTATGTTGTTGTGATCTTTATTTGTAATTTCTTTGCCGTGAATTAAATCAGTTACATCGAATTGTATCAATTTGAATTTGTATCAAATCACAGTATAAATATCACCTAAAGCATTTGTTATTAAAATTTAAAATAAATTTGTTCATTGTACTCTCGATGATGAAGGGTGAAATAACTGTAGCTAATACATGTCTGTCTTTTGGCCTTTTGATCAAATAATATATAATCGTGTTGATGTCAATACGATGCGGAAACCTACTGTCAATATTTATTACCTATAACCAAAATAGATCACCACATAGATGAACTGATAAGATGTGATTCAAATTGAAATCTATTTAAATGTAATAATCTAGTATCCTTGCAGACATTTTGCATGTATTATGCATTAGTCAGCTATGCAGTCTTCAATCAAATAATAATACAATCCCATATCTTAGTTAAATTTATATGGGATTGAAATAAATTTATTTAAAATTTTTAGGTGTTGGTAAAAGCAGTCTGCTCCTTCGTTTTGCAGACAACACGTTCACTGGTAAATATATCAAATTGGGAACATTTTATCTAAAGGACAATTTGTCGCTAATTATAACAGAATTAAGCCTAATTATTCAACATATGTATTGTGTGTTCCAGGGACATATATTACTACAATTGGTGTAGATTTTAAAATTCGTACCATTGATATAAATGGTGAAAAAATCAAACTACAGATTTGGGATACTGCTGGGCAAGAGCGATTTCGGACTATAACTTCAACGTGAGTGGGCAAGGTTGACTAGTCATTACAAATATTTCTATAAATATGCTGGAACTAGCCGTAGAATTATGTTAATGTTTTTTCACCAGGTACTACAGAGGGACACATGGTGTTATTGTGGTGTATGACGTAACCAGCGCAGAAACATTTGTCAATGTAAAAAGATGGCTTCATGAAATTGAACAGAATTGTGATGATGTTGCTAGAATATTAGGTAGATCAAGCAAATTCAACACTCTCATTTGTCTGTTTTTATCACATCTAAAATGTCCAGCGCAGAAAGCACCTCTCGCCCTCTCCTTATAATATGAAATTCTCTGTGTTTTTCCAGTTGGTAATAAGGATGACTGTCCAGAAAAGAAAGTTGTTGTCACAGAAGACGCTACCAATTTTGCCGAACAAATTGGCATAAAAATATTTGAAACTAGTGCCAAGGATAACATTAATGTAGAATCTGTAAGTTGCATTCATGAAGGTCTTCACTAACAACCATTGTGCAGCTATGAAAGAAACATAATTTTCTACTTTCCAGGTGTTCATTGAGATAACAAAGAATGTCCTTGCAAAACGAAAGGAACAAACGGAAAAGAGTAAAGATCCTACAATTCAGGTCAAAAAGGAAAAAAAACACAAAAAGAAGTCACGTTGCTAAGGATAAATAGTAATACTGGAACATTGGACAATGTCCAGAAACAGCAAAGACCAAAGGCACACCATACAATGTACATACCAAAATCTTGTATTGTTATGTTTCAACAGTCAAGAAAATATTCAAGATAATAGCAGTGCAATATATTATCATATAGTACATTGATAATTAGATAAATGTTCCTGGAATTTTTTTTATTAAAAGAGAGCTTTAATTTTGGCAAAAAGTGAGACAATTTATATAGGTCTTGTTTTAGTCAAGCAAGCCTTTCTTTTTTCATTGAATGAAAACATAAATGATGATATATATCTCTGATTATAACCTCTGAGAATAATTATTAAAATATTTACCATTTTAATTCTAGTAATTCATCCAAGAAAATCCCTAACAATTTCCAGGAACTCTTTCGGTTTGTCAGTGTGCACAAAATGTCCAGCACCAGGAATCATTTCAAGTTTGGCATTTGGGAACATTTTTCTCATTTCATTCATATCAACATTTCTATATAAATAAATAAATATATATATGAATACATACATATGTATCCTTACAAAGTCAATGAGATTTGCATAGGCAATTATATTGTAGTCTTCAGAAGTGAATTTTAATACCTCAGAACATCAGACTCCCCTCCTCTAACAAACAGAGTTTCCCCCATGTACGGCTCTCTCTCATTTAAAGCTAACCCAGAGAAAAGTGAATCAACATTGTCTTGTATATTGTTGAGATTATGTTGCCATTGAAACGGTCCTTTGTCATCTTTGTACAAATTTGTAAGAGCCCACGCTCGGAGACCATCGAACTAAACAATCAAGAACAGCTAGATACATGTTTTTACCTGAAATCATACACAAAAATAATAACAAGTGCCCAACTTACTGGTATTGTTTCTGCCAACATATTATCTGCATCCTGTCTGTTTTTAACTTTGGATAAATCCAGGTTGGTCATCGCTGATAACACCATAGGAGACAGACGAAAAGTTCCCAATTTTGTAGAAACAGAAGTGGTAGTCATATCAACCAATATTAACTTTTCGATGATATTGGGCATGCTCAGTGCAGATTCCATGGCCACTTTTGCCCCCATACTATGACCAATAAGAATGCATTTAGAAATTTTCATTTCTTGGAAAGTCTGTGCAATATCGCCAGCCATTACTGGATAAGACATGTTCTCACTTCTTGGACTCTGACCATGGTTTCGGCAATCAACAGCAATAATCTAGATAAAGAAAGAGTCTAATGGTGGTCCATTAGTAAATAATTATTAGGTCTATCAAATAGCCTGTTGTATAAAAGGATAGTGGATTCTCTGAATCATAGTTACTGTTCAACTACCCCACAAATTAGGTAAGAGTTTTAGTTTTACCAACCCCTAAAGTTGGAGCATAAAAAGTATAGCCATGTAAGTAGTAGCTAAACTAGAATAGAAACTCAAAATATATCAGTATTTGTATATACCTGCTTGCCAGTTTTCTCATTCCACGACTTGCAAAATGTGTGCCAGTTTTTTTTCGACCCTAACATACCATGCACAACTAATACAGGACTGCTATCATTCTCTTGAGTGGCCTCATAGTTCTGATGGGCCAAAACAAATGATTGGTTTGAAACATTTTGCGAAAATTTAGTAGAAATAATTGCTGATGGTAGTTTAACGGTTTTGAAACAAAACACTGTTGCCCTTTGTGGGCGGAACCAACGTAAACACTGCATGATCTCTTGGAACTTTAAAATTTCCCGGAAAAAAAGACATAAATCCTCATTGCATAAATCACGTGTAGTCGCCTAATTTCGGTGCTTTTTACGAAAAGTTTTGCTGGAGATTTTTGGCGGATGAAGACATGAAGTCCAATTCCCAAAATGCTGGTTAGAGTCTTAGAGAATTAGTTAGAAAGTTAGTGTTGTTGTACAATTTGTATCTATTTAAATGTAGTCTAGTGTCCTTCTAGACATTTGCATGTATTATGCATTAATCAGCTATGTGCATGTATTATGCATTAATCAGCTATGTGCATGTATTATGCTAGAATATTAGGTAGATTGAGCAAATTCAACACTCTCATTTGTCTGTTTTTATCACATCTTAAATGTCCAGCCCAGAAAGCACCTCTCGCCCTCTCCTTATAAAAGTGAAATTTTCTGTGTTTTTCCAGTTGGTGATAAGGATGACTATCCCGAAAGGAAAGTTGTTGTCACAGAAGACGCTACCAATTTCACTGAACAAATTGGCATAAAAATATTTGAAACTAGTGCCAAGGATAACATTAATGTAGAATCTGTAAGTTGCATTCATGAAGGTCTTCACTAACAACCATTGTGTGGCTATGAAAGAAACATAGATATTTTCTACAGTTCTACTTTCCAGGTGTTCATTGGGATAACAAAAAATGTCCTTGCAAAACCAAAGGAACAAACGGAAAAGCTTAAAGATCCTACAATTCATGTCAAAAAGGAAAAAAACACAAAAATAAGTCACGTTGCTAAGGATAAATAGTAATACTGGAACATTGGACAATGTCCAGAAACAGCAAAGACCAAAGGCACACCATACAATGTACATACCAAAATCTTGTATTGTTATGTTTCAACAGTCAAGAAAATATTCAAGATAATAGCTGTGCAATATATTATCATTTATTACATTGATAATTAGATAAATGTTCCTGGTATTTTGAGACAATTTGTATAGGTTTTGTTTTAGTCAAGCAAGCCTTTCTTTTTTCATTGTTCAAATGAAAACATAAATGATGATATATCTCTGATTATAACCTTTGAGAATAATTATTAAAATATTTACCATTTTAATTCCAGTAATTCATCCAAGAAAATCCCTAACAATTTCCAGGAACTCTTTTGGTTTGTCAGTGTGTACAAAATGTCCAGCACCAGGAATCATTTCAAGTCTCGCATTTGGGAACATTTTTCTCATTTCATTCATATCAACATTTCTATAAATAAATATATATATATATCAATATACATACATATGTATCCTTACAAAGTTGATGAGTGGATTGGCACATGCAATGCAATTATATCATAGTCTTCAGAAGTGAATTTTAATACCTCAGAACATCAGACTCTCCTCCTCCAACAAACAGAGTTTCCCCCATGTACGGCTCTCTCTCATTTAAAGCTACCCCAGAGAAAAGTGAATCAACATTGTCTTGTATATTGTTGAGATTATGTTGCCATTGAAACTGTCCTTTGTCATCTTTGTACAAATTTGTAAGAGCCCACGCTCGGAGACCATCAAACTAAACAATCAAGAACAGCTAGATACATGTTTTTACCTGAAATCATACACAAATATCTGTGCCAAAATAATAACAAGTGCTTAACTTACTGGTATTGTTTCTGCCAACATTTTATCTGCATCCTGTCTGTTTTTAACTTTGGATAAATCCAGGTTGGTCATCGCTGATAACACCATAGGAACCACACTAACAGTTCCCAATTTTGTAGAAGCAGAAATGGGAGTTATATCAACTAATATTAACTTTTCAATGATATTGGGCATGCTCAGCGCAGATTCCATGACCACTTTCCCCCCCATACTATGACCAATAAGAATGCATTTAGAAATCATCATTTCTTGGAAAGTCTCTGCAATATCACCAGCCATTACTGGATAAGACATGTGATCACTTCTGGGACTTTGACCATGGTTTCGGCAATCAACAGCAATAATCTAGATAAAGAAAGAATACCATTGGCATTATAGTAAATAATTATTAAGTTTATCTATCAAACAGCCTGTTGTATAAAAGGATAGTGGATTCTCTTAATTCTAGTTACTGTTCAACTACAGTACCCCACAAATTAGGTAAGAGTTTTAGCTTTATTACCAAACCCCTAAAGTTGACGCATAAAAAGTGCAGTTATGTAACTATAGTAAAAACTCAAAATATATCAGTATCTCTATATACCTGCTTGCCAGTTTTCTCATTGCAAGACTTGCAAAATGTGTGCCAGTTTTTTTTCGACCCTAACATACCATGTACAACTAATACAGGACTGCTATCATTCTCTTGAGTGGCTTCATAGTTCTGATGGGCCAAAACAAATGATTGATTTGAAACATTTTGCGAAAATTTGGTAGAAATAATTGCTGATGATAGTTTAACGGTTTTGAAACAAAACAATGTTGCCCTTTGTGGGCGGAACCAACGTAAACACTGCATGATCTCTTGGAACTTTAAAATTTCCCGGAAAAAAAGAAATGAATCACGTGCTGTCGCCTAATTTCGGTGCTTTTTACGAAAAGTTTTGCTGGAGATTTTTGGCGGATCAAGTCCCAAAAATTGCTGGTTAAAGAATTAGTAAAAACTTAATGTTGTTGTGCAATTTGTAGCGATAGAAAGGAAGCTACTTTCTAGCTACTTTCAGATATTTCTAGGTAAGATACATATTCAAGTTGGAAAAAAAACAGAATTCTTCTCGGTTACAAGTACCTCACAGTCCAGAATGACCATTAGATCAGAAAAGGTCACCATAGTAGTCCAGTTTTTTGTCTAAGATCATCAGGGCCAAAAGCGCTAATCATTAAAATTCTAAATCAAAATTAAAAGCGGAAAAAGTAATTACGAGGATAAACATCACGAGATCTGGACATTTTACCAGGAATGATTTAACCAAGAAATTTGAGAAGTTTTTTAATGAAAATTGTCAATATTGATGCATGTTTGGCAGTCCGCAATTCTGATCTTACTTACATAGAACTGGCTTGGACGGCGAGACACTTTGACACAACATATTAACCTACTCCGGAAGAGTACAAAACCACAAAAATCACAACAAATGGCACAAGATTATGATCGCAATTATAAGTTTATTATATTGGGCGACGCAGGTAAATTTGTAATATGAATATAAGTATATTATGAAGTATTTACACTATAATAAATAGGATGTTTTGGTATGATGGATAAAAAAATGAAATCATTAATTTTTTGAGCGGGCATGTTCAGTCATGAGACGTATTTCAACGCGAATTAACTGGCCATTTTAGTATTTGTGCTTTTAAATATTTAACTATTGTTTTTAGTAGCAAAATTAAATTGTATGCATTGTGGTAATTGCTACCATCATCAAATATTACTGTTTATTGGCAATTTACATCACCTTACCATAACGATTCATCATTAGCACCATTACTAACACCATTACCCATGTGAAATTAACTGTGGCTCTGCATTTTATCAGCTGTCGGCAAAAGTAGTCTGTTACTACAATTCACAGAAGCAAAACATCAAGGTTTGTGTCACGAGATGTCATCATAATAATTTGAATTGTGCCTAAAAATGGATGAAGTTTAATTCAGAGATCCTAAATAAGTTCTATTTCATTCCTAGTTAGTTATATAACAACAATAGGAACAGACTTTAAAGTGAAAATATTGAACCTGGATGGATGTAGACACAAACTCCATCTATGGGATACGGCTGGTCAGGAACGATTTCGAACCATTGTCACAACGTAAGGTCCAGTTGATACTACCTCATAAAGTAAAAGCATTGTTATAAGTCTCCTGTTCATCATATGTAATAAGAAAAGCATCTTGTGCATTTGATAGCCTCAATCATTTGAAACAGGAAGTCACTTAACATTAGTTTTATATTTACTTAGTTACTACAGAGGTGCCCAAGGAGCATTGATTGTCTATGATGTGACGAATGAGGATTCATTTCACCATGTTCGGTCATGGTTACATGAGTTGCATCAAAATTGTATAGGAGCTACTATTATTATAGGTAGGTGATAATACCATGGGTACTGTCCTGGTGATGCTAATAGTGTTATAGGTTATCAAGTGATTAGGATTTTGAATATTAAGGATTCTCTTGTTTTAGTTGGAAATAAATGTGATCAAACAGAGGACCAAACAGTGCCAACAGAAGCTGGAGAGGAGTTTGCAAGGGAACATGGCCTCGCATTTTATGAAACCAGCGCCAAAGAAAACATTAATGTTCACGAGGTAACAACATTGAAGCACAATACAGAAATAAATCACTTAAAATAATGAGAATTGGGGTTACAACTTACAACTGCTGTCTATATACACAAAAGCACTTCTCAATGTTTGGACCAACCTTGATCGGGAAAGTTAGTGTGATTGCTATTGATCACTATAATTCACCATTATTACATTTTTCTTTGCGGATGACTAGGTTTTTGAAGATTTAACACGGCAAGTCTACAAGGCAGAGCTGGAGGCCAGATCTATGGACATCAGTGATTTTAACAGTGCTGTGGATGTAAATGATAATAATAGCGTAAAAGAAACAAAGCCATGTTGTTGATGGTATTTATTCAAGGGTTGAACTAGGAATACCTCAATCTTCAACCTTGTTGAGAGAAATCCAGGAAACATTGCTCTCCAAGATATATTTTCTCAAGATGTTTTCTAAAAGCTTGAAACAATTCAATTTTTAATGGAATAAATACCAAGCTTGGAATCCCCTTCAGTTCCTGTCTAAACTTAGGTAAATAAAAAACAAAATTGCAAAAATACTACAACTTAATTCTAATACTTCACATGTACAAAAACATCCAGTAAAATGCACCTCACAGAATTTGACCAATCCACCATCATAATTACTTAGTATGTTATGTAGTAGTAATTACTTGTTTAACAATCATCCAATTTTACATATTAAATAAATTACAACAACAAGCCACCCATAGCTTGTTGTATTTACCATTTCAATATCAGTAATTCATGCAAGAAAATCCGTAACAATTTGTAGTAACTCTTTTGGTTTGTCAGTGTGTACAAAATGTCCAGCACCAGGAATCATTTCAAGTCTGGCATTTGGGAACATTTTTCTCATTTCATTCATATCAACATTTCTATAAATAAATATATATCTGAATAATATATACATATGTATCCTTACAAGGTCGATGAGTGGATTCGCACATGCAATTATATTATAGTCTTCAGAAGTGAATTTTTAATACCTCAGAACATCAGACTCCCCTCCTCCAACAAATAGAGTTTCCCCCATGTATGGCTCTCTCTCATTTAAAGCTATCCCAGATAAAAGGGAATCAAGATTGTCTTGTATATTGTTGAGATTATGTTGCCAGTTGAACTGTCCCTTGTCATCTTTGTACAGACTTGCAAGAACATACGCTCGGAGATCATCAGGCTAAAACAATAAAGAACAGATCCATGCTTTAGTTTATGATGAAATCATACACCAATATCTCTATCAAAATAATAACAAGTAGCCAACTCACTGGTAATGTTGCTGCCAGCATAATATCTGCATCACGTTTGTTTTTAACTTTAGATAAATCCAGGTTAGCCATTGATGATAACACATGACTAACAATTCCAAAATCTTTAGAAGTAGAAATGGGGGTTATATCAACTAATATTAACTTTTCAATGATATTGGGCATGCTCAGTGCAGATTCCATGGCCACTTTCCCCCCCACACTATGACCAATAAGAATGCATTTAGAAATCATTCATTTCCTCGAAAGTCTCTGCAATATCACCAGCCATTACTGGATAAGACATGTGATCACTTCTGGGACTTTGACCATGGTTTCGGCAATCAACAGCAATAATCTAGATAAAGAAAGAATACCATTGGCATTAGTAAATAATTATTAAGTTTATCAAACAGCCAGTTGTATAAAAGGATAGTGGATTCTCTTAATTCTAGTTACTGTTCAACTACAGTACCCCACAAATTAGGTAAGAGTTTTAGCTTTACCAAACCCCTAAAGTTGAAGCATAAAAAGTGCAGTTATGTAACTATAGTCAAGACTCAAAATATATCAGTATCTCTAAATACCTGCTTGCCAGTTTTCTCATTGCAAGACTTGCAAAATGTGTGCCAGTTTTTTTTCGACCCTAACATACCATGTACAACTATTACAGGACTGCTATCATTCTCTTGAGTGGCCTCATAGTTCTGATGGGCCAAAACAAATGATTGATTTGAAACATTTTGCGAAAATTTGGTACAAATAACTGCTGATGGTAGTTTTACAGTTTCGAAAAAAAAAGCTGTTGCTCTTTGTGGGCGAAACCAACGTAAACACTGCATGATCTCTTGGAATTTTGAGAGCTAATTTTTTTGCAGATTCGCGTATTAGGGCCTGATTTCACGAGGTTATTTCTCGACGAAATGCAAAAAATTTCGTCTGTTTTATCTGAATTGTGACCACTAGAATAAATTAATTCTGCTTGATTGCTCACAATTCAAAAGGGACAAAATATTTCGCCAAGAAATAGCGCCCAAGGAACCAGGGCTTAAATTATCAAAAACGCTCAAAACTTGGTGATTGGTTTTCCCGGGGATGTCAAAGCTAAGACTTTTTTACAAGTAGCCCTAGGCGCCGGAAGTGAAAATTTAAACAAATAAAAGAAAAAGTGAAGAGGTGCTTGATAATCAAGGTATTGAAGAAAATAGAAAAATTTGCAAAAAATGCTACCATAGGTTTCTGTCAAAAGGAAAGCATCTTAAAATTTTGCACAAAGAATTGGTGGAAGGTAAAATGGCGGCAGAAGACCCAGACCAATATAATTATATAAAACAACAGAAACTGAAAAAGAAAATATGCTGCAGAGTGAATGATAAAAACACAATAACTGGATGACTGATAACTAAATACACTGCAGCTACTAGCCTTCTAGCCTACTATTAAAATGAAGAATAAAAGCTAGTCCCATGAGAGAAATCTAGGAAACATTGCTCTCCAAGATATATTTTCTGAGGAGGTTTTCTGAGGGCCTGAAACTATGCAATTTTTAATGGAATAAAACAAAATTGCAAAAAATACTACAATTTAATTCTAATACTTCATGTGTACAAAAACATCCAGTAGAAAGGCCTCTCAAAGAATTTGACCAATCCACCATCATAATTACTTAGTACATGTGATTAAAATGCAAGCATTTCTACAAATAAGGTGTGTTGTATAATTACTATTCTAATTAGTGATGTGACGAAACTAATTAATGCTAACGTTATTCTAACCGTATTAGAATTCTACTTTTTCATTTGTTTTTTCCGATGGCTTCTCTTCTGAGGGTGCCTCCTCTGTTTCATTCTCAATCTCCTCTTCAACCTCCTCTGATTCAACGCTCTTGGTCAAACCATGGGATGTCAACATTTCGTTGATCTCATCTCTTGATTTTTCAGCAAGAGCAATTCTCTGAAAGTTTTATTTATTAATTTTAGAGCTTGTCTTATATTTCACCTTTGAAACAAAATATGGTTCATGCAACCTGCAGTTATCAGATTATCATGCCAAGCTTTGTCACATGGGGGGTGCATGGGGGGCTCCTGGTTTGAGTGGATTTACTGGGGGGGGTGCAAATTGGGTGCAAAAAAAAATCATTCTGGATTTATTTCTGGATCAATGTAAGAGATCTATAGTTTTAAGCTGACTAGTACTACTGAAGTTAATTTTAATACTTTAGGTTTCCTATACCTCTTTTTCTTCCCCATTCTCTAAAAACAGCATTCTTGGATCAATTCCACCAATATACTTCACCTCCAAATCTGGGCTAAACATGGCTGTTAAAGATTTTCAACCCCTTTGTTCAATCATCCCATTTTACATGTTAAATAAATTACAACAGGGCAGGCCACCCATAGTTTGGTGTGTTATGATAACACTGTTATCACAAAACCAGTTCATAAAGGATACTATTTATCAGCATCTTCATTGATGAATGACTTTACCTGCAGGAATTCAAAAAAACATTATTTTTAACATTATTATATTTTCATTATTTTCAACTTACACAAATTATTCTTTATGCATGATTTTTAATGCGAGGAATATTTGACTTCTGTTAATATTTAATCAGTTGTGGCGATAAACCATTTATTTTAGTGTGAATTAACATAATTCTCAGCCTAAACTAAAACACTGGCTCCAAAAAACAAATAATAGTATTTACCTCAGGAAGGCGATTTAAACGTCATCCACCGCATGTCTAAAGAAAGATTTTTCACAGAGAATAACGATGAATTATTGAATATCATTTGGACATTTGCAACAGCACACAATTGTTGCATTTAAAACACTTTTTCTGGAATATTTAGGCACACGTGGTAATCTAACTTATCACTTAATCTTATCTCTCGGAAGTTTAGTGATGCTAAAACCCAAAATCTATCAAAATTTTGGACAGGTTATCTGCAGAAATATTACATGCATACCTCAAGTCGAGCTTTCGGGCTTTTCTCCTCTTCTGCAGAAAATATTTGCAGCGTGAGTAACGCAAACAAAAGACTCCTTGTTAACCAAAAAGAAGCCATATTTGCAATTTGCTATTTTATCAGCGATACTTGCGTGGACTACACGCACAACACGCGAAAAAAAACGTTTTCGTTTTTGATTGGTTGGTTCCAGGGTTCCAGTGGCTGGTTCAGATTGGTATTAGGTTAAGATTAGATCCAGGATTAGATCAGATTAAATTTAGATTAAAGTTATATCGGTTATCTTATTCGAAATACTAAAGCAGCTCATTTGACGAAAGAGACCGCATCATATTGCATGACGGTTGTAATCGCGGAGATTATTAATTTCAAGTCATTTTTATTTGAACTACGAAAAACAAACAAACTTTATTAAAAAAGAAAATTGATTTGTTGGGCAAGCTCTCTAAATTTCATTAATAATTCACAACTGGGAACTAATATTTGCACGACTTTTAGTACACATAAAAAAATAAACGGTCAGGCACAATAAATCTTCAGTCGTCACGTTCCAAAAAGCACTGAAAAAGCAAGCCATATTTGTGTTGGAAAACTTTGAAACAAAATGGGAGACATTCTGAACTCAACTGTGGTCAAAAGTTATGTTTCAAAATCGTATTTAACCGTGTTGATTGTCGGAAAATCGTTGACCATTTTTCTCGGTGTTGGAGGAAACCTGCTTGTGATACTACACGAAGCGTTTTTACGCTATGAGAAATCGCCGCACACGTATCTCATATTGAACCTGGCAGTTTCGGATCTACTAAGTTGTCTGACGATTTTCTCGCTGAGAATTGTGAAGTCCATATCCATGTTGTCTCAGGACGGAAAGAGAAACTCGATGTTCTGCAAGATTAACTATTTTAGTGGCAGCTTCTGTGTATGTCTCTCCGTCCTAACTCTCGTCGCAGTCACGTACGATAGATATCTGTCTATTAAACGTCCTTTAAAATACCCAATGCTCATGACAAAACGTAAGGTCTACGGCATCATCGCTATCATTTGGGGAGCATCATCAATTTATCTACCTGTCGCTGTATTCTTCGTCGAATCATCAAAAAGACAGTTAAACAATGGCTGTACCATCGTACAAGAGGGTCTCTCGGCTCTAATAATACTTTTCGTATATATTCCAATCACTTTTATATTCTTGTTCAACTATAAAACTTGGCGTATTGCACATGGGCAGCGACGCTCAATCGCTCGGAACACGGTGATGGATTCGAACGCGGAAAGTATCAATTTTTCAAAAAGAATCGCAAAAGAACTCAAAGCAGTTAAAACGTTTGGAATGATATTAGGAGTGCTCACGTTTTGTTTCACACCGTACGCGCTAACAGTTCTTTTTCATTTGCTGCACTTTAACGCAGGTTTTCCTCCGCTGGCTTACGCCCTGTTCGCGGATTTGGTTGGATTAAATTCAGTTTTAAATCCCCTGATTTATGGTTTAAGACAAAAAAAATACAGGAAGGAACTTTACAAGTTCTTCGATCGATTATGTTGTTGAATTCTATTAAAATTTTTTAAATTATGGCTGTCTCTTGTCGTGTTATTTGCTCAAAATGTAATTGAAATGTCACAGTTCATAATTTGTTTTTGGAATATGAAAGTTTTATTATTAAATGATGAAGCTGCTATTAAGGAGGAGAATGAACTCCCACTAAGATCAGGTATTGCTTTCTCCTAGACTGCGTTTAGACAGACAGCCTGTTTGCGAGCACTGGTCCCCACCCATGATCTATATCACTATATGGCAAAATAAATTGATAGGATTTGAACAAGATCTCAAAACATGTCAAGCAAGGTGCTCGGGTGCTGCACTTCGACGCTAAAACAGAGATGGACACAAGTGGCGGGAATTCAGTAAGAAACGTAGACTAATTGATCTAGAATAGAAAATCGTGTCCAGGAGAAATTGACAAAACTTTGGTAGAATCCAAGTAGAATGGCTTGTGAGACATGCAGACAACACGATACCCTGACACAGGAAGGTGAAGGTCACTATCTCCTGTTGAAATTTGAGAGGTCTTCGCTCTGTGTTGATAAATTTCGCTCGTGGTTTTATATCGAATGACAGCTGTTCGGTTCAGTCAAAGAAAACTGCTCGAAGAATCACGATGAAAACGTTGCTTGTACTCTCTTGCTTGATCAAACTGGCGTCGTGTTTTTGTGGTATGTGCGAGAAGCATTTATGTGTTTAACTTTACTCTCGAATCTAGTGCAGAAATTATTCAAAATTTTGTACTTTGTCATATTATAGTCAGTATTCTCTGAAGCCAATGCGACCAACACAAACAATAATTCAAAGTCTAGTATAGTTCAGCCATAGCTAGAAAAATAGGCACGTTTCAGCGAAAATACGATATTTATCCATGGACAAACTGCCTTAGCATAAAATGCTGCAACTCGACTCTGCAAAACCCGAAGGAGATTACATCATACGTAGCTAATGAACGAAATAAGAGACATGAAGTCCAGGGAAGACTGCTAGGAGAGTCTGAATTTCAATTGCCAGAAAATGAGAAGGAAGAATACGTTTAAAGCAGGCTGAACTTTGGCTCATCGAAGATGTAGATGAGAAATATAGCAGAAGCGCTGTGAAGTGATGAAGTTTCCACGGCAAGAGCTTGCTCGCAGCCGCAGGCTAGTTCAGAAGAGTTAGTATACATGAAGAAAGGTGAGCAACAAGCATTCATTAATCTGATTTCCTCTTTTGAAAAGGTAGCCACAACAAGTCCCATGACCGCCTCGTGGTAACAGCAGTGCAAACGTCCAACTGGTTGAGAGAGAATTACGGTGGGGACCTCGAAAAACTTGAACCCAACGTGGCTAGTTCGATGGTAGTCGCATTAAGACTGACAGGATACCAACCAAAGACCATCACATCTGATTTCAAAACTAAGCTTTCTCATCACACCATTGTCGACTATTTGAAATCTCATTTAGACAAGAATAGAACCTTGAAACCTGGGCACATTGCAAATATATTCCAAGCCATTTCAGCCTTGTGTTTAGATCCGGATAATTTTTACGGGCATAACTTAACGCATAAACTCCACGAAGGTTTTAAATTGCAACCTGCTAGGAATTACTTTGAGTATAGTTCAGTGGCTTTGGCGATCTGTCAAAGTATGGAAACAAAAATGCAACCTCAATTGGCGAGAACGATCATGAGAAGGATTGAAAAGGCTTTTGATGAAATAACAGGATGTCGGAGGATGCCAGATTCTCCAGCAATGGCAGTCATGGCTTTGTCTTGTTTAAGAAGAAATGTAGCAGAGAATCGCACGAAGTTGAGGTTGAATAAGATAATTTCAAGATACACAAGTAAGATTTTGGAAAGTCTAAGAAAGCGCAAGGATAGTTTTTGGAATACCCAGTCAAAAGGACTCCTGATCCAGGTAAGGATGAAGTGTGGATTTGTTGGTTTCCTTTTTGTTGTTGTTTACAATCATTGTCGCTGTTGTTGTTGTTGTAAACAACGGTATATAATCACAGTTTTATTTACATTTGTCGCTAATTCAAAACCCAAGGCCTTCATGTCGATACCAGAGGAATTACAGCCAAGGCACTGGCGTTGCAATCGTCTGATGTCCGCCATATTGAACAAACATGATCCAGAAAATGGATTTGGGAATGTTCTTGCAGCCATTCAGATTCTGCCAGCGTTATTAGGACGATCACTGCTTCATCTCAACATGATGTGTCCACTACCACCGGGTGAGTTGAGCTTCAACCATATTTCACGTGAACAAAGTACTGTGCTTTGGAACTTTCCTTAGGTACTTTGGTTTCCCACCTCTTCAAGGAGGGCTAGAGTCCTTAGAGCCCCTTTGGCTGAGCCGTGAACTTCGTAAGAATGCGAGAAGAGCGACGTAGAACAGTTATCAGAGTAATAAATCCATCTTTTTTTATCACATAGATTCTAATGAAATGAATTCAAGGAAGGTTTGTGTAAACAGCTTTCCATAATTCGATCTCCAATGCAATCTCCAAAGGTCGACTCGTTCTTATTTTAGGATCACTCACACGCTTCCATCATCGTCTATCTTCATTCTTGACAGGTATTAACAGTGTGTGTCACATTAACATCTCAACATCCCAAACTGCAAGCAAACATGACCGTAGTCGTCCGAGGGAAGGCGACAGCGTACGATGTCTTGGCGAAGGCAGCCGAGAAAAATGACATGTACAAGTTTAAAGAGCTGAAAACATCGTACGGAAGAATGATCACAGAAATTTCAGGAATTAAACAAAATTCTGGGAATAATGGTTACTACTGGACACTTTACGAGAAAGAAGGTTTTCCAGCGCGTGATGGAGTGGATCTTTTTAGACCAAAGAATAACACGTGTATTATATTCAAATACGAGTCGTGTGCAGATGAGAGCGCAAATAAGGGAAAAAATGAAAATAAAAATACTGAAACTAAGGAAGGAGCCTTTGCATGACATTGACAGTTTCGTTGTAGGTATGCAAAACTAGCTTTTAAATTTCGCTGAAAGATGGAATTAATGAGTGGAATTGGGTGGGATTCTAGGTACATTACTATTGGTGATTTCTCTATGATTTTAAAGTTTAGTGGAAATGATAGGATTTAGCAAATAGTCGAAGTGTTAACATATAGGCTAATTGCTATGGCAAGAAGTGGCTGCGATTTACTTCGCAGGGACTTCAAATACATGTCAAATTCAAGAGAATGTGTTGTGTTCATCTAATAAATTATCTTTTCGTCATTCATTCTATTTACAATAATCATTAGACAGCGGCGTTTGAACATGAAACATTCAGATTTTTGTGTGAATAAGATTATCAAACCAATGCTGATTGGCTTAAAAGTTGTTCACCACGAGAGACAAACATTCTAACGTACGCTTAGCGAAGGGTTTTGTCGAAATCCGAGAATGCTTCAGCACGGCAGCCAACCCGAGTAGAATCTCTTAATTTTACCTGACTAATTTGAGCATATGTACAAAATATCCGGTTCCAACTGTAATTCAATCAAAGGCGATCTTTCGTCGGCGATACGACTAAAATGATCACAAAAATACAGAATATCAGATTTAGGTTAGAAACTTAGAATACACGCAAGTTTCCGAGTGGATGGAACTTTGATTACTGGGATTTGCCGAGGAAACAAAAATGGCTACCTTTTGTCCCATGTCGCGTTCAGTGATCCTTTCAGCCTCGTGACGGACCATGTGTCGATAAGCATTCTCCTCACGTCTGAAGAAAGGTTTGAGATGTATCCATTAGATGTCATTGAGGGCAAAGAATGAATCCTATGTAATCCATCAGATATCATTGATCATAATCCTAAGTATCCTATGTAATCCATCAGATATCATTGATCATAATCCTAAGTATCCTATGTAATCCACAAACCATACCGTTGATCCTCTAGCTTCTGTTGTTCCCTGTGTTTAGTTTCAATGTCTCTTTGCCTTCTTTCGGTAATCTGAAAATAAGCACATGAAATGTTGTCGTCTGCAGAAATAAATTGAACTTTAGGAAGAACAGAACCTAAGAAAGTCTCTCATAAGAGCACAGAGAGTGACACCATGATCTTCAAGGTGAGGAAGCCAAATCGCTTTCAACTAACATCATCCTAACCTGTGATTGTAATTCTCTTTCTCTTATCTGTCTCTTCTCCTCTTCCGCTTTCTTCTCTCGTTCCGTCATCCTGTTCACAGCTTCCATTTCGTTCAGGAGTTCTTCCTGCGTCTTGAGCGATTGCTCGTGTCTTTGACGCACTTCAGACATCTTCTGTTCGATTTGCTTCTGGCGTTCAACAAGAACCTGCACACGATAGAAAACAACAAAACTGTGACATTCATAACTTGTAAACAAACACTAGCCACCTTAACGGAGTGAGCTCATCGTTCCCCTCCCTCCCCCCCTGCTTCTCAAATACATACCTCATTCATTAATCTTTCTCGCGCAAGTCTCTCTCTTTCCCATTCTGCGTCACGTTTCTGCCACATCCGAGCAGCTTCGTCCCTGAAGAAAACCAACCATCCATGATGACATGAAGTACTTCATCATTGCTCAAGTCATCATTTACGTGAACATCACGAAATGATACCACTGATTTATCCCCTCATATACCTACCTGTACAACATATCCAGTTCAGCTTCTCTCGCCTTCTCGACACGAAGTTGTTCCTCAAGAACCTGTGTTGAACAGTTTGTTTCACAATAGTTCATTTCAGAGCAAAGCTTCATGCTAAATCATCATTCTTTATGTTGAATTTTCAACCAAAGCGTAACTCTTGATTGAATAATTCTTACTTGTTGCATGTAGGCTGCATCAGCTTTTGCTTTTTCTCTTCTCGTTGATTTTAAGATAACTTCCTCTTCTTCCTTTGGATAAACGAGAACGAAAATACAATAAAAAAACATTCAGAAATAACTCTAGTTTAAAGTTGAGATTCCACAGCATGTAAACAGCGTACCTTGGCTGCCATATTTTGTAATATTTCTAAATCCATTTCCTGCGAAGATAAAAGACACATTCAGAAAAATTTGAAAGAACAAATATTGAGACTTGTTCTTCAGACCTACCAGAGCTTTCTGGACTTCTTGGCTCTTTCGTTTCATTTGTGCTTTATGCTGTTGTATCAGAACACGTCTGCAAAGAAAGATGAGGTGAAAGTTACGGTCATTTTCGTGCAGAAACGCGAGACTTGACGAGAGGCCAAGCTTTTAACTCTCTAGATATGGTCATCAACTCGTCTGCTGACCACAAGAGGTATATGACTCGCACCTACCCACTCAATCTCCCCTCTCATCACACCTATCCATGCAATCCCCCCTCCTCACACCTACCCTTGCAATCTCCATTCTCATCACACCTACCCATGCTATCTCCCCCTCCTCACACCTACCCATGCAATCACCCATCTCCTCACACCTACCCATGCAATCTCCCCCTCCTCACACCTACCCATGGGATCTTCTCTTTCTTTCTTCCTCAAACCGCTTTCTCGTCTCTTTCTAAGGGTTAAGAACAATCCACAGAGTCAAAATTACATCAGGAAAGTTGATGAAAACCCATGCAGCCACACTCACTGCTTCGTCTATTCTCCTCTCTTCATTCTCCAGTCTCTCTTGTTCTTGTCTCAACATGGCTGCCTAAACAAGAAATCCCATCTTGTGCATTAGAAACACCTGTTCACATGCTACAAAAGCTTGAATCACATCTCACCTCTTCTTCCCTTATCCGCAATTCCTTCATTTGTATTTGAAGTTGCCGAGCAGTTTCCTTCTCTTCCCTATCAAGATTTTGTGTAGGTATTCCTAAGAATGTTTAGTCTGTAGAAAGTTCATCTTGACTCTGAACAGTTTACCTTTTCTTTGCTTCTTGAAGTGCCCTATCTCTTTCCATTAACAAAAGTCGTTGCTTTTCCATTTCTGATTCCATTCTAAAACAAAACATGGCTTCAAGATGAACAATTTTGAAGACATTGAATAATAGCTTTTCAAAATACACACTCAATCCACTGCACATGTTTGTTCACAATTAAAATACCCGGTACCTTTGCTGTTCATCCCTGCTCGTCATTTCTCTCTGGAAAGCAATACATTAATGCAAGGTTAGTTAGCAATTTCCATTGACCAGCGGGCTCCTCGTTCACAGAGGGTGGTAGAGGCATGCAATGAAAATGCTGTGTCTGTCACTGGATACTTCATTTTTCCAAATAAAGAGAACTTTGATGTCCATTTTAAGCAAACATACCATTCTCTTGTCTTCATTTTGATCTCTCCAACTGTGAACAACATGCTCTTTCAAGCGTTCCGACTCCACCTACGATATGGATTATGAAATTGTGGTTTTGAAATGGATTATGAAATTGTCAGCTTTTACTAAATTTATGCATAAATGTGATTAAGAGGGGCATAGGATGAAAAATAGGTAACATAGATGTACATAACTTTACCTGACGTAATTCAGGTGCATTCTGACGCCAGTGTTCATACAATTTCTCCTCTGCGAGCTGAAATGAACACAAATAAACAATCCTTATATTTTCGAATAGCAATGCAGACTTTGTTTGGTACACGGTTCATATGGTTCATGGACATGGTTCATACCTTTTGCCGCCTTTCCTCCCTGGCAGACTTCAAGTCATCAGCTCTGTATAATAAGTATTTGAAACACTGTGAATACATTCAATTCCTGCAGCAAATATTATGTTAGAAAAATAACTAAACTTGATTTGTACATACCTAGCTTTCATGTCTTGTGCCTGTCCACCGCGTGCTGACCTGTACTGACGAAGTTCTTGCTAAAAACCAAACAAAGTATACTTAAAAATATATCAATTTGTATCTGAGGGTTATAAGAAGGAAATATAAGTTGACATGAGTCCTGGAAATCAGCTAAATCAGGCTGAATCAAGGCCTTTGGGGTTCCATTTCTACATGACATTGAGTCCTCTTACCTCAAGATCTTTCTGCTCATTCAACAACAACTCACTGAGTTTCTTCCTTCGCTCAGCAAGATTGCTTTTCTTTTTATCTTTCGAGTACAATGCATCCAATGCACCCATGCTTCAAAATGAAATGAAATATTATTGAAAAGATCTTGATGAATTGCAACACATCACAGCTGCTGCACAACCAAAAGTGGTCAGTTCTCTAATGGTGATGCAAAACACCATAGAAATTTATACTTTCTTGGTATCTCCAAATGAATCTCATCTGTCGTTCATGCAGAAGGAAAAAGGGTTTTGTAAAAGCTCTTATATTAAAGTCTCTGATAGTCTGTATTTCACTATAATCTCATATCACGTTAGGATATCAGGCAAGCTGTTTCCAAAGCAACCGTCTGTACAGATCCGCTATTTCAGGCAGCTCATCTGAACAGCTCATCTTGTATCCACATTGAAATGCTCAAATATATTTGACAGCCGATATTGTCCGTCAGTCTGATAGTATACAAAATATTGTACAGACTTCAAACACAAACAAACCTCTCCTGAAAACATTGGTCCGACTGCCAAGCTCTCTTCTTAGTAGCTTCGACGTTTGCTCGTTGAAAATACCGACTATTCTCGTCCCATTTATGTCTGAAATCAGACTCATGCTGTGTGCGTTGTACATGAAACTGTTCTGTTTTATTTTTGTAGTGTTTCATCCAGTAAGGCTCAAGCGTTGGAAGCGCCATTTTTTTGTTTTCTTTTCGAAAAATTTTCAATTTTTTAAACTCGTACTCAGGCTCAAGAGAGCGCGCCGCTGCAGAGAAGAAGAAAGTTTACCTGTCAATCATGAGGGAAAAGATTGCAAGTCTATCGTTTTACTCAACAATATATCGTTTATTCAACAATATGCAACCCGCCCCAGAATATTTATCGATACCCTGTTCTACACTCAACCGTTCATCGTCAAATATTTGTCCCATAATAGTCTATTCAGTACTCAAAGAGAGTACTCCATATTCATTTGTACCAGTATCAGTATTGTACAAATTTGTACCATCAATTCTAAACTGTTCTAGCCCGAGTGTAAGCCAACAATTTCTCCACACCGCACAGGCTAAACCGTTGAAGGTTCTTCCTAGAGATTCAGTAAGCGCTACCCCTTATTGATCCAATGTAACTAGCAACTCAAACTGCTCAGTTTAAGGTCCAGTAAGGGTCGTCTGTTGTTACTAAAGGAGCAAACCTTTGATGCAATTTTAGTGAAGCACGTAGACAAAAGAGCGCCAGAAAACCTATCTAAAATAACGTCTTGTTTTTGGTTAACAACCGCAGAGAAAATTACGCTGATATCTTCCCTCAGGGAGAATATAAAAATGATGAATAAGTGCACATTGTGTAAAATTTTACACATGAAAACTTCTTTATACAGCTTTATCCCACATGCCTCGTCTATTATGAAAGAAATGAAACAAGCCAGGCATCTTCAATTTATGTACAAGGATATTTTTGGCAATAACTCTATCGATCATCTCCCAATCTTCGCCACCCCAGTGGTCATGGAATTCTTTAGAGTTCATGCCACCAAATCGTGACCAATCTGACTTGTATATCGCGAACAAGCCATAGCCTTGTTCTTCCCAGTGGCCAGTGGGAAAGTCAGGAGAGCTTCCACACATAAGGCGGGTTAGCAGCGGAACAAAGGCCATGTGTCCCTGGATTGTATGCTTAAAGAAGAACAGAACAAAATTAGCTTAAAATTAAAAAAAAGTGCAACACAGGGTTAAGAAATAAAGAAACGTAAGAAAGATACCGGACTTCTCAGTCTAAAGGACACTATGGGACAAATCAATGGTTAAGGACAAACCTATGAATTAAGCAATAAAATTTAGCTAAAAATGGGTTGTTTATAATATCTTTAAGCTTTGCACAAACCTTGCGTACAGTCTGGATAAGATTCACAGGCAGATCAAGATGAAGATCAAGGAGGAATATAATGCTGTTGTTATTTTTCACGGATGCTGCTGCTTCGTTTATCGCTGCTGTTTTATAGAAGTGTCCTTTCTTGTGAATGACTGCAATAGAAAAAAACTTCATGTTAATCATGTAACTTTCTTTATCCAGCTTTGTCCCACACTGTTGAAGAAAAGTAAACTTTCCCCGGATTCTCACCCTATCCTAAACCTAAAGGAATTAAGGCTTAGTACGGCGAGCCAGACTACAAAAAACCATAAATAAACCAACCCGAATAATGTTTCAGACGACTGCGTTTCAAATACGTGCCGGTATCAGAGTCTCTGCTTCCAAAATCCACAATAATTGGATGAATATTTTGATCACCAGTTGCCTCCTGTATGTCGACTATATTGTCAATGAAATGTTGGACCCATACACCCTGGTTCTTAACCGTGATTATGACGTAGACAGTGACGTCAGGTTGCCATACCGATGGCGCAAGATAACACAGGTTACCCGAGATGAATTTCTCCACGACGTGATCGGCAACTCTCCATGTTTTGTTCTCCATGCTATCATAAATTTCCAGTTCCATGAAATATCGCTCATCCTTCGTGTGCTTTTCAAACACTAATTCTGATCTGATCACTGACAAAAGGGAATAACGTCTGTGGGAAAGAAATCACAATAAATAACTGATTACCTTTCTACATATTTCATAATAGAACATAACCATTCTTACTTTGGAAATGTTGCGTTCAGGAATCTCCGAGCTACGGAATAAGCCTTTCCTTTCTCAAACAACGGATTTCCTTTGCACTCATCTGAGCTTTTTGCACTCTGGCATATCTGAATGACCAGTCCAGATCCATCTTGTGGGTAAACGTTAGGAATCTGAGCGTATCTGATTCCTTGATAACGATGTAACTTAATACGAAACTGTCTCTCTTTTCTATTACACACTGGTAACCTGTTCCGAAGATGACGTAATAAAGGTATCTCTTCTGCTCGGGTAAGCTTCGTAAAGTTGCGATATCCACCCGAGTGATGATATTTTGTACGCATGTGCTTATGGTGCCTGAGTATTATCTCGTCAGATAACACTTCATCTTCTGGCTTTGAATGGCCTTGTTGTTCTTTCATGAACAGCGATAAGAATTGCTTGGTTATTATCGTGAAGTACTTCTTTCCTGGTATTTTCCACGCGACGTGCACGTGGCCTTTACCTTCGCCTTGTTTGTGCAAAACTTCGAAGTAATACTTCTTATCTAAAAATAAAGTTTGCTTGAAACTCTGGCGCACGAAGTTGATCAGGGGGGGTGGAGGTGGGGGAGATCGGAAGCGGGCAACAGCTATCCCATACCCCGCCTTGTACACAGAAGACCCTGGGAACGAGGTTCCAGTTATCCCACGTGCTCCATCTGACGGCAGACAGCTTTTCTCATTATCCCTACGAACGGCATTTTACTCACCTTCTTCCAAATAAATATACTGTGATATCTGACTGACATATTTATCAAACTGTCCAGGCCCGGTTGAACCCACAATGTAGACTCCTTTGTACAAACCACCGACCTGACATATCAAATTCGTATTATTCGGTGTCATATTCTCGCTCAACCAAACCTCGGAAAAATCATCGGACGAGACTGCAAATTGATAGGTTCCAGTCAGCGGTGGATGAATGTATCCGAATATTCGCTGGCCAAAATCACGAAGAGTCGTCCGCATGCGAAGAAGAGAGGTAGTTGTTCTTAATCTTGGATGCTTCGGAAATAAAATATGTCTTCTAAGGTTGTCCACGGTGTTCCCACATATGGAATACCATCGATGAACGTTCAGCTTCCCATAGAGCTCTGTGTTTATATTTTGACCAGCGTTAGCAAAGATTTCCTTGGCTACTGCCGTCCATCGTCCGAGGAATGAAGTTTGTTCGTTGATTCGTTTGTTGCTTTCTTGAATCTTCACCCTGTTCACAGAATTTGTACCTCTCTCCTGTCCTTTGCCATCCTTTTTGAACTTTGAACGATGACTGACGTTGGGAATAAAACTGATGATAGTTGATAGGACATACACAACAATACATGCTAAGGTGATGATCTTGAAGTAAAGACAAAGTTGTTTTCGTACAAAGTTGCTGTGTACCATAGTAATTTTCCCGCCTGTTTCTTCCACTTTTGATCGAGGATATCTTTATCATAACAAAATGTACTTGAAAAGATTAGAATATTGACTGATTCTAGCCAACAATTGCTCGGCTTTCTTTTCACGTTTGTGCCTTTCTTGTTTTGTTTCTGCTTCTTGTTTTGTCTCTGCCATCGTTTGTGGACAGCTTGCCTTTAAAACATCCGCTTTGCATGGAAATTAACAGAGTGAAACTGCTTGTGGCTCGGGATTTGGTAAACAACCGCAACCGCAATGTTTTTTTTCAGCAAAAAAGTTACAAATTCTTATTTCTTGCGAGGTAAAAACACCAACGGCTACGGATTCCTTGGGAATTCTTTAATGCAGCAGTAACAGCAGTGGCGTAGCCAGCCTGACAATTTAGTCCCGCTATGCTAATATTTTGGTGTCCATTGACTGTGAAAACAATGAATTTCTAAAGAATTTAATAATTCTAATGACTTGAAATTTGCATAGCACGACCAAATTGTCAGGCTGGCTACGTCAATTAATAAAAGCATGAATATAATTGGGCAGTAATTAGAAACTTCTTGCTTTGAAGTTTGAAAAGGTGGAAGATTGTTCTTTGATTATTGGATGCGTTTTTGAAGATATATTACTCTCTGTTAATGCCTTACTTGCTGTTACTAGCAAATGAACGTGTCGTATGTATATCTTTCTAAACATGTACATTTTGTCAGTAGTTTGCACGCATTATATAGAAAATAATTCGTATTGTCGTAATGTCTTACAAAAAACACTCCTCAAATAGCAATGAGAGTTATTAAAAGAAGAATAACAATCCTGGCAAATCAAGTTACATCGATTGTTCAGAGTAATTTAAAGCCCGCATCTATTTCTCGCATGCGAGATAGTTGCATCATGAATATATAACAACTACGTCGTCGCATTAGTTTAAAAATACCCACAAGCTCCATTTCTATCGTGCATGTTGCTAAAATTATCACGACCTGTTTGGGCAGCTGGTCACCTGCTGTCATAATGTATCGAGTATGTTATGAATAATTTGTTCCTTTGCACGCATGTTCGTTAATTGCTCAGCGCTATTTCGAAAGAGAAATACTGAGCCTTAATTAAAGCCTTTAGTGTTGGATTTGAGACTGCGTTGGTTGGCTGTGGTTGGCTTTCTGTGCTTCAAAAACCCAATGAAATTACCTTTCTTTCATAATGTTTTATTCTACAAACTCGACTACATACTACTTTTTTATAACTTAACAATACAGTCGCAGTTTGGCCTCGGAACAACTCACTGGCCACAATGAATCATTTGGACAAAATCCTATTTTATAACATGGACAGTCAATTTTGAAACTAGTTGTTTTGGTTGCGAAACGCTTGCGAATGTCTTCCTACAGCATGAGTTGGTATCCCGTCTCTCACGGTTGCCATCGTAACCAGCGCTATGGCTGGTGCGAGAATTTGGCGTTTTTCCGTTACGTGAAATAATAGCGAGGTTTCTTTTCCTCGATGAATTGACGGGGCGTCTCCACGCCGAATAACGACGACACGACGATGCGCGTTGATGTTGCGGACATTTCTCGTCACTACCTGCGCGGCCAGAGACTGGGGGGAAATTATACTTATCTGAACTACCACTGTACTCCATATCTGCTGGTTGACCTGAAATATAATTATCTGGTAAAATAGACTGTTAAAACCGAATGGATATAAAAATCAATCTCTGTACCTTGTCCATCTACTGCAGTCTCCTCTTTCCAACTCTCCGTGATTTCGTCTTCTGCCTTCTTACATCGGTACAAAGTATGAACCGTTCTCAGAAACACACCGCTTTTCATAGATGCATACCTATTACCACCATCCCGCGCTACTGACGTCATCTTGTCACCGTGGTTACCCTGTCTACTTGCCCCAGTCCGTGGTCGTGCGACGGGGGAAGATGTCGGAGCCTGGTAAGCATTAATAACTTTTTGATGTCGTTCGGGGGCGAGCTTGTATAACCGGATTGGCGTCGCCGGCCGTTCGGGCCCTGCCGCCATTAGCAGCTTCATTACATCATTGTTATTTTTATCCCTCATCATCTTTGCCACGTGACCTGGTTCAGGCGTGCTTGACTGCGGGCTCCAAGTGCCCGACGGTATGGCTGATTTCCGAATTGAGTTTTCACGTTGCGTAGCAACTGAAACGCAAACGTGATTATCAATCAGTCCAACTAACTAAGCAGGTCTATTCTTCATTTTCATTATACGCTAATACCCACCTAGAAACTGGACAGGCGATGGTACAGAGGGTCTCCTTGCTTTCTTCTGTGGTCGAGGCACTCCCAGGGGCCTGGTTCGTCTCTCCAAAGCAATCGTCCCAGTCCCTGTGATGCAAGGCGTTGGTTTCTCGTATTCCCTGTCTCCACGTGAGAGTTTACGCGAAGGCGTGCACGAGGGAGCCTGGAATGTACAGATAAATACCATGGTACTAAAAATGGAATCATTTAAGGTCAAAATTGAGGTAATTTACAAACCTGCTTTGGCACTTTGGTCATGGCCAGCCATGGGTGAAACAATATCTCGTGAAGGGTCAGTCTGGAAGTTGAATCATGCACAAGTATTCCGTGAATTAGATCGCGAAGTTCTGAAAGACATTGGAACAACATTAGTTAAATCTATACAAAAACAAAAATGCAGACATTTGTTGACATTTTGTGAACTATTAGAAGCTAAGGTCGATACCCGCCTAAAATTCTGCCATGATGAAACTCTTGTTCCTGCAGCTTACAGCCTTACCTGACGATAAATTTAGTTTCTCAGGAAAAATTACTTTCTTTTTCGTCTGTTCAATCAAGTGTTTAAGACTTTTATCATTGTAAGGCAACCTTCCACATGTCATGGCGAACAAGATGACGCCTCTAAAAATTCGGAAATTGGTTAGCAGTAATAACTAAATAATGGGGCAATACGATTGAGAGATGGTTACCTAGCTAACCATGGCTAAGAAATAAAGTAATCTCACTTACAAACTCCATATATCAGCAAGTTTGCCATCATATTTACAAGCTGAAAGGATCTCTGGGGCAGCGTAGGCATAACTACCACAGAATGTGTCAAGAAATTTACATTTGCTGGTCGGGTATCTCGTGGCAAATCCAAAATCTGTCACTTTGATAAGATCGTTCGCATCCAGAAGAACATTCTCACATTTTAGATCTCTACATGATAATAGAAGCTGTTTGTGTTGATGAATAACATAATAGTAAACAAGAACAAGAACAAGAACAAGAACAACAACAATACAATAGGAATAACAATACAACAGGAACAACAGCAACAATAACAATAACAATACAATAGGATCAACAACAACAGCTGTATTACCTATGCACGACATTTCTCTGATGACAATGTGTGATACCAAGCACTAGCTGTCGAAACAAGATCTTCGCTTTCTCTTCTGTCAGAGGCTGCCCCCTTCTAGTCCTTGAGTTTATAAACTCCAAAAGATCGCCTTTGGCCGCATACTCCATAACGAGATAGATCTTTGTCTCAGAACGAAACGTCTCGTAGAGTGTGATCTGTGAACGTAAATTGAACATCTTATTGCATCGTTTCGATGGAGTTTTTCATTCGGTGGAACAGGTTTTCATAAGGAAAATTAATTCTACTTACAACATTACGGTGTCTACACGTTGCATTCAGTGCGTCGATTTCACGAGGCATAAACTTCTCTAGATATTCAGCAGGCGCATTTTTCTTGGAAATGATTTTAATAGCAATCTAGGAAGAGAAATGCAACGTTAATTTGCACAATGCTTATTAGCACTTTTTGCGTGCGAAACAAACTCACCTTGTTATCATTTTTATTCTCGAGGTCTGTTCTCAAAAACGGATGTTTGGCCTTCTTGTTATCCGAAACGTAAGCTAGCTTCACTTTAGCATAAGCACCCGTTCCTAGCGTCTTGTGAGTCAATTTGTAACCCCGTCGTTCACAATCGATTTCTTCTATCGTGATCGGAGGCTTTTCCGATGAGACATCCGAAGAACTGGTGGACTTGTTTTTAGACTTACTCATTAAGTCTAAGCCACAGAGCAGGTCTTTAAGCATCCTCCATTATCGCGTGAAATTATTAAGATTGGATGAAAGGAATATATTAAAATACGTTTGCGCTTCCCAGTATTTTTCACACGATGCGATTCAGTTAGCCTTTGTGATGTCACTAAATTGCGCGCATGCATTTTTGTTATTTTTTGTTCGTTAAGTTTTTTAATAAGTAAGAAAACTGTTCTTTTTTCAGTGGCCTGCCTAGACTTCTGTTCTAAAGAAAGTTTTCCCGATGCTAGAGGAACTTGAAGATGGACAAACCAAGAAATATTGTTTCTTGTATACATCAGCAGCATGCTTTTTAAAAGTGGATAAAACATGAAAAAAGCTGGTTGCATGTCAACGAGAATTAAAAAATCTTGTCAACAAATGTAATATTCAACCAGGATAAAGTAAATTTGCAATGACGTTTTGACAAAAGCTGTCAAGAACTTTTATAACATCTATTGTTTTCACCAGTCTTCTAGATCTCTCACCGTGATCTAACATGGCGGCGTCAATAGTGAGAGCTAAAAATCCTGTTGTTTTTAAATTTAAAGAAGATGGTGAGCATTACATGATAGGAAGTCAAGTTGGTCACTCGATGAACCTGTTCAAAGGTGCCCTTTATAAACGTTTTCCTCTGCTATGGAGACGATGTGTCACCGCAGAAGAACGTCAACTTTTAGCAGGAATTGGTATCACTTACAGCAATCTTTCCAACGCGAACATTATGTTAGTGAAAGAAAAAGAAGTAAATGATATTTTAGAAGGCAACACAAAGGCTTTATACTCTCCTTGTTCGAGCCCGAGAGGTTCTCCATGTCGGCCACGAAAAGCGGCGTTTTACAAGCCAACTTCGTCTAGTTTTTTGACGAAGCAGAATAGTTTGTCTTCAGCGGACGGCACGGACCATTCTTCAGCCATCCATCTCACTGCTGTTGGAAATTTAACTAATTCAACAAACCCGAAAGGAAATACAGACCAAAGGAAAAAAAGACGACAGAAAATAATACCCATTTTAAACCGGTAGGTTTTAAGAGTTAAAAAAACTTTTGTTGATATCAAAAAGTCGCTTTTTATTCTAAAATTAGAGTGAATATTGCAAGTACTTTCAACAGATATTGTGACCTGAATACCAGCAGTTTGTAGTCTTTGTAAAGTAGGTGATGGTGCTGATAATCTACAGTCTTGAACTCTCTACTATTTTTTCGATATTTACTACAGTTTTACATTGATATGAATGGGATAGATCGTATTTGTTGTGAGGGTAGATCTTTTCCTTTAGTAGTCTTGTATTTGAAGGAAAAAAAGAATTGGGAAATGGAACAAAATGTGGTTGATACAAATCGTCATAAAAAAGTGTACTTACTGGACTTCAAGTATGTACAAGTATGTACATTGTACACACCCTCCACGTGGTGAGAGGGGACCCACGCGTGTTACACGCGGGGTTGCACGCGTGAGGACAACAATGCTCGATGCGCGTGTTCGATTCTTTTTCAAAAACGATATTCAAAATGTCTATTCGTACATACGGTCAAAAACCACAATCATTTCCTTTGGACGACTCCGGGGAACAATTTATGATCGGCAGTGAAGTCGGTAACTATGTCAGAATGTTTCGTGGCTCTTTATACAAAAAATATCCATCGTTGTGGCGTCGTATGGCCTCCCTGGATGAACGAAAAAAGATCGTATCCCTTGGGATCGGGCATACAACTTTAGCTACGAACGTCACTCTAGTGCGAGCCTCCGAAGTCGAAGACATTCTCGAAGGAAACGATGAAAAATATAAGGTCCTGACAGAGGTTGCAGACACTACGAGAGAAAAAAACTCTGCGAGCAAGCCAAAGCGAAGTACAACGAGCTGGTTACCTCAGAATCTCTTGCCCAGTACTTCGTATCATCTCGACGCAGTGCCGTGTTGTACTCCTGTTAGTCGGACGCGACTAGTACAAAAGAGATTTAGATCTTTCCCGAAATGGTATTGTCCACGAGATTGCTATAGAAGTTCTCTTTGTTTACATAATGAGAGAAATTGCAACAAATAATTGTTTGCTACATTTTTATGTTCCAATACAGGGAACCCAATGGTTGTTTGTGAGTGTGTTGAAGGTTTTGACAATTTTCTTCAAATTTGAATTACTTGATTATTTGTAGTTATGATAATCACAACATGGCTGCAATTCATGAGGCTGCAAACAAGGAGGAAGATTTGGTACCGATCAGATTAGATATTGATATTGAGGGTCAAAAACTTAGGGATTGCTTCACTTGGAATAAGAATGGCAAGTGTTAACAGTTCTGAATTTAGAATATTTCATTATGCCTTTGTAACATTTTCACCATGTTTTTTCATTCCAGAAACATTGATAACACCCGAAACATTTGCCGAGGTGCTGTGTGATGATTTAGACCTTTCACCCATGCAGTTTGTACCAGCAATTGCTCAAGCTATCAGAAATCAAGTTAAGCAATACACAGCTGAGTCTGAAATTGCTCTTGATAAGCAGACTGATCAGAGAGTTATCATAAAAGTAGGTTTGGGAAATTTTGTGTTTAAAAAGGTTTATCAAATGCAAAAAGGATTAATGAAACTACGACAATTTTTTTCTAACAGCTTAATGTGCATGTTGGAAACATATCTTTAGTGGATCAAATCGAATGGGACCTGTCGGACACGCAAAATAGCCCTGAACAATTTGCCCTCAGCCTCTGCACTGATCTTGGACTTGGTGGAGAGTTTGTGACTGCGATAGCCTACCATATCCGTGGTCAGTTAAGCTGGTACAACAAAACTTACGTATTTAGTGAAACGCCTCTTCCTACAGTTGAAGCAGCCATTCGCAACCCACAGGATGTTGATAATTGGTGTCCGTATTTGGAAACGCTCACCGATGCAGAGATGGAAAAGAAACTTCGTGACCAAGACAGAAATACCAGGCAAGTGATGATGGTGGTATCTTAGATGATAGAGGAATTCTAGAAAGTATAACTGTAATATACATCACATATTATAACATACTTTCCATCATCTTTTTGTTTAGGAGAATGCGTCGCTTGGCCAATACAGCCCCATTGACATATTAATAGTACACAAGAACTGCCGTTTCACTGAATATTTCATTTGATGAACCTACAAATCTTGTTCGGCATCAAGCCTTGAAGTGTTCACAAGTGACAGTGTTGAAATTAAAAAGGTTTTGTGGTGTGGTATATTCAAACAGATTATTAAATAACAGATAATCGCCTATGTTCATATACCTAACTGTACAGATTTAGATTGTATTATACTGTATAAAATATTGTTGTTAATTCATTGTTAAATTGCTACAGTATCTCTTGACCGACACTGTCAACAGGAACAAGCTATGTTAAATATTTCATACATTTGTACAAGCAAATAAATTGTTGTATTGTTTCAGTTGTTCCTCCCATAGAAAATAACCAGTTTTCTAACGTTGAATTGGAATTCTATATTTGTGTGGTAGTACTATCACTATAATACACTTTATAGTAAAAGGATACTTTCTTTGACATGTTCTGCATATGCATGGGGAGTATTTACACTTGTACTATTTTTTCTGCATGATGGGGTAAGGACAACTTGACACAACATCTGGTGCTGCCAAAAGTAGTCTTACCATAGGAAGGAAGGTGATTGGGATGATATATTTCTATGAAAGGAGCAAAACTGATCATTTTGACATCAAGGTGCTTAAGTGTCATCAGTTGGAGGTAATGATGGCACATTGCTGGATTTAGATGTGAGATTGCTTTTTGTATTTCCATTGACATTTCCATGTTTGTGTTTCTGTGTTGTAATGACACATCCAGTCCTGACAAACCAGCTTGATCGATACTGGCAACGGTTCTCGGAACAAATCCATTCCATTTTTTAGAGATGAAGATTTAACAAAGGCCAACCATCTTTTCTGTACCTTTGAACCAAACCAATTGGTTTCTTTGTGATATATATTTTATTTGTTCAGTGATACATATTTCTGATGTTTTGCTTCCTGAGCAACTCACTGAGAGACACTGGTATCAGTTAGCTCCAGTTCACTTAAGCTTTCCTGAACTTGTGAATCACTGGAGGGAGTTAAAGGACACGAAAACACCTCATCTTCTGACTCAAAGCTCTCACCTCTCTCCATATTACCATGTCTACCAAGAGAATATTCCCTTTGTTTTGTCTCCAACATATTCACTATTGACAATATATTCATTATAGTTCTGGATGTACTGGTCATGTGGAAATCACATGTCAATAATTTGTCCTCGTCATTGTCCGTGTCACAACCACTGTCGCTATTCACCCGCATGTTCTCCTCCGAAATGCGGTTGAGTATTTCATCTTTGGAGAGGTCTAAAAGTTCATTGTGTTCCCTCAACTCTTCAACAAGTAAATCCTTTAGTCGTTCTCGACCAAGTAAGAATTGTTTATAAATAATTTGTGCTTGTTGTTCAGGGAACACTGGATCCTGCCAGTCATTGAGGCTGGCCATGCTGTGTGTCAGCGAACAGCCAGGGTCTAAAACATTTCATTATCTGTGTAAATAGGATGACAGCGAGGGAGAGCAATTGTTAATTACCTACCCTTTATTTTCATCTCACTAAATACACTGTTTCTATAAGAGATGATCCTTATTGGATCTTGAAGGAGTTCTAACAACAGAGAGAAGTATTTTCAGTTTAGTCAAACTGCCTTACCTTTCTGTAAGCGATGTTTACAGCAGTTCCAAAACTGTCCATTGAAAATACCACGATGATACCTTTTGCATTTCTCGCGAGGACCACCAACATCAGAGGGAAGAATTCTGCGAATTGCTGATATCCAATGGTTCATTTCCTTCACATCCTACAACAAAGATGATTGCTTTACATCCTGAGCCTTCCTTACATCCAAAATAGGAAACTCTGTTTTCTGCCAGAGTCTGTTACAGCAAGAAACTGTCTATAAACCATTACCTTTGCTAGTAGATAATGAATATCTCGACTGCCGTCGTCCGAAGGATAATCCATAATTATCTGAAAAACATTTGACTTTCCAAAGACGCTATCTTCAACTTTCTCCACAGCTATGATACGTGAGGCAAGGAGGAATTTGCGAGTCTGTGGCAAAAAGAAAAGTTAGTTGAATCAGTTTAAGTTTTATTTAAAAAAATATTAGGATGATTAATTACGTGTCTCACCTGTGAGTCATATTTCTTGCTGTAGTGAATGCTGTCGTTGAATAAAGTGAAATTATATTTCTTCCATTGGACATTGGCCAGTTTACCACCCATTTTGCATTTTTTCATTTGACCTTCTTTTATCAATAATGGTGTGTCACAGTTTGAATCATCATTCTCTATTAAATTGTGGTCTAAACAATGAATCACACATGTGTTTAGTTTAGGTTTTTTCTCATAGTAACACTGTGCATGTATGTGGGTCATAAGTTGTAGCCCTTACTGGATTTCTAGGAGGAATAGTTTAGAAATGGACTTACTATTCAATGGAATGCTAACCAACTCATCAATAAAGTTTTTCAACTTCAATGCATACTCTTTGATAAAGTCTGAAAAAGGCAACATCCATGGTTCTTTTACAATACCAGGATTGAAGTTACCAATGCTTTGAAGCACCTAAAGGCAAAAATTGATTTCAAACAAGTTCAATTGTCTCTTATTGATTTGGTGCTACTAAAGCAGAACATCTGAACTCAATTATCAAACACTTTACTCTACCTTAGCTAAAAGTGTCAACGTGCGTGAGACCACTTGTTCAGGGTGATGTTCAGCTACACCAAATAGCTTCGGACTGAGCACTGCAGGAACAAAGAACCGCAAAAACAAGAACGAACTTACTGCCAGGTATTTCCCACTCTAAAATATAAGAAAGGATAAGCTCTGGAACTCAGTTCTTTCTGGAACTCAGTTCACTGTATATACACATATATTGCACAAAACGAGGCAGTTTATCTAAGATATGAAGTCTTGCTCACCTCTTCGTTGTCTGTGAACCGCTGCACAGCAGTGTTGTAGAGATTACAAAACACTTGCTTCATTACGTATGGACATCGTTCAGTTGACTGGAGTATTGAATTTAATATTGAGGTGAGATAGCTCTTTAGATAGGCCACACTCTTCACTTGAATACTGCTGTCATCCATTTGAAAAATACTAAGCCTCCTAGAGTAATATTTTGGCAATGTTATTTAAATTGACAAGTGCTATAATTCATAAAGTGTTCTTCCTACAGTTCCAGCATGGATCATCTCCTATGGATTGATATTGACATATCACACACACCTTGGAATTGTACGATCAATCTTATTTGGATCAATCTCGCAATATCTCTTTTCTTTATAAATCTTGTCAATGATTGGCTTTAAGGTGTCTAATAAATACGGGATACCAATCACCTGCAAGTGAGTAATCAGGATTAGCAATCAGTCATCTTCTTATAGGATGAAGTACGTAACTACAATTTCAACATCTACCTTCATGAATTCATCAACTGCTTTCGTTGCCAAAGAATTTCCACGAAACAATGTATTTAGCGTCTCTAAGAAAGACACAATTGGTGTTAACATGATATATGAGCTGAGGGATACGTACTACTGGCCATGACACCAGTCCTAACACCTACCTGTATTCACAACCTCAAACATGGTTAAAGCATCCAGACATTTCACAATCATTCCCTGATGAAGGTACAGCTTCACAAGGGCTCGTCCAATAGCTGTCCGATCAGCAGTCATCACCTGTTCCAGTAGGCTGAGCGTATTGACCTGTTCATAGGGTTGTTTCTTGACTGTTTCTACCAAGAGGTTAATGAAGGGAATGTAACAATCCCAGGGGAGAATATCCTCTTCAAAAAATTGCACATTCAGACGTATCTTGCCAAGATCTTTCCTGAAAAAGTATAAATTTGATTTATGATTGAGATCATTCTTGGGATAAATTCTGCATGTCTCCACGTCAGAATAATACTGCATGTAGAATATAGAAATTTTACTTTTTAACATCTGTTTTTATTTTTCCACTTTCCCTTGGAGTTAACGTATACCAATTGTCCACTTGTTCGCCAACTGTAATACTATCTAAATCTACCAGAACCTGGACAAAAAGGGAATATAAAAGGGTAATTGAAGGCAGGTTTTTTAACATGAACAATTATAGTTTATTGTAGGATGATACAATGTGAAACCTCTACAATAATAAGATATCTCACCTCACCAATTAAAAAATTTTGTACAATTCTTTCCTTGTCATAAACCTCGGCACAAATATACTGTTCATGTAGTGGTGTTGTGCAAATGAGTTGAAATGAAGAATTCCAGATTGGACAGCTTGTCTTTCTTACCTATAGAGAATTAAGATATAAAATAATGATGAAAATGATAATCATAATGATATGATGGTATCAATAACAGTGGAATGATTCAAGGTAATGTTGGTGTTAGTAACAAACTTACGCTAGTGCGTTTTTGTCCTCTCACACTAGCACCTTCTGATTTTCGTCTTGTATGATAATTAGAGCCTTCTTCTTTTGGACGTAAACTGATTCTTACAAATGGATCTGATACATATTTCTGTTTCATTCCCAGATTTCTGTTACATCAAAATGCATCATCAGGTCATAATTTGGTTACATGCATCAACCATTTGAAGGTTAAGTGAAGGTTATAAGTTCTGGGACATTATCCAACATACCTCGCTTCGAGAACTTTTACGGAAATATTGGTTTGTTGTTCACTCTAAAAAGAAAAAAAATTCAGGAAACTTTGATTTTACTCATCAAAAGTAATGGCTTTGTCATGAATGCTATTAATCTATGTACACTTACATGCTTTGTTGCTAAAATATTTAGATGCAATTGGCCATGAACTTCGGAGGCATTATCAACTTGTCGTAGTGAGTACCAGACCTCACCACCAGCCGGGTTCATGGATAACATATCGTCTCTTGAAAATGTCACCTTACCAATCACATCATCATCACTGCTGAGAAACAAGAGGAAAAACAGATACACTTTAGGGACATTTCGCAGAGCTCGGAAGCTTTCGTCCAATTGGATAATGTTTTTCTATGCTTTCTAAAGAACGAAGCTATGCTATTGGTTGAAACAGAAATGTATTGTAAAGTTCAGCCAATGAAAATCATTCCTGCATGTGTGGAGCTGCGACACTACCCACATTTTAGAAAGTAAAATTTTAACAGAACATACAAAATCATTACAATAGAATCAGAGGTCTACTAAGGAAAACTAATTCTGAGAGAGGTTAGACGCTATAATATTTTAAAACAAAATGAAAGAGATTGTGATGAATAAGTAAAAAGCACCAATCCCTATCAAACAAAGGGAAAAACTATAGATCACAATTAATGCCTAAATGTCTTAATGTAACTATATTTGGCATCCACTCAAGCTCAAATAATAAGATTATTGATACTCATGTAGAAGCTAGGTCCTGTGGATTAAATCTCTACTTACAAATGAGCATCCTCATCATAAACATACACAGATAAGGTTTGCAGGTGATGAGATGAGAGACTAAAGGAATACTCTTCGCCCCAAAATGGCTCCAAACAATTCCAAACCGTTGCAGTTCTAAACGAAAGTATGCACAATGAATCTCAAGGAGATTTTTCCAATCAACTAAGTCATGAATATTATATTACAGTAATACTCAAACCAAGTTGACCGTATTTGTAACAAACATTTGAAAACTAGGGCGATAATTTTTCAACAATACTGTGCGTGTTTGGACAGCGATCGATTGTAATGATACAGTGAAAACTGAGTTAAACTATTATATTTTTGTATACAGACAATTGACAAAAATATGTCGTATTAAATTAAATAGCACAGTTTCCATGCAGTGTAAATATTTGCTTCAATTGCTTGCCGATCTCCGAAATATATCTGATTTACGTACCCACATTCAAAACAAAAACATATCTTGGACAAGTTGAACCGTAAAACTGTTAAGTACAGCTTGACGTTTAAACAAAAAACCCAAGTTTTTGGAAAGAAAAAATGTTACAGCGTAAAGCAAAAGCTGATTAATTTTATTAACATCGTATACACACGTGGAAAGATGTACAATACATTTATATTTAATGCAAAATACATCATAATTTATCAACAAAATTAGCAGTATTACATCAATTGTATTCACCTGAATGAGGTACAAGAAATCTCTCGAGATATTCTTAAATTCTTGATTTAAAAATCCATAGTTTGTTACGGGTTGTCCCCAAACGCCGTAAGAATCAAATTGCTATAGATTTCACTGCATGGGTTTGTAAAGACATTACTTTATAAAACGCAATACAAATTCAATATATCTCCGACTAAAAGAGCACAATATACCCATGAACTTCCTCTTGTCTGCTGTTCTCAAGTAGTCAAAAATTTAGCCCCAAAAATCGACGAAAATAGATCGCAATTTCAACAACAATACTTATATATTTCTGTCATCCGTACGTCTCGTAAAATATAAAAGCCGGTCAATCGCTTCCCACGCGTGTTCCCACGCAATGTCACACGTGCCCGAGCCGTCGAATGCGTACGTTCGTAAACGCTCGTAAACGCTCGTATTAAACTCAAACATCAGGCATTTCTGAATCGCCAATGTGAGTCACGCTTTACCTAGTTACTGGCTGGGCTGTGTTGCCATATTGAGCTCATTGCGACGATTATCCATACTTGTTGAAAACAAGCGAGTTGCCTGAACACGTATCATAGCTTCAACCACAAAAACAACGCGTTACGTGATGAGGTAAGTGTGGGGGTCTGGGCACGCGACTATGACGAATAAGGCAATTAGCAACTTCAAGTGTCTCAAAAACATCTCCCACTATTTCGAAGTGTTGTTTTCACCAACCAAAATCGGGCGTCCGATATTCCCGCACTTCAGTTTCTACTATACATCGAACTCGAGAACACAATGGTTCAGTCTGTTACCTTAGGGCGCGACTTACCAAAATGGGTCATTTACACGATATGGAGTTTTTTGCGTTCTTAATTAACAAGACACGTTTTAAAAGGTCATGACTTTTTTCTTCGTAGAAAATAGCCCCATATTAAAATTTGTTTCTGTCATCCACAGTCGATTGGTATTTCTGCCAAATATGCAATGAAAAAAGTCATGGCTAGATTTGAGAATTTCTTTAAAAGATTGTCGTCTACTAGCCTGCGTTGCCAGCCGGCTAAACACGGTTATATCCTGCGTTGCCAGCCGGCTAAACACGGTTATATCCGTCTGCGCATTAGCGAACAAATTCATGTTCCAGTACCAGGAAATGAGTACTGACTCCTGATTGGCTCGCTTTTGTGATAGTTATAACATCGTTTCTGATTGGTTATGGAAATTACACGGGCTGGCACCCTAAAAATCAAAATGGCTACATTTCCGGAGCGTGCTTGGAAAGAAGCCTTTTTATCTGTTCAGAAACAATTCCTCATCGATCACCTCCTACCAGAACAAGTATCTGCAGTTAAAGCTTTTATTGAAAAGGGAAATGTCTTTGTAAATTTGCCGACGGGGTATGGTAAATCGTTAATATTTCAATGCATTCCTATCGTGTATGATATTCTGTACTCGAGGCCTCGTGGCACTAGTGTAGTTGTTGTTATTTCGCCATTGAAAGCTCTAATGAAAGATCAAGTAGAATACTTAGCAACTTTTGGTGTTCCTGCCATTGCTATTGGGGATGAATACGATGAAGAAACAATACAACAGGTCAAAAACGGGTATTTTTTGATCGTGTATTGCTCTCCTGAATGTTTGTTGTCAACGAGTACTTGGAGGGAGATTTTCAACGATGCTGATTTCCGTGAAAAACTGGTTGGTGTAGCTATCGACGAGGCTCATTGTATTACTGAGTGGTACGTTATGTGAATGCTTTATAATTATATTAAAAATATCTATTTATTACTCGCCAGGCACATAGTCTTACATAGCTACACGTTAGCTAATGCATGCGAGGACGATCTTACCAGTCACCCCATGTGTCATAAAATTATTTGGCATAGTAAGACCTATTAAATTTGACAAATAACAATGTTTATTGATTACAACAGATAGTATACCATTTCTGCTCAATATGAAAGAATACTATTTGAGATTACGGACAAGTCGTTAAAAGTGTGTGTGTGTGTGTGTGTGTGTGTGTGTGTGTGTGGGGTGGCTGATTCAACTATGTATTTATGAATATTTATCATCACTCCTTTTCCATTTTAGGGGTTTGTCAAATTCAAGCAAATGCCCATTCCGAAAGTGGTATGGTTGTCTAGGTGAACTCAGATCACTTATTCCACAAGAATGCAAAATAATGGTTCTAACAGCAACTGCATCAAAACTTACTACAGAGAAAATTTTGGATGCAGTTAATATATCTCGCGATACAATTATGATACAGCAGAGTCCAGATAAAGTGAACATTTCATACACGAGACAATACCTTGATAAAAATTACCCCATTGAAAAGCAATTTGGTGCACTTCTTGGAGAATGTCAAAGGCTTGGAATAAATACACCCAGAACTATAATATACTGTCAAACACGGAAACAATGTGCAATACTATTTCGTTTGTTTGAAGTGTGTCTTGAAGAAAAACTTTATCATGGTAGCAAAGATTATCGAAATCGTGTTGTTGACATGTACCATGCAGGCACACCAGAATCTGTAAAGGAACATGTTTCTGAGCAAATGTCAAATGAAAATGGTGTGATTCGTGTACTAATATCATCAATTGCTTTTGGGATGGGTGTCAATTGTAAGCAGGTAAGAAGAGTTGTGCATTTTGGACCCTCCAAAAGTATAGAATCGTATATTCAAGAGTGTGGTCGAGCTGGTCGAGATGGAGTTCAAAGCACATGCATGCTTCTATATAATGGCCTACTCTCTGTGCACTGTGATAATGACATGAAACATTATTTAAATCACGAAGGATGTTTGAGGGAAAAGCTATTGATTCATTTTGGGTACAAGGTGGACCACAAAAACTTTCAGTTTCTGCACAACTGCTGTAGTAACTGCCAGCAAAGTTGTTTGTGTGGCACATCCTCTTGCAGGAAACTTTGGAGTCCACAACTTGAGCAAGAATGTGACCTTGATTTATATACTACTGATGAACAGGAGAAAAGCAAGTTGACAAGAGTTGTGACCAAGAAAGACAAAAAACTATTGAAGGAAAAGCTTATCAATTATCAGAGAGAGATGCTAAAAGAATACAACATTAAAAATATGGTGACATGTCCAAATATGTTACTAGAATTTAACATGTTTCATATTAATCAAGTACTTGGTAGTTGCCATTCTCTATTTACTTTGAATGATGTTTTAAAATCTGTTGAAATATGGCGACATAAGTATGCTGTTGAAATCTTAAGAATTATACAGGATATTTTTGGTGACATGGAAATAGAAATACCTGATGATTTAGAAGACTCAGATGAAGAGGAAACTCTTACTACAGAATGGGAGGCTTTGAGAAATGATTCATCATGTTTGGAAATTGTAAATAGCCAAGATCTGGTTGCTATTGAATCCACCATGGACACTGATACTTCTTACAATAATATTTCAATATGACTTTGTTGACAATATATGTATTTTGAACAGTTATTAACAATATGAATATAATTATTTACAAAATATACAAGTAGCAATTTTTTAAGATCCCAAACCCATTAATTAAAAACTAAACATTATTTACACTTCATCTCGCTTTTCTGTTCAAAATCATGAATTTTTTATGATTGTTTATCCATGTAAACATTTTATGCATATCAAAGCCACTCAACAAACTTGGCTTAACATGTTTAAAAACACTGTATCTCCGTCCTGGTGTGCATGTGAAGGCATTATTAACTACTAATTCATTGACAATTTTCTTTAGATCCCCTTGAGTTGAGGTCTTAACATGTCTTCCTGCTCTTTTGAAAACTGATAAGTTGGTGTCAAAAGTCTTCATCAAAGATGAGGTTACCCCCAGTGAGTGACAGATTCTATCCAGGGATTTATCTGACGCACCTGCTCCTTGATTTTTTATAGCCTCTTTTACCAACTTGTTTAAAAATTCCAACTGCAGGTCTAATGGAATATTTCCACTGATTCCAGGTTTGCTTTTGGTAAAGCGGTTCCAAATTAGATGATGTGTACACTTGGGGCTCAATAAAGCATTTATCTGAAACATCAAATACAGTGCTTCCAGTGAATACTTGGCTGACCCTCCTTGATGTTTTAAGTACATTAAAAAAAATTTCCAACACCGAACAACTCTCTGACCATCCCCTTCTGATATTGCGTCGAAAAAGTTCAACACGAGCATGCCATAGTCAAGAAGTGATCTCTGGTATGACAACATATCATCATCCTCATGAACAGATGTTGCTTCTAGAATGTGTGCATTAGAGTCTCGCAATGACACAGGTGGATTGTGTTTAGCTTCGTGGTCTGTTCTTAACTTTCCAGCATGAGCAAATGTTTTTGTACAGCCAGGAGCCCGGCAAGGGAACCTGCCATGGATATCTGTTTGTAGATCTTCTTGGATTGAATTAACTGACTCTTCAACATCACTGTTACGCCTTTGATCAATAACAAATTCATCAATGACAAGTGATGAAATGTTATTCAAGTAGGATTTTCTCTCTTGTAAACTTGCACTTGCAGTTGTTGAAAACTTGTGTTTGCTTGGCTCTTCATCAATCTTCTGCATTCCTAAAAGATGCATAGCTGCAGCAATGATTCGAGCTTCCACTTCAATGACAAAAAATCTTCTACAAGCATTGGCTGCTGCAGTCACATCTTGCTTTACATTTCGCCTATTCACCAGGTTTCTGTCGCTAAACATGGTACACTTATCGCCAGCTGATGCAACATTGTATAGTTGAGAGAAAGCCACCTAATAAAACAGAATTTGGCATGGTACACTGTAATGATGTAAGATATTTTCATTTAAATACAATTATGGTAACCTTGTTCTGGACTCAATGAAAGTGTATTATATGCTTTAATTTTACCACAAAGTCGTTTACCTCCAAAAATTTGTTCCCAGCATGCCAATCTGCAATCTCAAAGTGCAAGCCTTCAATTCTTTCATCTGGCGTAAATCCATTTGCAACTGAGCTAAGCCCATTCACCCCACGCTCAACACTTAATTGGTCACCAACGACCCCTTGTCCAGCATATTGCTTATCTTTGTCTTCACCATAACATGGAACATACTTTTGAAGAGACTTCAGGATAGCTAGTATTCCGTCTGAGTCATTTTCATTATCATGCAACATACCAAGAAATGTCTATAAAAAAATAAGTAAATATAAGCAGTCTCATGGTGTTGGCTTCTGTTTAGGGCAGATAATTTATCTATTTTCATATTTATCATAATTGGCTAAACTGCAGAATACCCTTTCACTAGTCACAGCCGCTACTCATAGCCACCACAATGCTGGCTACTGGCTACAGGTTTAATTAAGATATTTGAGAACGAGGTTATACAATAATGATGTAATGTTAAATGTATAGGCAGCTATAAATTATTATTTCACTGGCTACTGGCTACAGGTTTAATTAAGATATATCAACTATCAGCTTAATTAAACCTGTAGCCAGTAGCCAGTGAAAAAAATAGACCTACATTTAGCATTACATCATCATTGTAATGCCTCGTTCTCGAATATCTTAATTAAACCAGGTGTAGCCATGTAGCCAGGTATTTAATGATTATTAAATATCAGTACTCATAGCCAGTAGCCGCTTTCTTCAAACACAGCTTCAAAAATGACAAGGTATTCGACTACAATTGCTTCGTCATAATTTATCATATATTCAATAAAATTAATAATAACTTGCAAGTGTGTTTTTCCATAACTTACCAAATCTGATTTCATACACATTTCTTTTGTGTACATATGGGGAATATGATGAACAGCAGCATCTGATAAGAATTCCAAACTTTTTATATTGGTAGAAATAACACGTCCCACCAGAGCAATATAGTTATCACGTTGCTTTTGATTATCACGACAAGATGGGAGACATTTACCATTCTGAAGTTTAAGAATCCCATCCTTAGGCTGCTCTTCACCAAGGTGATTCCCTGAAACACGGTTTTCAATTGCCATTACTGTTACACAGTGCTTGTCTACATTTTGGTGGTCCTCTGTCATACGGTGAACCTCTTGGTGATAGTCAATGTTGTCAAACACAAGTTTTCTTCCAACATCTTGAGTAAAACACCTGTTATTCTGTTGACCATGTGCATCTGGGTTTATTTGGGCTGCTCGTTGTTCCATAAACTCCCCTTGTTCTTTCACCGAATGTAAGATGTCCTTGTTGTAATCTTTTCCAAACTCGTCCAACTTCTTATATACATAAGTATGACTGGTTGTGATTTTCAGTGGACATAGCCGGGCAAGTGTATTCTAAAATTCATAAATTAGATATTACTTGAAATATCCCTTTTAATGCATTGAGGTTAATAATTAACCATCCTTATGCACATTATGATGAGAAAAACATGTGACCAAAATCAACTCCCGCCCCTCCCCCACCCTTACATCCGGTAAAGCTATAGAGCTTTGATAGAGCAACAAAGGATACTTTGTGTGAGTTGCATTATTTGTTAGCACTTACCATCCAGTTAGAATGATAAAGAAATATGGTCAACAAAAGCTGAACGGCAGTCATATATCTTGACCTGTTCTTTAAACATATCGAAGCTGCCATTGCTACAGCTGCAAAATCTGGTTTATCTTTGGTTGATTTACTTCTCTTGTTAATACTTGCTGCTGCAAGAACAGAATGAAAAAGTGGTGCTCTGTCTTTTATCTCATTTGACAGATTTTCCATGGAAAATGACAGCATGCTTTGCTTGTCTGTTGCTCTGAGACAGGATGGGGTTTTCTTTGAACAAAGTTTAGTCACCTCATTTTCAATTTCTTTCACCATTAGTTGCTTAAGTTCTCTTTTTAGATCAGAGCTTTTCCACGCCGCATTAGCTATTTGTTTGTATGTACCCCTTAACAGCATCTTGCCAAGTGACTCAAGTTCAGAGGGGAGTTTTCGCTCAGCAGTTTTGGACGGCCAGTTTATCTTTACAGTCACATCGACTTCTCCCTTTTTTTGCTGAAAAACTACGGGCGAGGCAGGAATTTCGAGACGAGTATTTAACCCAGAATTTGGCGTGTTTTCTTTTACTGGTGTGGATGTTGTGGGCACAAATATACGCTGTCGTTTCGTCGGGGAGGCTTCGCCAGCAACTTGAGATTTGTTATCCTCACTTCGTCTCTTCGTTTCGGACGGTGTCTCGTCGATCTTGCAGGCATTTTGAATAGCCTTATCGATTTCAGACAACTGTTCTTTCAAACTTTTGCGTTTTTTCAGTTTCGCGAGACAATGCTTACAAATATACTTCACAGAACTTTTCACCGGGACAGTGAAAGGGAGATTTCTTAACGCTTCTTTCACATCGAATTTTCCTTTTCCTTCTATAAAATATCTTTCCGTGTGTTTAACTATATCTGGAACATAATACACATGAATAATTCATGAATAAGTAGTCTTTTACAGTCTTTTACCAATATGGTTCTATTCTTCCTGAAGCCTGCGGGCAGGCTGATATTGTTTACTGCTTCAGTAACCAATCAGAAACGATGTTATAACTATCACAAAAGCGAGCCAATCAGGAGTCAGTACTCATTTCCTGGTACTGGAACATGAATTTGTTCGCTAATGCGCAGACGGATATAACCGTGTTTAGCCGGCTGGCAACGCAGGCTAGTCGTCTACTAGAGTAGTATCTCTCGTTTAGGAAATGTGTGTCTAGCATCGTATACTTTCTCTTAGTGAATATTTTGAAATTGATACAATGGACACGGCAATCACCATTCAACTATTTCGATTCCGTACAGGAGTTCTACGCGATACAAATGATGCTAAAGCCTAAAGATTAAATCTAAGGTAAGATTTTACGCCAATGACAACTTTCTCTGCGGGATCCGTAAAATCACCCACAGTTTTGTTATTTTCCACGTTTACGATGCGCGCGTACGTCACTTATCAAATTCTATATACTTGTTAAAGTCTATTTTTAACACGTCTATTTTTCCAGTCTATTTTTTCCTCTCGAAGACGCGCATTTGCGCGGGGTATGTTTACGTGATCGACCTATTCTTGTGTTTGCGCCGAGCTGATCCCGAAGAAACAGGATCGGTAGCGCTCGGATATACCGAGAGGAAATTACGCTGAGACAGCTGGACATTGAAGAGTCATCAGTTAAGTTACCGCTCAGTAGAAAGATGAGGAACACGTGTGTGACAGTACCTGAGGTTAGACTATAGGCTAAGATAGAATATTGTACACTCTGCAGTTAATTCTTAGTCACAAAGATGAAAAACACATGTGCTAATCACTGCTTTAGGTAGAGGGAAACTAAAAGTAAATTCAGTTATCTTTTCACACAGGACTGAGACGAAGATAAGTGTGTTCTTGAAATAACTAGATGTAGGGAAATTGAGCCAGATTATACAACTGATATATCATTGCTATTTACCTTGCGATGACATGATTGTCGACTTTAATGAGACAGTATGGATCACTTCTGCCAAGTCTGAATATGATAAAAATATAATCATCAGTCAATTTCACGGTGCATTTAGGAAATTAGCAATGAGGAGTCAAAAGGTCAAGACGATGTTTGGCTGTTATTTTGGTCACTGTAGCACTTCGCGCCGGGAGCGGCGGGGGGGGGAACCTCCAGTTATCAAGGTAAGGTAGTTTACTATTCTTTTTTTATCGGCAGTTGTCAATATTTTCTAAGGTGTCCACCATCTGCTGTCCTACAACACCTATTCTCCGTCCCAGCTCTTTTTCGCAATGTTTGAAGAGAATTTAACTGATCCCGCATTAAACCGATATAAAGTTATGCTGCAGTTATAGGATTAACGTTGTAACGAAAAGCTACACTCAGTATTTATAAACTTTGCCGGTCAAAATGTTTCCTGCATGTATTACATAACGAATACTAAAGCACTTGATAAAACATATATACACAATAGTATATTCGCGTTTGTCTTTCAAAAGACATTATAGGTATCATTTATCAAACCTTTCAGTCTCGCCGAGTATAATAAAATATTGAAAAGCCTTTTGAATTTGAATTGAATTGAATATGAATTGAATATAATGCAGACCCTTGCCGCTATTCAGCTTAGGACACGAAATAATTTTTTGCCTTTTTTTGTAAGTTTACCATGTCAATTAATAATGCCATTTGTCGCCGTGGGGATTTTTTCTATGTTTAATTTCTCATCTCATCTCCAAATTTCGATGCGTGTATGGGGTTATTTTTCACTTAAAAAGCAATACAAAATACCGTAATTTTCTTTACTTACATATCTTTGGCTGGTAAACCTTTACATTCACTGACGATCAAGTCAAGGGTGGTCAGAAAGTTAGACATATTGCTATTTTTATGCCAACAACCTCGATATTCAACCCAAACAGACTTCAGCGAAGAAGATAACGAAAAAATCCCATAAACGGCACAATCGAATCAGACAGATAAAGTAGATTTCTTTTCAAATGCAATACCCTTAAAATACCATATGATCCTAGCATGACAGGGATTTGTATTTTCCGGCTTTGTTTGAAGGAGAAATCATCGTAGACATGAGCAATTTGACTTGTAAATTCACGGCGTTCTGTCGTTAAGTGTGGGCGGTCTACACGATATCACAAGCCGTATATGCCAACACTATTATATTTGACTATCAAACAAAACGTTAATAACTTATTTTTAGAACTATACTCGGAAGTTTAGGGAAGAATGCTTCCGTGGAGCGCGAAGAAAAGAAATTAAACTCAGTTAGGCTTGTACAGAAGGCAAGCAATTAAGTCGAGAAAAATATTAAAAATGCATTCATTGGCGTTGGAAAATTCGCCGATTCGGGGCATCATATTTCGTTTCTTCTCCAGCTAAATATATTTTTCCACGTGCGAGATTTTTTTTCAATATTAAAAAGGTATAATTTGAACTCGTTTACTACAGATAACACGTACATGCTTGTGTTTGCTCAATGAAAACTGGCTGGCCAATATCATTTCCGTTGAACAGCGCTTATCGGAAGGAGGTGACGCAGCTGGAGATGCGAGGCCTCTCTGAGATCTTTTGTCAGCTCAAGATCGACTGGTCTATTCCACCAGATTACAGGGAAATTTTACCGAATAATTGACGAAGTTAGCGCAGTTATCTTTTGAATAAAAAGGAGAAATTATTGGACTGGTTTTAGCCCTGAATTAAATCGCATCGCGTAGGAAAACAAGAGTATTAAATAAAAAGTAGGAATTTACATAAAATAATTAAAACTTTTCGCTCTGCTGACTACCAGCACGGCAGCTTAGCTACGATATTTTTTTACACTTTGTTAACTGTATCCCTTTGAGACCCTATTATACCTGCCGAGGTGGCAAACAAGATCCCTCATATGTCCCTAGACATCCGAGCAAAAACAAAATGGCCGTCAAATAGGAGTGAAAATTGTTGTAAAAGAATTATTGTACATTATCACTTATTATAACAACAGATCAATCTTAATCTTCTCTTCTAATAAAGTATAACGATGTCCCAAAGTCAATCAACATCAGATATTTACCGTGTAAACGTTTCCCGCGGAGCTGAGCGGCAAAAACCAAGAGGAAATTTTCAGGTTGAACAAGAATTATACGAGCTGTGTAACCTAAGCGGCGTAACATTGGATTCCGAGGTATTCCAGGTACTTCTCGACCTCATTCAGATCAACGTCTCACCAAACGCGTTGGTTCAAGTCTTGAAAAAGATGACAAAACAACGTGGCTCTTTGGAAAATGTTACACCAAGTAGTGGATATGCTCAAAGCGAAAGCGGGCGCTCGCTTGGTGGGAGTTCAATCAGCAGTGCTGACTCAGCATTTGACGCATCAAGTCGAGGCGTATTCAAAGATGAATCTAGCGCAGAGAGTGAAAAAAGCAGCTCAGAGCGTCTGGCTAACAGGCTGCGTGCCCTTAAAGCAGGACGAAAGGCTACATAATTATTAAACCACAAAGAATAGAATATCATACTGACTGTATCATTTAATGCTAAATTGTAACAAAGTATCTTGGAAAACCAAAAAACATTATTTACTTTTGCATTACTTGCCCTTTTTCTGAGTTCAGGTATAATTTTAGTTGAAAGTAATGAGTGTATTACAGAATGTGCATATAGTGATGGATATACAGCAAGGATTTTAATGGATATACCACTATATTACTTATTATCTACATGGTGTGTTTAAGAAAAATATTTATATTGTTTCACCATGCAAAACTAAAAACTTGTATCCTTTCCCAGTCTCATTCCAAACATCTCAGGTAATCAACAGGAATCATACACCTATAGTCAACTGATGCTTCCATGAAATTCACTGTACAGGTCAATATTATATTTTGCTGTGATTTCGGTTTTGAATAGTATTAATCAACCCTATGACCCAGACATAAAAGAAATATTCTGCAAATAAATAGCACACTAGAGATGCTAATAAATATATTATTTTCTACCTTAGTTGAGTGTATTTTGCACATAGAAGAAATATATTTCACAGGCAATTCATTTATGATATGAAATTGTCATCTTCCATTTCGTCAGATGTGAAAGCCGCTTTTTCTATCTGGATAATGAACAAAAAATACAGAAATATATGAACAAAAAAAAATTATTTTCAGCTTATTGTGTTTATAATAAAGCATTTTTAACATACTTTTTTTCTCCGATTTTCTTTTGATATCTGCGAGTCACTGTGTAATGGTGGTGACCATGGTACCACAGCTAAACACGGCTTGCATCTTTAAAAATAATCATATGAAAAACCACTTGAATTTGCTTGTAATAAAAGACAGAAAAACAAACAAATCTCTAGCTGCTAAAATTACATTTCTTGCAGAATTTCGGATGGAAGGATGTCATTTTGTTTCTTCAACATTTCTTCTACTGGGGCAACGAAATGGAAAACCGGATGCTCTTTGCTTTAAAAGATAGAAAGGGTACTAAAATTAAAGTGCTGTTAAAAGCACAACCATATTTTAAAAAAATTTTTCGAAGTAATTTTATCACCTTTCACCCGGTTCATCATCATTATTTTGCATTTGATCTGATATTGCACTGAACTGCATATTGAGGTCATTATCTGGATTGAACATTGCCACATTACTACAATAATTGTGATCATTTGTAATACAAAGACTGTTCATTCCTGCTGCCATATGTTCATCGGTGATTTGCCGTTTTGCTCCAGCGTAGAATGAACTGTAAAGATGATCAAACTGTAAATACTGGCCACCAGTACATTGCAACTCTGGTATTGGCAACTCTGGTATTATGCGACTTGCATGAAGGAATGTACGTACCTGTAATCTTCTTCTGCCTTTCTTTTCATTGCTGTGGACCTCCTAGGACACAAGAAAACCATTGTCTATCATGACAGAAACAGAGTAACTACCAATCCAAAATACCAAGAAATGATGGTACTTTACCAGAATGGTACATTCATTCCATTATTTTCACCAATATCAACACCACCTTGAATTTGTGGTTGAATATTTGTATAAACGTTTCCTGCATGACCCAAGTCACATACTCCATACAGCTCATGACTTGAGATGATGTTATTATGAAGTCTGTAGGATGTCTCCATGACTTGAGAGGAATCATTTGGTGTTTGACCATTAAGAATCTGATTTGGAAAATAATTCAATGATGGTTCTGTAGTAAACGGTTGCAAATCATTCACGACATGTAGTCCCATATCGTCGGAACACAAATTAAAATTTTCTTCGTCAACTTGATGTACAAAATTATGTACATTTTCTGAACCATAGCTAAACTCATAAGGTACCTCTCCGCGCCACATATTTCATAAAATTCATATTCAATACCAACCCAGCATTCCAGCCACGCGAAACCCTACAAAAATCTACAAATTTTTAAAGTAATTCGCCAAAATTTTATATTACACGACCACCATTTTTTGCAGCATTTTTTGAATAACGTGAAAGGACTGGAAACGAGTTCTTGTTCTCTGTTCAAAGAATTTGCATTTTTCCCTTTTTAATTTTCAGAGAAAAGGTTTAATTTAATAAATATAACTGTACAAATGTTTTAAACAACTTTATTAGCTAATAAATTCTTATATACCAAGATATCCTGAAATCTTCATCCTCAGATAAGCACAAAGAAGTGCAGACCCTGCCTGGTATTACAGTAATGCGTCTTCAGTTCTAAACGGATCTATTCTTTCATGAATTCTGACTGAAATATCATTTCAACGACGTTATCACAAGCTCCGGAGAATTCATTGGCGACTTCGGAAATCATTTCATCCAAAATATCATCGCTAAGCCTGGCAAGATATCAAAGGATATCAATATTCGACAATCGACACTCACAAATACACTCACAATAACTGAGCTCTAAACTGTTCAGAACTTTGTCTTCTACCCACCTTTCAACCAGTTGCCATGGATCGAATAAACCCTCGGAATTCGTTTGCTTTAGATATTCTGAGAATCTTTCTTGATACGAGAATATGCTTTCCCGGACATTGGGCGGCAGGAATAAAGACACCGGATGTCTGTCCCCTGGTTTCCTAACAACCGTTGAATGTCTGGTGCTGTTTGAAATACCAGGATTCGTAGTTGCGACCTGTTCGGCTACGTCTTTTGTGAAGACATGTTCCCTTTCGTCTAGGCAAAATAGATTGAGAAATATATATTTTTCATCCTTGAAATACGAGGAAGAACAGCTAGGTACTCCTTTACCATCATGGGGTCTTCGTTTTGTTGTTGCATATGTGTCTGTGTATGTAACATGATTTAAACGTCGTCTTATGCTCTCCTCTTCTTTCTGAACCAATAGAAAAATGCAGGAGATTGATTGCAATGCAACTGTGTAATAGCTCTATATTTTCTAAACTGTTCTTCCTACAGATCCAGTAAGAATCATCTCTTATTGATCCAGTGTTTCGTATTTGCCATTTTCCGGCGAATATGACCATGGTCGTATTTGCCATTTTCCGGCGAATATGACCATGGTCGTATTTGCCATTTTCCGGCGAATATGACCATGGTCGTATTTGCCATTTTCCGGCGAATATGACCATGGTCGTATTTGCCATTCTCCGGCGAATATGACCATGGTCGTATTTGCCATTTTCCGGCGAATATGACCATGGTCGTATTTGCCATTTTCCGGCGAATATGACCATGGTCGTATTTGCCATTTTCCGGCGAATATGACCATGGTCGTATTTGCCATTTTCCGGCGAATAAGACCATGGTCGTATTTGCCATTTTCCGGCCAATTCGACCATGGTCGTATTCGCCATTTTCCGGCGAATATGACCATGGTCGTATTTGCCATTTTCCGGCCCTAAAGGTCGAGCTATAGCAACACATTCTCATTTAAAAAAATGTACCTCGAAATGTTCCAGTCGTTGTAAAATATTTTCCAAAGTTGAACTATCTTGGACATACGAGATCTGACCATCAATTTCATCAATTCTCTCCAATCTAAAAGTTGATTTAGGATAAAAGCACGTTAAGTAATACTAGCAATAGAAGACGCCAAAATATGTCTCAAAATTCGATTTCACCTCTGCAATTCATGAGCCGTATCAGAAAGTAAATCATCCAGGATCATTTCTGATAGGACCTCGTTTTCTTTCATAGTCTAAAATCATCAGAGAATATATTTTTCGTATTAATAACGATATGTTTTTCCTAAGGAAGGACAAAAGAAAGATGTACCACTTCTGATGCAATATTTGCAAAACGTTCTTGAACAGGTTTGGTTTTGGAGTTTTCAACTACTGCCTGAAAAGAATATACAAAGCAATAAATATTGTTCAGTTTGTTTAGTTCTATTGATTACAGACTAAATAGAATACAGGTAAATTATACCTGAGCTTGATCTAACAGCGGTTGTAGTTTCATCTTGATTGCTTTCTCGGCTTGTGATACTAAACTTTCAGGGATTTCCATCACCTCGCTAAAGAGGAAGGTTCATAAACAAGTTTTGAGGAGATCAATATCGAAGAAATGTTGGTGATAATGAACCATCGAAGGCTTACCGTAGTTTTCTTCGTGATTCATCTTCGAGCCAGAGCTGTCTGCGTTTATAAAATGAGGAACATGTTAGAATTGTATTGACAATTTCTTAAGTGGTACACGAGTAGAATACTTCATAACATGGTAAAATACATTGGGTTATATAGCATGGTACTCGCCGGAATACTTTTGTACCATGTTGGTACTTCACAACATGGTATGGTACAATGGGTCATATAACATGGTACTGTCTATAGAGTGTGGAATGGTATTTTACAGTATGGTATAGTATGGAACACTGGTCCATATGGTATGGCACTTAGTACATTATGGTGTAGTACACTAGCTTCCATATATATTAAGGTATTTTATACCAGTATGGCAAGTGATGACACAAGCAAACCTCTGTATCTCTCGTTCTTGTAAACGATGATCAACCTCACTATGTTCATCCCCAGACCTTCTATCTGCTTCACGTGAAACCGCTGGACGGCTAGCACCACCTTCAGCTTTCTCTTCATCTCTCATTTGTCCCCTTAGCTCCCGCTTCGCCGCTGTTTTCTGTCTTTCGACTCTTTTCAAGCGCGATGCTGTCGTCTCCTTCGTGAAATGCGCAGTCTCGTTGGGAAACCTGACTGTTTTTTGAACGGCTGAATAAGCTTTCTGTCGTTTAACCTGACAAAATAAGAGAAGAAACTGCTGGCTTGAAGATGGCAAAAACCTCAAAATGCATCAAATGATTAAGAGTTCAATTTAGAGGTGTATTTACACAGTTGACACTCTACCTGGAGTCGCGGGGGTAAGAGCAAAGCGGTCTTTTTTGCGTTGGGTGGATGACTTCGTGTCTTCATCACAGGTTTTGCGCTTTTCTGTAAAAAAACAAAGCTAATTTTGCACCAGAAGTGAACAACATGATTCCTAGCTTTAGTCATATGGAAAGACACTCACCTTTTCAAGTTCTTTCGCTCTCAACAACGCCTCCAAACCAGCTTTCAGCGTTGCATCGCGTTCCGGGGAAGCATCTGTGGTCAATGTTGAATCATCTGACGAAGAAAAAAAATAAAGTTTTCTTTGAAATTTGCACATGCAAGTCAACCATGAATCCGTCTGTACAAGTTGCTTAAAATGATTGATATATTATGTGACAGCGGACAATTAATGATAGCCTAACGTAAAGAAGATAACATGTGAAATGAAATTCCTTATTTTGTGAGCTTTGGCTGGTGTTTGAAAGTCACGGAGTAAGCTGCTGCAATGCTGGAATCAGACACAAGTCACCTGGAAGAGTTTCGTTCACTAACGAACGGTATGTTGGTTGTGGACCGCGATGGTGAGGCAAAGGTACACCAGGATCTCGCTCTGCTGGTTCCTGGAGAAACGCACTCCTGGATTTCGCCTGTGCTTGAATTGTGCTGAACTTTTGCTTACGAGATGAACCACTTGGATCATTGCGTTCCTTGATATGATATCCTGTGCCCTAAGAGAGGAGTTTGAGGCTGATCTTAGGGACAAAACGTCAGCTTTTTCGATCGGAATCAAGAAATAATAGTTAGTTCATAAAAAGAAAGAATTCTGTCATACCTGCCGCATCTTATCAGGGTCACCACCGTCCTCAATTTGGATTGCCAATAATGATAATTGTTGGATAAGTGAGGTCAATGCTTGATAGATTGAAGAGTAATGTTGGGATTTTTTGGGTTGTAGTGGGGCACTGTTGATAAGCATACGTAATGCTCGAACTGTGGCACGCTGGGCCGCTGCTAGACGTGCCAAGGTTTGACTCTAAGGAAAGACAATGTTCGTATTTTGTTGAACAGTAATGAAAGATATTCTTGTTTGAATTTGACTTCCCTGATTGAAACTAAAAAACATCCTGGCATAATTCAAGATATTGCCATTCATATGTACCTTTCTTGTCTGTTTCATATTTCTTCCTTTCTTCCGTATTTCATCTTCCAGTTCGTGAATCTTAAACAGAAGACAGCTAAGGTATGCAACCAATGTCAAATATAATCAACTAAGCATTAGCTACAACAACAAAAAAGACATATACCTGTTTCTCAATGACATAGAGAACCCTGGCAGATCTTGTTGCTTGCTCTTCTGCTCTTTTGTATTGACGAGGGTCAGTGTCTTCATCAGATAAATGACTCAAGTCATCCTTATCATCCCGTCTTACATGAAGTCTCTTATCTTTCTTCTGAATAACCTCCTGACCCTGGGATGGGAATATTAAGGTCAATAATGTCCAATTTCTGGGCAATTAGAACATTCACCAGAAACATCAAAATCTTTTGAAATTACTTCAAGCAATATTAGTAGTTTTTACTATCACAATGAATAACCATTTTTAAAACAGATTAAAAACTTGATTAAGGTGGGTCTACCTTGTGAATGAGGCCATCAAGTCTCTGCAAATAGTTCTGTATTTGTCTCTCCAACCGTCTGACTTCACGCGTCTGCTTTTCCTCAGAATCAATGCCTGGTTTTGCAATGGACACATCTTGTTCAGAGCCTGGTGAGGTATGATATTCACGTCTTCTCACAACACCATCTTTCTTACTCTGTTGTTACAATAATTAGGATGATTTGTTAAATATCGAGTCAATCTGACATGCCCAAAGCTGGATTAGGGAAACATACTTTATATTGAACATAACCCACATTGGGCTTTCCTTGGTTCTGATTTGAACTCCTCACACTTTTAGTCGGCTTCACTTTTCTTTTATCCAATCCTACTTCTTCTTCCACTTCATTCCACTTGTCCAACTCTGCTAATTCCTTCTGTTGCCTCCATATTTTCTTCGCATCCACCTTGGCCAGCTGCACAGCAAGATGCAAGCGTTCGCTTGCCACAGAAGATGCCGGGGATGAGGGTATCGATCCCCCCAGTTGTACGCCAGGGTGGCTGGATGGTGGGAAACCTGATAGCTTCTCCACAACCAAAGGCTGTGGTTTTTGAAAATTTGATGCTAGGGAGTTGACTGAATATGATGAATGGAGGTTGAATTTCAGTTGGTTTGCATAGATCGAGGGGTCAGGATTCTGATGGTGTTTGCCAAGGGGAAAGGAAGATGGCCCACGGAATCCAATATGGCTCCTATTAGCTGTCTCTGTCGCCATGCCTAGCTAAATGAAACCACTGATGATCCCTTTTCATTTGCTTTTCGCTTCACTGGTGAAATCCAAGATTTTCTAGCTGGTAAAACGTCCACCATTTCATTATTTAAAACATTTCAAATTGCCGCCATATTGAAACTTACGTTTTTCCGAAGTATTCCGACGGCTTACGATTATGTCCGAAGCAACAAAATACAAAAATTTATAATAAATGAAATAAATGAAAGACTTTACCATAAAAATACATGACAACGAACAACGTCACTTATTTCCTTCCAGGCTACAATATTTTTAGGAGAAAACTACCTTCGAACATATAAAATAGTTTAAATTTTTGATTAGTTTTGGGCAAAGCTTTTAAATTTAGTTTTAATCTCCCCCTCATTAATTATAGAACACGTATCGTATCCTAGCAACAGAAGATAATTTATCTCGTATCAAAATACTCCACAATGGCAGCTTGAAATTTGTGTGCGAGTCCAAATCATTCTTGATTGTTGTGTGTTTTCGTCTGTTTGACTGGAAGGAAAGCCTAGTAGAGTTTGGACAAGACAGGACGCTTTAATTGCTGTTGTGCTTTCCTATGAAAGAGAAAATATAACGTAGAAATTGGTGGAGTTTTACTTCGTTTTATTGTAGTATATCGGACTTGGTTCTCTGTGTGCGATGTCAAAGCTACCGCCGTTAACAAACTTGCCTTCTTGGTCACGGAGCTCTTTAGAAAGACGGAAAGTTCAGAGGTCTATCACGAAAGATCCTGTCGTTTCTTCGAGCAGAAATCAAACTGAAAACCCTCCGGCGATCCGCAGAGATAGTGGATTAAAGTTATCTCATTCTGCGAAGACAGCAACGAATAGGATCGTGTCTGCGCCTTCTTCGCCTCAAGAAAAAGCAAGATCTCGAAGAGAGACGCAGTTGCAGAATAATCTCACCTTTTTACAAGAACAACATCAAGAAACTCTCACGAAATTACATGAGGAAATTGAGAAACTAAAAAGCGAAAACAAAGGTTTGGATTTGCGATAATGATCAAAATAGTATATTTGCATAAAGACTGAATTTCAAAATTGTCTCTGTTGTTAAATAACGAAAGCCCAACTATAATTCTTATTAAAGTAAACACAATATGTAGGAAGTTAAATTATTTAAAAGGAATTATCCTTAACAACCGCCTTCGGGTTTCAAAGTTTTTTGTTTTTACAGAATTAAATTTCAAGTTAATTGTGACAAGTGAAAATTCTACTCCTTCATCAGGTAAATAATTCCGATCAAAACGCTGTCTTCAGAATTAATACATCGTAAAGCAAACAGACTTTATCTGTTTGGCAGACAGCTGTACATGTGTCTTCGTAATTAAGGTTAACCTCACTTAACTTGCAAAAATGCAAACTTACATTAGTAGAATTAATAATTTATAGAAATGCCATCTCTCAAAAACATACTCAGAAACATTTGCGTCAATGAATAGAAAACGTTATTCAAGTTAGCCTGTAGATAGATAGGTTTTCAAACTTTACACTTTAAACCCCACCTCCCACTATATGCATTACATTCTCTTCCAAATGGGGCCTCCCTCCCTTCTATTATACGTGGATCTCCCTCTCCCCCACCAAATTTCTTAGGATTCCACCCTACCCACCTTTCATAAAGTTCCACCTCGCTTGTCTTCCTCATGGTACCCACTTCAACATTGTTCACATTTCCTCTGTCACGTTCTAACAGCATCAGGGTCAAAATCAAGAGCAAGTGGTAGTTACTACAGAAGCAAAATTAGACGACTTGAAAACGATATCAAAAACATAAAACTATCTTTGATTGAAGCTCAGAAACAAAACCTTGATTTATCCAAACGTTTAAACGAAAGGTGAGGAGAAAAAGCATAAAAATTACCGCCAATATTTGAGGCGGTTGTACGAAGCTCGTTCGTAACGATGGATAGGCTTAAAAAAGAGCCAGACTGCACATTTATCCCGGATGTGTTTTCTTTTGCTTATCCACCGTCAGAGCTTCCTACAACCGACCCTTGCGCAGTAAATATGCTTTATTTACTCTTTATCTTTCGGATTCCTTGCCTTATGCGCTGTTTTGTTTTCCATTGCCAGGGAATTATCGGGAAAACGCTATAAAACTCTGCCGCCAGTCTCGAGTCTCACAAATGCAAAGCTTAAAGGCAGCGAAAGTACACAGCAAGATGTGAAGGCGGCTTCCACCTCAAATAGCGGACCCAATTTAGCAAGTCGTGAGAGCATAGATCAGAATATAAACCATCTCAACTTGTTCAGTCCTGGAAAAACAACCGTACTTCAGGTAACGTTTGGTAAGAAAGGTGAAATATATGTTCAACCTCCCACTGGAACGCAGTCTAGATCACCAACGATGTCTGAATGCAAGGATATCATACATTATCTTGAGGATACTAACAAAAGACAAGGCCAAGAGGTAAGCAAATTGTCATGTTCTCAACAAATGCAATGTATTCTTCTCCTGATCCAAGGTCACCATTAAAACGAACGTCTTATGCTTTCGTAGCTAATCAAATTAAGAGAAGAAAAGAAGGAAGGAAATTACACTACAAAATTTTCACCAGATACTTACCTCGTTACAAAAACGTAAGTAGCTGTTCTTCCTAGAGGTCCACCAGTAAAGATAATCTCTTATTGATCCAGTGTTACTACAGGAGGAAACCTAAACTAAACTAACTTTATTTATACTGGATAGCTCTATCAGTTCTAAACTGTTCTTCCTAGAGGTCCAGTAAGGATCATCTCTTATTGATCCAGTGCTACTACAGGAGGAAACCTAAACTAAACTAACTTTATTCAGGAGGATTTAACCGAACGTAAACGAACCTCGTTCACATCTTGTTCTTCAACTTGTTTTTACTCGTTTTCCAGGCTGAACGGACGAGCCCACTATGACCAGAATAGCGTTATTCTCCCTGCTCTTCGTCCTGCGGGTTCAGGAAATGTGGCGGAACGTCGTCGTGGACAGCAAGCTGTGCTCCGAGGTCGCGGCAAGAGAGATATGAACTGTTAGGAACAATGTAGAACAACATATGATAATTGTGATCACACAATGTACTTTATGAAAACTTGTATATACACAAGTGTAGTATAGTCAAAATTGGCAAGATATTAAAACTTTTACTTGAAAATCTTGATTTATCTTTAGCTTTACCTTACAACTAATAGTTGAGTCTTGACCTCCAGGAAGAACAGTTTAGAACTGATAGAGTTATCCAGAATAAATAAAGTTAGTTTAGTTTAGGTTTCCTCCTGTAGTAACACTGGATCAATAAGAGATGATCCTTACTGGATCTCTAGGAAGAACAGTTTAGAACTGATAGAGCTATCCAGTATAAATAAAGTTAGTTTAGTTTAGGTTTCCTCCTGTAGTAACACTGAATCAATAAGAGAACGGTTAAAAAATGAGCAGTGGGCAATTTTACAACTCGAATGAATTTATTTCTTTTACTCTGTTACAAAATGATATCTACAAATGTTCAATATATATACATATTGTGATTGTGATAAATTTATACTGTTTTACATACATTTGGATAAAAACGAAGTGTATATTTTGGCTAATGTACATCATATTCGGGCATTCAAAGAGTATAAATATGAAAATATCGTTACACAATCAATAGATCATAAAAATTTCTGAATCAGAAATCAGATTCATTTTATATACAAGTATCATTCAGTCACAATATAAAGACCACGTCATTTGTTAGTGATTACTGTTAATAATAATGTAAATAACCTTGTATTCGTTAATTCTATTCACAAACTGCAAATGACCACCCGAAGGTAGAACAGAGCACTTTTAGTGCATAAAAGAGATGAGTGGAGCCGTCCGTTGGTTGGACCTTGTCGTTAAAGTTGAATGTATCATATGTGTTCAGTTGACCTATATTAATAGACCATGTGCCTGGACATAGCCCTTTGCTAACATTTAAAAATTATGGAAGTTAGTTTCTGAAATACAAATCTACGGGTCAGTCCTATGTCCTAAAACTAATTTTTCTTTCATTCTAAATCCGTCACAAATTGACGGCGTATTTAATTTTCCTTGAAAATTTACCTCTGCAGTCTCATTAGGAACATTAACAATCATTTTGTTTCATTTCAAACAGTTTCTTTGGAGAATCAGTGGTTAAGAATGCATGCTGGAATAGACGTGTGTATTGTGTGTGTGATCATTGAAAGATACTCTTCTGGATTCCTATTTTAATACTAAACTTGCTCAACAATTATTATAATTCATGGTAAAATTTTATCGAAATGGTTGTATTTAGCACGAAGAAGCTTGCAGATTTTTCAAATTCGCTAAGTATTCGCTTTTTAATTTCCTTCTCCCGGGGTCACCTCTGTTACCATGTCCATCTTGATACCTGGAACTGCTTGGAATACCAGAGATGACGTCAGAATCCACGCCATTCGCCTCCGTATCGAGCTCCATCGAGAACATCTCGTGAGATTCGTGGGTTTTTCCAACTGACTTCAAATCATCCGCAGATTTCGAATAGGTTTTGTTCAGATTACCTTCTTTACCCTGCGTGTACAGCGTCTTGCGAGATCCACGCGTGTTTTGAATAAGTGCGTGGAACGTCTCAACATCGTTTGGTCTGCGGTCCTTGTGGTCTGAGGGGTCATCAAAATCAACAACACTATCAAATGAAACAGTTCTCGATGGTCCAGACATGTACCTTTGACGACATAATTCATCATCAAGCTCGTGTTCTACGGCATTATCAAGTCCCCGGCGTAAATTACCTCTTCTTATCTGTGGCGATTTATCTACACCATTTGTTTCATCGTAATTACGTAATTTGCTAACGCCATTCTTATCGCCATGGGAACGGATCACGCCATTCTTATCGCCATTGGTAACGCTCGCAGCACCATTCTCACGCATAAGGTTAAAACTGCCGGGCGTCTTGTGGCCGGGGCTACTCACGGAGGTTGACGCCTCGGAGTCGAGCGAATCCGAAGTATCACGGAAATGCGTCGGGAACTGATACGAAGATCTGTCTATAACCGGAGATTTCGCCATCATAGCAGGTTTTTCCCAGAGTCCGTTCATCTGTCCGTCCATACGGATAGGACTGGAGACCATCGCTTGTCCGGTGAAGTTATTGGGCGTTAAAGGGCTCAGGGGACTTCCTGTTACCTCCAAAGGAACGAAGGTATTATTATTATTATTTGTAAACAGGGATAAGTCGCCAAATTTACGTCCATTTTTTCGAGTCAGGGTGGGAGTGGACACATCTTGTGAGGCACTGGATTTAGCATCGTGTTTCTTCTTCAATGAAAGCGCTCGGCTATCGGAATTTATTGGAATATCATCGGGAGTGTTCGGAAGGTCTTCGGAGATGTCTGGATCAACGCTTGACTCCTCCTGACACTTCTCAAGATCATCGAGAATTGATTCAATATCACTTACGTGACTCCTTCGTGAGCTTCCGTGATATGATCGTGCCTCGATCGTGCGCTCGGCACTCGTGTAACTAAAACTGGATATAGTTGAGACAGAACTCTTTAGACTGGAATCTGAACCCGAGCGACGTAGCGGAAACTCGCCGTTGAATTCAATATTGTCCGTACCAAGGCCACCTGAAACGAGAGAAATCTACATTTAGAAAGAGTTCAAGCACAAATAATAGTTCTATCAGTTCAAAACTGTTCTTCCTAGAGGTCCAGTAAGCATCATCTCTTATTGATCCAGTGTTACTACGGGAAGAAACCTAAACTAAACTAACTTTATTTATACTGAATAGCTCTATCAGTTCTAAACTGTTCTTCCTAGAGGTCCAGTGGGAATAATCTCTTATTGATCCAGTGTTACTAGTTCAGTTTAGGTTTCCAATAGTTGTAGTAACACTGGATGGATAAGAGATATACAGGACCTTCAAGTGGAAGTACATACCAGTTAATGTATTCAATGCTACGACAGAGCACTGCAAGACTCGACGACTGTTCATACCCCCGGATCGTAACATAACCTCATCCTTGCCAACACCAAGCAGATCAAATCCCATTGACGCAAGCAGCTCGTGACAGCCAATCATATGCCAGAGATTGAGCGGGAGTGGGACTTGAACATTGTTCAAACCTTTGGCAAAACTCGACAGCACCTGATTGAACTGAAAATTGGAAAGATGAGCAAAATAATTTAATACTAGAAGTCTGGTAAATGTGATAAAAAATATTCAAATATTTTACGAATAAATGGCAACGTACTAAATCTAAGAGGGCTCTGACAAGACTCGAACATGAAAGAACTTTTGATATTGCTTGTAGAGTTGTTGGACTCAAGCCTAAAATGATAAAAAAAGTTTCTTTAGGTAAAAGCAATCCCTTCACCAGATATACAGTGAAATAATATATGCTAAATTATACAGTCACCTACCGAGTAAGGATCGTAAAATGTCGCCACATTGTCGCAACTTTCCCCTCTCGTCTTTCAGTGGGAAAAACACAGCATCAGGTAAATTCTTTGCAGCTTTTCTGAAGCGAAATCCGGCCGCTGTGAGAACATCTCTCCAACCCTGGGCATCACCCAACTTGTGCGCTACGCTGGCTTCGGCTGTGTACATCAACGACGTGTTGTTGTTGAGAAGTCGATGGTTCGCTTTGTCAACCTGTTGCACAGAAAAGAATGTCTGTTTCAGAGAAACATTCAAGAAACCTTGACTTTAAACTAACTTTATTTATACTGGATAGTTCTATCAGTTCTAAACTGTTCTTCCTAGAGGTCCAGTAAGGATCATCTCTTATTGATCCAGTGTTACTACAGGAGGAAACGTAAGCTTTATGTGTAGGAATCAATCCTCACTGGAGAAGGATAAAATTGACCCTGAAACTTACCAGATGCAAGATAACTTTCAATGCTTCTCTGCAGTTTGCTGTCGAGTCAATCAGAACTACCAAAGCCTCACGCAACTGAACCGTCTTTTTGGAGACCTTCACATCTCGGCCGACCAACACGAAGCCAGCCCAGTTTGATGGATGATCAAACTCCTTGTTGCTTTCCACGAGCTTCACCGCGTGTGCGAGGGCACGACTCGCGCGCATCCCGCGCAGGAATCGCTTATAAAAGCCTTGAAGTAACAGCTGGTACGCAGGCTCGGGTACGGGCCAAAGAGAGACCAAGACACAGCTACATCCAGCCAATAGGAATGATCGTACTATACACAGCAAACCATCTAAGGACATTTTATTCCGGGTCTCGTTTTGTGCGCAACTCAAGACGATCATTTTTGCGGGGAACTTCATGTAAGATATTTCAGAAGCTGACAGAAGGAAGTCGGTTGGAGATGGCATAAAGTTCTCGTTACTACCAAAGTCCCTGTGTGAAATAAGCATAATGGTTCTCAACTGAAATTGGGTTGAACAGCAACTCAGAGAACGACAACCGGGAAAAAGAGACCCAGGGAAAAAGAGACCCAGGGAAAAAGAGACCCACGGAAAAAGAGACCCAGGGAAAGAGGCTGAAAAAACGATAAAAAGAATACAACACCTATTGTTTTCCTTGTTTGGCGCGAGGACTAGAGCTGAGTGTTTCCAGGATGTATTTGTCGCAAAGTGGATACACTCAGCCTCCTGTGCTTTTTTGCAAACGACATCCTTCGTCGCATCACTTCCAATAAGGGGCTTGGTACCGAACAAACTGCCAACCAGCTCTGCTTCGCTTTGGGTACTGGGGTTACAGCGATACTGATCGATAGACAGGGGTAATTGTGGATCTCCAACTACCAGTCTTGTTGTTTGGGATTTATGGTGGGTATTTGAGGTTAACATTAGTGCTCGTATCGAGGGAACGGTTAGGAGGGAGAATCGTTTATGAAGGTAATCCTTTGCATGACCGTGTAGCAAGGAGAATGGTACAAGATAGAGGTCTCCTTGAAGGACTAGGACGAGGTCGATCAAACTGCCATCGCTCTGTGGGGACCTGGGAAGAAATTCTTCAACTGGAGCTATCAGAGTTTCATACAAGACCTGGACTGGTAAGGCGGTGGTTACGTCTTTGTTTTGACGGACGCCATTTAGCTTTCGCAGGCCTGGGAAAGAGGAATGAATGAATGAATGATCAGCAATCACTACACAAACAACAGAACTAAAAGTTGTGCCACTTGGAAATACATAAATATACTGGAACTGTCATCGTCACGCGCTATGTGGAATGATAGCAAAGAAGAATACCTGAAGCATTGTCAAAATACCTTTTCTTAACAAGCTGTTCTTCAAATAGGACAGGGTAGAGGAGGGTGTTGAGGGTTGACTGTTGTTTTCACTGGAACAACGTGATCTCGGCTGGGAACTCGGACTTTCGAACGCAGGCTCATCAAGGTCGCTTCCAGATAGACTTGAAGACATCGTTGAGATGGAGCTACCGCAGGCCGGCTCTACGCCGATGTTCTCACGAATCTGTCCGATCAATCTTTCCAGCATTGACTCGGAGGTGGTCGACATACCGCTGTCCATATGAACCATAAGCTCAGGCATTTCATCCGAGAGTCTGAGTTCATGAAATTTCACAATGCCATGCTGAGGAACGATCAACCATATACACAGGTAGCCTAGGACCAGAGAATAACAAATGAAGTAGCCATTCTGTTTGTTGACAACTTCCATGATTTGATCATAACTTTCGAGTCGGATCCAGTCTTTCTCTTGCTGTCGCTCAATGCCTGGTCGGCGCAGTAAGAAGTCGATGAAGTCCTGAGCACGAGCTCTCTCGGCAATAACAAGAGCTTCTTCACGACGCCCGAGATCGATAAGCACTCGTTGTAGGACCTGTTGAAAGTAAAAAAGATGAAAAAATCACTGAACATGCGATGGCAGAAGTGCAGGTTTTCTACTTTGAAAATTACATCGAATTACTTTCTAAGTTTCTTAACTAAACCAATTTCAATAGGAAATACTGATAAAAATGGCAGAAATTAGTTGAGGGGTTCTTGGTTGTAACTTCCAAACGAAGCGCCTTCGCTGGAAACGTCTTCCTGACGTTGTTAAGATAATCGTAAATACTTGAAACATGCTCTTTTACCTGATAACAGAGCGCCTGTTGTTCATGCATGGCGAGTTGAAAACGTCCATCGCTGATCCCGGCGTCACGAAGTTTCTCGTAAAGTTCAATTGCTTGATACAACTGTTCGAGAGAAGAAAGGATGTCTTTCTTCGCGCACAGAGCGACGCCTAACCAATACCTTGAAAAAATATAGAATAAAGATGATAAACATCAATCCAAACTAACTTTATTTCTACTGGATAGCTCTATCAGTTCTAAACTGTTCTTCCTAGAGGTCCAATAAGGATCATCTCTTATTGATTCAGTGTTACTACAGGAGAAAACCTGAACTAAACTAACTTTATTTATCCTTTGAGATTCACTGGACACATTCATTAACAAATGATATCGCCAACCTTATAGTAGCCTCATCTTCACTTCGTCCCAGCGTCTCAGCGATCGTAAGACCTTGCTTGAAATAAGATATAGACTGTGCAAAATTGGCCATCAAATAATGATTCCTCCCCAGGCTACTGTAAGCATTCACCTTCCCCACACGGTCGCTCACTTGGGCAGCGATAGACAAGTGTTGCTCCTGGCATTCCGCCGCTTTCTTGTAATCTTGCATCAGTTCATAAACAAGACCAAGATTGCCAAATGCACGTGACTGCCTCATGCTGCTGTGAAGCTTATCCGCAAGTTTCAATTCATTCTCGTGATGGGAAAGCGCTGTAGTGTAGTCGCCCAACTTTGTATGAACCTAAAAAGAAAAGAGAAGATTTGTTATGAAAATACTTTTCTATTCACTGCATCAAGGCTAAGTCTCTCAAATCAAACGCAAGTCTCTCATATCAAAGGCAAGTCTCTCATATCAAACGCATGTCTCTCTCATCAAACGCAAGTCTCTCATATCAAAGGCAAGTCTCTCATATCAAACGCAAGTCTCTCATATCAAACGCAAGTCTCTCATATCAAACGCAAGTCTCTCATATCAAAGGCAAGTCTCTCATATCAAACGCAAGTCTCTCATATCAAACGCAAGCCTCTTCCAACGAGTTGCAAGAACACAGATTTTCTATCGACCAGCAACAAGATTGATCATTCAACTTGCATGTCTTTGCTTCAATTATGAGCGGTGAATTAAAATGGATACTTCTTCCATTTCAAACGATCTTACCTCTCCCAGCCCACATTCAGAATCACTCTCGCTTTCCAGGTCATGACATTCTTTCGCCAACTTCAGCTGCTGACCATAGCAAGCAGCAGCTTGTTCGAAGTTTCCCATAGTCCTGTGCAGGTTTCCCAACTCCCCGTACGCAGACCCCTTGGCTGATGACTCCGTCAGCTCGTGGGCGAAGACAAGACGGTTCTCGAAACAGAACAATGCTTGTTGTAGATTCCCCAGAGCTCTGAATACTTTACCAAGACCTTGGTATGCCTTATCTTGGTCATTAGAGGAACCCATCTTTTTGGCTGAATTCAGATATCCTTCGTACAGTCCACGTGCCTCGTCATGCTCTCCCAGCATGAACAAACACTCCGCTAAATTACCTCGTGCACGACCAAGCTCGATAGAGCCAGCTCCCACTCGTTCTAGGATCTCAATCTGAGTTCCAAAGTACACCCTCGCCTCTTGGTAAGCACCGCCGCTCAGCTTCGCCTGCCCTAAATTCCCGTAGGCTCGGGCCTGCAGGTGAGAATCTTTTACCCGGTCGGCGATGAGACGCTGCTCTGAAAAATACTCTATTGCCTCGTCAGTTCGTCCGGACGAAATACAATCGGTTCCAATATGATCAAGAGCTTTAAACAAGCCCTGTGTATCATCAATCTCACGACGAAATGCCAGCTCCTTTGAGTGACACACAAGAGCTTTGTCAACCTTCCCTAGCATCTTGTACGCATGCCCAAGAGAAGCATGAGCCTGCGATAAGGATCCCTTGTCTTTTAATTTATCCGCCATCTTAACTTGTTTCTCATAGTAACCGACAGCCTCGCGTATACGCTTAGTTTGTACATATAAATCCCCAATGTTCCCTAAAGCCCTACATTCACCCGTTGAGTACCCAATTTCGTGAGAAACTGTTTGGAAATTAGTCTGACACATCAGAGAATTCTGGAAATCTCCTAAATCTTTATAGACCAGCCCCAAATTACAATATGTCCTGGCAAGAGTATTCTTGTCATGTAGAGCTTGAGCTAGTTCAATATTTTGTTTGTAGAGCTCAACGGATTCTTCCAGATTGCCCAACGAGAAGTGAGCAAACGCCAAATTATGACACGCCTTATTTTCGCCTTTTTTATCGCCTGTTGATTGCGTGAGCTTCATATATTTCTCGTAAAATGCGACAGCCTTCTTGAAGCTTCCGCTTGAGCTGTAAAAATTTCCCAGATTGAAGAGCGCCACTCCTTCGTTGTAGGTGTCGCCATTGGCGCGAGAAATCGAGAGGTGCTGTTCGTAGTGTCGTCGCGCTTCCTCGGATTTTCCGAGTCCTTGATACGCCACCGCGAGGTTGCCATGGGTACATGCCTCAGAGATGGCGTCATTAACCTCCTTGGAGATAGCGAGCTCTTTTTCGTGGTATTTAATTGCTTGCTCGTATTTCTTCAACGCACAGTAGGCACAACCCATGTTTCCGTAAGCCTGTCCTTGCCCAGCACGGTCTCCGAACTCCTGACAAATAGCCAAGTGTACTTTATGTAGTTTCAAAGCATGTAAACACTCTCCCTGTTCCAGATAAATAATTCCCAAGCTCGAAAGGGCTCTCCCCTCCATGATTCTATCCTTCAGCTTCACCGCGACAGATTGTTGACGTTCGTAATATTTCAGAGCCTTGCCTAGGTTTCCTATGGAGCGATACGCGCTTCCAAGACCCGCGCAAGCCCGTGCCTCGAGGGAGGGATCCCCAAGAGTCTCTGCAAGCTTTAAAACCTGTCCGTGAAGCTTTGCTGCCTCGTGATGATTACCTTTCTGAATATAAGCACTTCCCAAATTGCTGTAAGCTAATGCGACTTCTTTATCATTATTCAAAGATTTCGCTAGGGTCAGCTGTTGTGCGTGGCATTCTATCGACTTATCGGTGTTGCCTGCGAGCAGGTGTACCGCACCAAGATGTCCCAATTCAAGGGTCTCGCCTAAAGGATCTTTGAGTTGCCTTTGAAAATCAATCGCCTTGCCATGACTTTCAATAGCATTGGGGTAGTCTGCTAAGGAGACATACACGTGTGCTATAGAGCTCAGAGCTGATGCAGCTGCCTTTTTGTTTTTATGCTTTGAAGCGACCATAAGTTGTGAACGATGTGAATTGAGCGCTTCGTCATGTTGTTTCATCGCGAAATAAGCGTTACCAAGGTTACCAAGAACTCTGCATTCGCCATCGTTGTCGCCCAATGAACGACAGATATCCAGATCTTCCTGCATTAGCTCAACGGAGCGCGAAAGATTGCCCACTTTCCAGTAAGCACTCGTCAGCGCCGAGATAACGGAGCCACGCATGCGTAGCCCAACAGTGCCGATTTTCAACGCATTCTCCAAGCACGTGATTGCGGGCTGGATGTGACCTGCATTAAGAAGTTCCTGCCCGATTATTGACACCACGACAAATGGATTTTGATCCATGCTCACTTGCTGAAGTCGACCGAATATTTTCTCGATGTTTTCTAAAATTAAAGATGGGATGTTAAATTGGATGGCTTCATAACATAGGAGATCCAATAAGAATGATTTATTCAGTGTTGATAACGGGAGAGAACTACAAGAATCTGGAATTAAAACATGATGACAGATGTGAAATCACGCATGCGAACAATTTATAATATTTCATATCCTAACCTTTCAAAGGCGACTTCAAAGCTGTATCGATGATTCCAGTCAATAGCTGCTGACTCTTCTGATCGTGGGCCAACGCAGACGCGAAGGCCGCAAGGGATTCGTGGTATTTCCCCATACACTGAAGAGCCACCGCTTGGCGGTAATGTGCCTGCAAGATAATAAAAATATTTCTTATTTGAAAGTTACTATATAAATTATATCATATTCTATTATACTACATTTCGTAGGAACAAAATGTATCACTTTCGGTTCAACAATTAACCATTAAAGTAAGTTTGTCGACACGTCTGGAACAATGGCCATGTAAGCACAAAGACATAACATCAGCTGTTTTAATATAGTGAAGCGTCCTTCGAGTCACTCGTTAGTTTTCCCACTTCAACGAGGAAAAGCATAGACACACACTTTACTCTTACCCTGCTATTTACGCCAAAAATATAGCCATTTAAAGGACTGCCTTCGGACTTTCTCGCGAAAGCATGCCGTTTCATTGTTGCTGAGTAACGGCTGACGCGAACACCGTTATTACTCTACGGCCGACTTTGCCGAATATAAATTTTCGTTGTAATTCCAATTGACTGTTTCAATATGTCAATGTGACGTTGCTTTCCTCACGTATTTTTTAACAGCAAAGAAGCACAGTTATAGCCAATGTACACAAAAGTTTAGTAAAGCAAGCAAATGAACGTTTAGACGACAGACGGCATTTGAATTGTCTCACTTATGATACAGCCTTGAAAATTAAAGCCTCGCGCGCTGCATTCTCCTCCAGGCGATGTAAAGGACGCAATACACTTGATAGAAGTGCCGTCTCTTCCTGTTTCATATTATACCAGAGCTTTAAACACTTTTACAACAAGAAGAACAAAGAGAATTGCTTGTATCTGGCGGCAACAGACAAGATGACACTTTAAATTTGGCGAACTTGCGAAATACATCATTTCTTTAACTCAGCTGTTAGTCAGACAGCCGCTCATCATTTCCAAATTACAACCAAACATTGTAACACAAGTTAAAGGCTAAAAGACGAGATTGTTGTGTGTCTTCTTCAAGCTTTGACGATTTTGTTGACCATTTGACCCTCGTTTGTTCTTTCAAGCAAATAGAAACTTAAGAATCCCGAAAGGGATTACATTCTGTCGACAAATTGTAAACAAAGCCATCCCCCTTGTTTGCGTAATGCCAAAACGTGTGATTCAATTCAAAAAAGATTTATTAATCCGGCTTTAAAATGAAGCGTTTATTTATGATCATTTCTCTGGCGGGAAACATGCGCTGAAGCTTACAGGGAAATGAAGGATGGAACAGAATTTGACTTCATCCTTCAATTTGTGTTCTCCAGAATCAGCCTATAGCGCCTGGTGGGATTTCATTACAAATATATTCATGAACATTTAAATGAAGGAAGGGATTAGAGTATGTGGGGAGCAGAGCTGGGATAAAGTGTCTGACACGTTTTGGCAAAAGATGAAGGAAAGCCGGTCGGAGATTGCATCAAAGATTGAAGATGCATTGAGCAGGTAGACAGATAAGGAGTGCGTGGTTAGGATAATATGCAGATTGTGATAAGAAGGGATGAAGGAGAGCTGCTCAGAGATATCATGGAATGAAAACAGCAGATGTGAGATATTGTACAGACGAGGGAAGCGAGGTTGAGATGATATTGCGGATGTAAGACCCAGAGATGAGGGAGAGCTGGTAAAAGGTATAAAGAGATGAAAAGATCAGAAGAAGATGAAGAAGAGGTAGGAGATATTTCAAAGGTGTTCTGGGAAACAAAGGTTGGATGATATTGAGGACGTTTAACAAGAGATGAAGAAGAGCCGATATAATAAACGATAGCGCCGAGTGAATTCAAAATAACCACACGTACGCATGAGTTTTGACCAGATACCATGTCAATACGTAGTTACGTTTCAATATTGCAATCGATGAAGTGATCTTTCACAAAGATTGCCTGTGAAATTGAGTGGAATGTAAGCACCACTTGAAAACGAAATCTTGAATGTCAAAGTGATCTCTGTAAAAATAGTTGCTCGACTCTTAAACCTATCTTAGCTAAAGATTTCGCAATTCCTTGTACTCAATATAACGTCAGAGATGATGCAATTCACTTAGCTTTAACTAACTTAACTTTTTCATGCATAAAACGCCTTTGATGAATACTATGAAAAATCAAATTCCATCTTGACGAAATTTATCCAATTATCATATTAAAATCTCATGAGAGGGTGTTCTACCATAAACATTTGATCCGTATTAATATTAGTATCTCACTTTCTTTCAAACTTCTTGTGGTAATACTGGACCAATATCACGTACTTGAAAAACCATAACAGTGCATAAACAAACCACTTTAAAACTAGTTGTCGACTTATGAGGCACCTATCAGCTTATGATTGTTTTCAGGAAATAATTGCAAGCACGTAATAGCCAATTCTTTAACCTCTATATCCTTCCTTTATCCCTCAACACTAGTTTGTGCACATAAATCATTCGCGTGGCAATTTAATATATTTGTCCACACTTTTCAAAGTGTTAAGTATTATTCCGTCCTCGCATTGTATAAATCATGCTTGCTGACACAACGCTAACCTTCCTCGTCTTGTAGAGTTATAGTTTGAAAACGAGTGGGAGAAATATTAGCCATTCTGTAATAAGAGGATGAAATGCCTTGATCATATAAAGGAAACACCTGTTTATAAAATCAACCGATATTGTAATAAAGCTCGTTCTCGCTTGAAAGAAAGATGAACTCTGTGGCTTGCTTGGACGTTAGTTCAGCCACAGAAAGCAACATACTTCGCCCTAGGCTTTGGTTAGGATAGTAATTGTTATAAGTAAAACTAATAGTTAACATTAAAGTTACATTTACGCACAAACTGTTGCAGTTTCATAGCTATTAGTTGAACAGCGAAATAAGCAAAAATCATCATGGTTTGCATCTGCTAAATCTATCCACGAGATTGTCGAGAGTATTTCGATCATTCCTGACGTAAACAGACTAATATAATTAAGATAACCAGAATTTGAGCATAAGTATCCATAACTCACCACTGGAAATGTCCCAAAATGTTATAACATGCAATGTGAGTACTCTCAAGTGAAATTTTGATCCTTGTTTAAAAGATATTTCAATAGGATGCGTTGAAATCCTTCTCCAATGCGTTAATCTAATCGCTTCTTTCTCAACGCCCCAAAAAGGTCAAAGCGTTGCCTGGTTTCCATCGATGCTGTCGACAGATTGTGTGTCAAAGATGATTTGATAAGAGGCCAATGTGGCGTGAAATAAAGTCACCGTTGATGGGTGGAAAACCTTTTGGCCAGACATGGAGTATTTTTAACATTTTGTGTGACGTAAGCCAGCAATGAAGAGGAAATATTTCATGAAGATTTATAAGCGGAAGCATGGAAATGACTCTTCATTTCAGTCAGGGTCTGAACTACCAATGGATACAGCTTTGTTTGATTCAAAAACCATGCATTACCAGCAGACAATTTGATAAAATACAAGAAAAAACTCCGAAGAATAACATCTTGTAAGACGCGAGGTATAGACGATTTGACATAATTTTACGGTGATATTTGACTGATTTGACAAGGATTTTGAAATACCTTGGTGGTCTTTGAAAGGTGGTCATTGAAAGGTGGTCTTTGAAAAGCTTTTATCTTGAGTTTACAAGACGCTATTCTTCTGAGTATTTTTTTCTTGTCTACTTGATTCATTCAAAAAGGTTGATAATGATAGAAGCTCTTTCGACTGACAACGTATGATTCATATCAAAGCAGTTATGATGGAAGAGCTAGTGTAGTCTTGTCCAAACCTATCCTGTCAGTAGTCACCTCGAAGAAACCGGAGTAGAAAGCCACGCCTTTCCTTTGTGAGACTTCAGAGAATCAAAATCACGAGACTTGGAAAAAGACACTTTCACATACAGAATGAAACACAAGAGATCCACCACCATCACAGGCGAGTACCTGGAGGAAAACAAGAGTACCTAGAGAGATAGTGAGGCACCTCGAGGGAAGCTGAGACACCGAAAAGTACCCAAAGAGAACTGAAAGACAAAGTTGGAAAACAGAGGATTCACACACGCTTCTGAGGTCGGGTGTAGGTGGGGAAACCCGGAGTTTGATATTCGAAGAAGCTTCAACGATGTTACACAGTTTACTGGGGGAAGAACAATTTCAAATTTTTTTAAAGTTTCTGCATTCCTGAAATATACCACAATATGGCGTCGGGCTTATCATTTTACATGAACAAAAAGTCATAGACCATTCATCTGACTTACATAATATACATATTAATTGATTTAAGTGGCTATAGTGTAAATCTATCTTGCTGAGAAACCTAATAATAATTTAATTAGCGTCGTCAGAAAATGTTCAAAAAATTAATCGCAATAAAAATTGATTGAATACATATGACGCCTTGCGTTATGTCTTGGATATAAATTGATTTATTGCACTAAAAACAGTTTGCAATATGACAATATTGACTCGATTTGTAATTAATATTTCTTCAATATATGCTGGTTAGTGTATTATACCACAGCACAGGGGTCCAGGTTGTGTTCTAGAATGAACTATCGTGCTTCACTAACTCGCCGTTCTGAACTACACTGTCACAGTACTTGAAAAAAAAACACTAAATCATTTCATAAGCTGGTATTTAAGTTCCTAGCATAGCTGTTGGAACAAGAAGGGTGTGGATATTTTCTTCTTCGTGTATTCCAGAGTAATCCACAGCTCATTGGTTATAAATGATATATTCGCTTGTCATAACTATACAACCCCTGCTGTCTGAGATCAAATCGATTTACCAAAAGTTATCGGTAAACTAAACCATTGTATTCAAAATAACATCCCGCACAGTTGTAAAAAAATGCACGCAATTGCAATGTAAAAAACGTCTTCAATCACTTAATTATCAAAAATGGCGACATGCGATATCCAGTAAAGTTTATTACAATCTATTATTTTCATCAAACTATTTTGTGTATTTCGCTCAATTAATTTACCATTTTAATAAAAATAATTTTTGTATCGTGCTAAGGATGCTGGGGGTCCCATCATGCATTGCATATTTTAAACAATTGTTTATTTCATTATCTCTAAACAAACCATATTAGGGCAGACAAAAGACGC